ATATTATAGTACTACATACGATTAGTTACATACTATAATATTCTTTTATCTAACCATAGAACTAACCTCCACCTTCCTCTATACCACCAACACAAGCTATGACATTATCATCTCTATCTTCTTCCTCTGTCACTTTTCTCGATTATCGACCGTAGCCCCTGGTAGGAAGGAGAATTTCTCGAACTCCACAAGACCGATCGGACCCCGGAGAGCGGGAGACGGTCAGGGATGTTGTGATGATGACTGACCCGCACCCTTGACCTGCCTCGTGACATGACAAATTCTGTTTTCCCCTAATCAATTCGCCCGCCCAAAAAAGACCCGGCTGGCGTTTGCGGTCCCATAACACTCCTATGATGCGACTGCGGTCTCTCTTCTTGATGTTGTCAATGACTACGTGGCAGTCTCTTCAGCTTGGGCGATGTGTTACTTGATGTCGGTCTCTTCGTATTATGTGATCTCTAGATTGCCTAGAGTCTTCTCAATATCTGTGATCTCTAATGACTTAGTTCTCTTTAAATAGTATAATCCTTGACTAGACGGTAGTCTCTTCTTTCTAAATGATCTTTGACCTGTTTGTCAATCTAGATTTCAAATGATCTTTAAATGATCTCTGACTAGTCCGCGGCCTCTACGTTTTGAATGATCTCTATCCTTTAGTGTTTTTGAATTTAAAATGTCTTTCTTGTCTGTGATCTCTCAAAACTTTGTGATCTTTCTTGTTTATGGTCTCTTCATTTTGAGTTATCTTTTTCGAATACCTTTGACCTGGTGTTATTTACGCTTCATAGAGTGTATGTCTAGTGCAATATCAAATTTTATTTGCATTTTCGTCGCTTTAAAGTTCAATTTTCTGTTTTCTAGCCAGAGATTTCACTGTGATCTCTGTACAGAACTGTATTTATGTTTGAATTGTGATGTAGCATACAATAATTTACTATAATAACGCATGATGCTTTACTATAATACTTTCTTTACATTTTTAACTTGTAAACCCTTATCTTGTCTTTAAACTATGGCTAACGCCTTAGTCCACAGATTTAAAGACGTTTTGTGGCGCCAAAAATGTAGCCTTGAAGTTATCAGATATGTTCATCTAGCTTCCACCAGGTCTCCTGCTGTTTTTACGTCTCCAAGGCTTAGCCGAGCAATGGCAGTGGTCGAAAAAGGCGAAATTAACACTTTTTTTGCTTTTAAATGTTAAAGGCCTTGGGCTAAAATATTAATGTTTTAACAATTTTAATATTTTTTAAATTTTGCAAAAATAAAAAAAAATTAAATTTTATTATATAAGTAAGCAATAGCTATCGTTTACAACATAAAGTTCATTTTTGATGACGAAACTTACCATGCCCTCATTAAAACCAGAAATTAGAAATTATAAACCTAAATCAATATGAAGAAATCAAAGTTTGTAGTCTAGCGATGTAACACAACTTTTCTCTTCGCTATCGGGTTACCTTCCTCATCAGCCTACAGCAAATACACAAACAGTAATTTGCAAATAGCAACATAAGGTGAACTTGCTAGTAGTAAACATTTAGGGCATGGGCGATTATATAGGGAGGGTATGGGTCTTTATGGGGCGGGGAGGGGGTGATAAGGAAGGTCATACCATGTCGCTTCAAAAATTTTAATTTACCGAAGGTTTAAGATTTAAAAAAAATAGTTTTTAATACCCTTCCCTTTCTTTCCTATAAAAATCCATAGAAACCTTCCTAACAACATACCATTCATTTGCCCATAGTAACCTAGAAAGAGTAATATACAAACAGTAATGTCGCCACGTCAAGTCCAACATTTCCTGTTATTTGCTAAAAATAAGATCCGTCGTAGGGAGAATATTCCTAAAAGTACACTCCGACGGCATTAAAATCTTGCACCGCCGAGACAGCACGCCGCCCGCGGAGGGCGGGGTAGAGAGGAAAAAGTGTAAAAACTCAGGGTTACTGTGTATTTTTTGTTCGACAATAGTGCGCTTTTTGTGAAGGCCATCGCTGCGAAAGAAGGGGCTGTAAATGGGGCCTTCAAAGCGCTGAAATTGCACTCGAGTAATGTCTGCACTCTCCTCTGGTTGCGTCGTGTCTCGTCGGCCTTTGTCACTTTCGTTTTTCACATTATTTTGCGGTCAGAAGTCTCTTCAAAATGCGTTGTCTCTCTGTGTAAGGACTTCCAATTGATCTTGCCGATCTTACTCTATCTATTTAAAACACTATCTTCTCGGCAGTCTCCTTGTAACACATAATATTTTGTATTTTTTATCTAAAAATAGGTTTTTATACCATCTTACTTTACAGTACTATTCAAGTCTCCTCTAACATTACCTTCACTACTAATACTATCTTATTTTACCCTCAAAACTGACAAGCACTACTCTCCCTTTTCCTCGTACTCTCTCAACACTGTCTGATGTTCTCCACTTTCCACGTATTCTCTCCTGGTCCTTGGGCCGTAAAATGGCTTTTGTTCGGGTTAAAGAAGCCGGCCCCGGCCTGACCCCGCCTTTGCGGCGGATTTTCTACAACAAATGACGGGTAAAAAGGAAAACATTAGAGAACACACACAACAAAGAGACCGCCGACACTCAAGACATTAAAGTAAAATTGCACTGTGTAAAGGGGCCGGCCCCACCAAGCCGCGACGTGTAATAAAAATGGGCTTGGCTGTGGCGCCGATTCTGTCTGGCCGCTCTACCAAGAGCTGTGCTGCTTCGGAGGACTTACTATGGTCTCTCGATACATCTGAGGGCTTGCCATAATCTCTCGTGTTAGTGCTGCAAAGGACAGAAAGTATACATCTCTGATTCTACCAAAAATGCATAGTATTTCGCCTTAAACAGGATGACTTTCTCTGTTACTCTCTTAAAACACGATGCTATTTCCAATCATTCATCAAACAGCTGCAGCCAATGCTTTTCTTCTCTAAACCCTCTCGAAAACACACATTATCTCACATTATGAAGATATGATTTCTCAGCCACTCTCCTCAAAAGCAACACTATTTCCAAAATATTCATCAACCAGCCGCACCTAAAGAGTTCCATCTCTGCCCCCTCCCTCCGCCGTACCCTCTCTCGGCCGCCGTTTTGCCAGCCGGAGCGATTGTTTGCTCAGCGCCCATTCACGGTCGGCTGCTTTACTACGACGGTCGTCTGGCGGAATCCCCCTCCCCTCCCCGAATGCACCACCGTATGCATCACTTGTGCAGCAGCCCGGGGCCGTGGCCGCGGGTCCGATCGATAAATCATGTGGGCGTGCCCTTCGAAGACGGACTGGACGGGAGCGTGGCAGGCAGAGTGGAGCAGCCCCCCGATGCCCTGGGTGGGATGCACAGTCCTTCTCCTGTCGCTTCCCATTCCTCGCCCAAAAAAGAAGGGGTCGCAAAAAAGAGCGCCGGAAAAAGAGTGGGTAGTGGGGTGGAGACAGCCAGACAACAGGGGCAGACACGGAGAGAAGGTGCTTCGGACGTAGACCCACAGACAGGCCTAGTCCAGGGGGGAGCACCAGAGAGACCGCCGCCCCTTTAAAGAGAAAGGCGTCCGTTTTTCGGGGGGAGCGGCCCCAGAAACTCGCAAATTTTTGGGGAAACCACCTCAAGGCTCCCACCATCAACATTTCCTGTATGCCAGAGGGCTGGTACCCGTCCCACTGGTACTTTTCCTCCATTTTTCGACCGTTTTCCAGCCGAATTAAGGGCGAGACCGACGGTTTTCCGCGTTTTTTCCGAAAATCAATGCCAAAATTATTTTGTGAGCGACGCGAGAGGTTAGACACCCCCATTCCCTTGTTGTATATTGTTGTACTCTGGTTGTAAAATACGGTGAAATTATCTTTAGTTACATAATTTAATTTATTTTTAATTTTTTGCCTAAATTTTATAGATTTTTAATCTCTTTATTTAATTTTGGTAATATAATTTTTTTTTAATTTTGGTAATATAAAATTAAATTCTGTCGTAAAAAAAATTTTAAAACTATGTTTGGACCTCTGCTTATGTCATTGCTACTTTATGGAAGTCGAGGTTAAAAATTTTGAATTATCGTTAAAATTTTTAAAAATTAAAATTTTAGGTAACAAAAACTTAAATTTTTGAAAAATTATAGTAAAGTATGCGTATTTTAATCTAAATTAATATAAAAGCTGTTTCTAACCTTGTAGTTTTGAGATCAGAAGTTATCTTCCCAAAAATAATCTCCAGTCAACAGTTGAGATTCGTCCAAATTGGCAGATTTTCTTTAATTTTTATTTTTTCTGTCGATTTTTACTCCTTTTTTTGTCGAAAAAATACTATGAATGGCATCCACAATATTTTTATTCTGAACGTATTCTTTAACTATTTTACATTGTTTTCAAAGCTTTTTTCTTATTTCATGTAAGTTATATCAACTTAAGAAGAACTCATAACCTTATGCCAATATTTTCACGGATTTTTATAGAAAAACTGAGGAAGTTTTTAAAATGTTAAAATGATGTAACTTTATCCTCCAGGTGAAGATGACCTTAGTCTGCTATATTTCCTGAATATTTAGGTTTATTTCACCTGTTCATCCTTTAATGAACTGCTCATTATATTTTACTAGCTAGTGCACTAGGTCTGAATGTTCAACCTTATTTTTCTTAGCTTTTTGAGGCCAAATTTTTTAAAAATTTTGATTGATTTGATAAAACAAAGTTTTTAGAATGATAATATGTAAATTTTTATTATATTGGTTAGCCGGTCTAAAAGTTATGGCAGTTTTGCGCGGTGCACCCAATTTTTTTGATTTTACTGCACCGTGCAGATTGTCTGTAAACTTTTGTAGCGGTTAAAATGAAAAAGTTTTGTCTAAACTGTTATTTTGAATCTATATTAACTTTATTTGTATTCTGTTTTACTTTTAGGTAACAAATTTTTAATATTTTTGCTAAAATTATTTTTGTTACCTAAAACTTGTGAAAATTTTAAAATTAGACCAAACTTACCTGTTGAATTTCAGCCGGCCCCGTTTTGGCCCAAATGAAATGGATGGCGCGCGGTCGGCAATGGTTAACGATTATTCCGGCCGTTCCTCACAGCGTCGAGTGGATCTACTGGCTTCTCAGCTAACGTATGTTGTTTTCATTGTACATGCTGTTTCAGGTTAATGAATTCTGGTGTTTTTGAGGGTTTTTATGTTTTTTTTTAGCGGGATTGGGGGATTTTTTAATAAATTGAGTTTAAGGATGTTGGTTTAGGTAATATTTTGTTAAGAACCTTGATTTAGTTAATATTTTGAGGAAAATGTTGTTTCGATTAACATTTTGAGGAAACTCTTGTTTTAGGTAACAAATTTTCGAAATTCATATTAAAATTTATGTGTTTTTGGTTTCCAGGGGCTCATATTGATTTTTTATTGTTAATAAGATGGGTATATTGCATATTGTTTTAGGCTTTAGTTTTGAAGGAAAATTATTTTATGTGAGATTTTAGTGAAAAATTGAAATGGTTTTTTATCTTTATTAATTTTTTTACATTTTACAATTAAAACTTTTCAATTTTTAGAGAAAAAGCTATAAAAATCTCCGCCCAACCAGTGGTGGCCCGCTCCAATGGTACCCCGCCCAAAACCTCGAAGCCGGGCCCTCAGGCCAAGGCCAAGAAGGACGAGAAAGCCTCGACGCCGATGCGGACCCGGTCCAAGCACTTCGAAGAAACGGCCGTCTCTCTGACCCCGGCCGAACAGGCCACTCTGGGGGCATCGTCCTCGCTTCTGGGTGCGATTACTCAACAACCTCATTGCATGGTGTGTAAGCGCGGCTTCAGGAAGGGATCAGCAGCAGCCAACAACATCAGAAATTGCAAACAATGCAAAAGATCGGCCCATTCAACTTGTGATGGAGGTTTTTCCAAAGAAAACGTCTGTGGAGAGTGCAGTGGAGCTGAAGTCAGTCGAGAATCTGGCCTTCTAGATGGCTCAATGGAAGCGGAATACGATGCCAAAGCTTCACCGTCGAATGTGCTACAAGAAGATGTGATTTCAATTGATTTTGACGAGGAAACGATCAAAAAGATCAGCCAAACGATAGCTAAAAGCAGCGTGCCCACGCCTCCGTCAGATTCCATCGCTGCCAATGTTCAACAACGCAAGCGACAACGGAAACCGCGACAAACAACGTCTCCACAACCGTATAGTAGAAGGTCAGCGTCCGCAGCTTCAGAAGATCGTCACAGTCCGGCTTCGGCATTGAAAGGGTCGAGGACATCCTTAATATCAGGTCCATCGACTAGTCACGCTCTACAAGGACTTATTGGAGTCGATTTGGACGATTTCAATTCAGATTCTGAACCTTCTGGAAGTCCAGACAGCTTTTTAGGCATCAATGCAAGGAGTAGGGCTAACGATGATCAAGATGAGTACAAACCCAGCAAGTAAGTTTTTAAATTTATTGAAAATAACTTGTTTTAGGTTTTTAAGTATATATTCATAAACAATGTAGAAAGTTACCTGCATTAACATTAGTTAATATCCAAATTTACATTATTCAAGTCAATATGCTAATTTCCTGTATATTTTTAGAACACGAGCCCGACGAACCGAAAGCAACGCCTCAGGGGCCGTTCGATCCAAAGGAAAACAGAAATCGAAGCCGGCGCAACAGAAGCCCTCGATGCGGACCCGGTCGGGTGGGAAGCCGGCTTCATGTATAACACCTCAGGGCATGGTGGCGCCCGAAAAGAATCATCGCGGCCGCAAGAACTGTAAGGGCAAGTCGGCTCGCGGGCGACGTGGAAAGACGGCTGCCGCAACGCTGAAGCCAGCCCGACCCGTGGAAGTGAGTCGACCTGTCGAGGAGAGGCAGAGGACGTCGAGCAAGGTCCGAAGTCACGACGACGTGGATTACATAAGGACGGCGATTGTCAGTTGCCGAGAAAACCGGTTTCTGGAGTCGACCTGTCTTTGTTTGGTGTGTGGAAGTGTGGGCAAGGATGCGGAAGCTACAATGATAACATGCACGAGCTGTGCTCAGAGTTATCACACCTACTGTGTTAACATGCATGAAAAGGTTGGTATTTTGGACTTATTTGGGGTTACACTGAAGTCTAGCTTTGTTTTTACTAAAAATTATATTATCCATGATTTATTAAGAAAAAAGTCTTATTTAATGTCAAAAATATCATTTTTAGTTACGTTTTGCGTTTTAAAATTAGTTTTGTACTGTTTTTCATTACCTTTTAACTGATACGGTTAATTATGTGGTTTTGGTCTTTCCAGCTAAACAACACGGTCCTGAAACGAGGCTGGCGATGTCTCGATTGTACAGTTTGTGAAGGCTGTGGTACTGATAAGGACGAGTCGAGGTTACTGCTATGTGAAGAATGTGACATATCTTTCCATACGTATTGCCTAGATCCACCTTTGAAAGAGATACCCAATGGTCCTTGGAGGTGTAAATGGTAGGTTTTGGCATTATTTGATAGGTTTTTTGAGCATTTATTCTAAAAAATTATAAATTTTGAAGTTTTTGGGTGTTTTTTTGATTTTTTTGGCGTTTTTTTCAGTTTAAAAAATTGAAATTTGATGTAACATACCAAGCCTCTTTCACAAACTACCATATTTTAGGTGCGCCACGTGTTGTCGCTGCAACAAACAAGTCCAATCAGGTCTAGATCTATCCAAGCTCGAAGGCCTGTGTGAAACCTGTTATTCCCTGAGGAAATGTCCCAAATGTTGTAGATTGTACGAACAAGGAGATTTGCTAATAAAATGCCATCACTGTGAACGATGGTATCACGGACCGTGCGAGAGCTACAACACAGAAGACGAAGTCGAGAATGCGTCGGAAAACGCCTTCAGATGCTCGTTGTGTAGGCCCAAATTGAATACCTATCGTGAGTTTTTGAGGATTTTTAAATTATTTTTTTGATTTTTTGGATTGATATTGAACTGTAAAATACGCGACATGCATTTTTTACGTTGTTTAGAAAGATAAATGTTACCTAATTAGTACGATTTTAACGAATTTACAATTTTTCATTTTCAGAAGAAACCCACAGCGTCATAGACAATGTAATGGTAACTCGCACAGGCCTCGAAATGTTCCCCCAACTCCGCAGAACCAACTCGAGTATGTCGTTCAACGATGGAGCTTACCGCACCTCAGTAGATCAGGATGACTACGAAGTTGATGACATTTCAAATGACCTCAGCTTCTTCCCCACAGGCCCTCGAGGTGGCAGAGGTCGAGGATCTGGAGCCGGAAGACGAGTTACACGAATTGGAGTTGGTGGATTCGTAGTCAGAATCCCCAGACATCGGCTACTAGCAGAACTCACGAATCAAGGCAAAGAACTGTTGGCGGAGGAAGGTGAAGGTGATAAGAAAACGAGGAAACCAAGGAAGCCGAGACGGCCGAGGCTGGAAGAAGCTTACCCACTGCACATTCAAGAAGCTTTTTTTGGTATAGAACCTGTAGACTCGAGGACGATCCTCGAGATCCCAGTGGAAGAACCAGTATTGGGAGAACATCACAACTTCAACCTCGAGGATAAGGTCAGCAAGCTCGGGACTGAACTCCATGGCCAGGCAGCCGCGGCCTTAAGAGAACAAGAAGAAAGTGATCTACTAAGACTATTCGATCTAGGTGGTACTGACATTGATGATGGTAACTTCGATCTAGATGATCTCAACTTCACAGACGAACTCGGCCTAGCTGACGACAGTATGGACATGCAGGAGAACGACTTTGATGACAACGAAGCCCCAGCTGACCGCCAACAGTTCCTCGCTCAAATGGAGGAGAGTCACGAACGCCAACGACAGCTTCAAGAACAACAACGCCAAGGCCAATCGGCCGGACAACCCCAGCCTCAGGCGGCCCTAAAAGGCATGACATCGACCGCGGGACAGCCCCATGCCCAAGAGAAAAACAACGGAAACGCGGCCACCGAGAGCTGGGAGAAGGACGAGCCCTTAGGAGATAAGGCTACAAAAGCAGCTGTTTTGTATGCAAATATCGTACATCCCGAGCTGAAGGAAAAGTTCCCTCAGTGGAGTGAGAGAGTGAAGCAGATCAACAAACAGTGGAGACAGCTGGATGCCGATAAGAGATTGGAATATGTCGCTAAAGCCAGGGAAAACAGGACTAACATGCCCAGAGGAAGACCGAGGAGGGACAACAGTCAGAAACTGTCGATGGACGACCAGGAAGCTTCTAGGGACAGCTTCAAGATGGAGTCAAGCACTCCGACTGAGCCAGAACCAGATTCTAACACAATGCCTCCACCCACTCCCATGGCCAACGGCAACCCTCCACCCTACCAACCCCAACCTCAAGTCCATATGAAGCCTCAGCCTGTTCCAGTAGCTCAACCTATGAACATGAGACCTCCACAACAACAAGGAATGCCAGCACGACCAGTACAGTACCAAATGAACGGTCATAGTGAAGGTCAGATGGCTGCTCAACCAGTAATCCAACCTCAACATCACATTCAAGGTCAGATGCAAGGTCAGCCAATGAATGCTACTGGAATTCAAGGTCAGATGCCTTCAGGACAAACGGGACAAGGACAGATGACATCACAACAACAATTGCCTCAGAACATGCCTAATCAACCAGGCATGCCACAACAACATGGTCTACCACAACAGCCAATGGGTATCCAACCCCAAATCCCTGGCCAACAACCCATGCCCAACCAACAAATCCCTGTTCAAATGCCGTACCAACAACAACATCACCCAATATCTCAACAAGGGATGGCCAATCAGCCCATCCCAATGCACGGTATGCAGCCAGTTCATCCTCAGATGGTACAACAACAACCAATTGCTATCATCTTCAACAAACTAGCTCCACCAAAGCTAGATGAATATGTCGGACTGAGGAATCTGTTGGCCAAGATCGAGCAAGACCAAAAGAAGGTCGAGGAAGAGCTGAACAAGCTGAGGAAGGTGAAGAAGAACATGAGTGCCAAGAGAAGGAACGTTAAGAAGAACTACCAGACGGCCCAAGAGAACGGTCAGCCTTTGCCTGCCGAAGACTTGCCTCCAGAAGACGTAGAGAAGCTGGAGAAGGTACTAGAAGATGTCACCAAGACCCAGAAGTACAATGAAGGCATCAAACAGAAGTTCAAGGAGGTCACGAGCAAGCTCACCAACTTCGAGCAGTCCAACGGCATACCAGACCAGAAAAGTGTACCATTCGAGATGCTGATGCACGCCAAAGCCCATCCCGAGATCCTACAACAACCAATGTACGTCAACTCGGAAGGACAACAGCTACAGTCTCCCAACTTCTACATGGAGAATCAGAATCCCATGATGAGGCAGCAGGGAAGCTTCGGGAATCAGAATCAGTTCGGAAGCCAACAAGGACCGTTTGGTAACCAAGCCTTCTTCAACGGCCAACAACCCGGCTACCCGAACGGTGTCAGAGTCCCACCGTACACCCAGCAAGTGGCACGTCAAATGGTGTCTCCAGGTGTCAACGGATCGTCACCAACTACTCCAATCAGTGGAAGACCCGGATCCTCGGCTTCCATTGATCCTACGCCTAAAGCTGGCCGAGGTCGGAAACGGAAGCGAATCATGCTACCGAACGAGGAGACTAGAGCCGAGACGATGGGAGGGCAGGTCTACGCTCAGCTTCATACTGAAGTCGAACGTGAAGTATACAATTCTGTCAACCTCATGATCGATTGGGTTCTCTTGGCTGTAGCAGGTGAAACTGAAACGTTGATGAGAAAACTCCCGACCTTGAAGGTCAGTGAACCCTTTGACGAACTCTTCAACCCGTATCAAGCGGCCGAACTTCCGAAAGCCAAGAAGAAGCGGCAGATCGTGAAGAAACCCTCAAGCAACGATGCTACTGAGTACGATTTGTTTGTGGGAAAACTAGAGAATCAGCTCAAAGGGTGTATCATCGAGAATGTCCAGTTCGAACAAAGTCCTGACAGTGGAGATCGTCACTTTTCCGATGACACCCAATTCCCATGGAGGAATGGTGTTACCTACTTCGAAGGCACTGAAATCGGAGAATATAAGCCCAAGTTCATGGATGACTACTACTCAGTGGTCGAGAAGTTTGAATCCTTTGATCCGACGCCAATCTACCCACGCACCATGAATCAGATCTACTGCGACGTCGACTTGGAAGACCTGGAGCGAAGTGAATGTCAGATCCCAGAAGGCCTGAACGGCAGTCTTCACAACGATCGTCTGGATCCGAGAGTGAAGCAGGAAGCCATGGAAGTTGATGAAGATTCAGAACAGCGTAGCGTGGAGCAACGGCGTAACTCGAATGTATCACAACATCGTGGTGAAAAGATTGTGAACATGGACTGTTATCACCTAAAATGGCGTTCCATATGTTCAGATGAAATTGGAGAATCCACGATTCTACCTTTCATGCACCGTGTTCCAGAGAAGCCGATTCCAGTAGAACCTCACAAGTCCGCCGTGAAACGACTTCTGAACAGAGATTCTACAGAGAAGTTCAAGGTGGAGTTGGTGGGTAACATCGATGTGCGGGAAGAAACCATCACCGAGCTGAAGAACATCCTCGGGTATTCTGGAGAGATCACGGTGAAGGACATCTCTCAACAAAGCATCGTGAAGCCAGAACCAGTGAATCAGAAGCCAGTGGTACCCAATTGTGTACAATGTGGAGAGAAGGCTTCACAAGAGAAGGCTTTTTTGGACACCATGCCCGCCTTCGGATTCGGCAAAAACACTCCGGATCTGTGTTCGTATCGTTGTATCTTCATGTACCTGGCTGATGCCAAACGACCCATACGACCCGAGCTGTTCAATGTAGCCAAGGAGTACGTGGACGAGCTTACTGTAGTCAAACTGATCGACAATTACCGTCAGTTCAGCCTACGGAGCAATCCAGTCTCCAAGGATGCCTCAGGCAATCCACTGCCAGAAGACGTGCTCACTGACTTCCCTTTCTTCTACCAGAACAACATCCACTCGAAGAATGAGTTGGTACTCAAGGTGGCAGACATTCCCTTAATGAACAACCAAAAGCAGCGAGAGCGGCCGAAAGGCCAATACAAGTGGAAGAAGAGCTTCTGGATGTCGTACGATGGATCCATTCTACAGAGCTTTGAACGACCACACAACGAGGTTCGGCAGGTTCGTTTGTGTCGTGGTTGTGTGCATGTTAATGTAGATATTCAGCTTTAAAAACGTTAAATGTAGCATCAGACTTGTTTTAAAATGTCATTTTTATTGAGAATATTATAATTTAACCACCTTTAAAAGCCTTAAAGTCAATGATAAGCTTTTTTAAATTTTAAAAAGTATCTGTAACAAAGTCCCTCGCCATGGTTAATATAATATATTTTCAGAAATTCGCTGCTTTCCAACACAAACTCAACGGCCGTGTCGCTTCTCGTGACGATGATCTACGCCAATGTGCCTTCTGCTCTCAACGTGGGGATGGAGAACAACATCAAGGTGGCCGTCTTCTGAATCTGGATGCCAATGAATGGGTACACGTCAACTGTGCCATGTGGTCTTCGGAAGTGTTTGAGAATGCGGACGGTGCCCTGCTGAACGTGAGAGAAGCCCTGCGTCGTGCCGAAGATGTCTTCTGTAGAGTTTGTCACAAAGCCGGAGCATCGCTACGCTGCTACAAGCTGGACTGTCCTCAACACGAGATCGGGTACCATCTTTTGTGCGCCAAAAAGGCTGGTGGAAAGTTCGGAAAAGACAAAAACTTTTACTGTCCTGCCCACGACATCAGACCGGAAGCCTGTGTGAGTAAATGGGACAACCTGAGACGGATCTACATCGAACGACCGGAGAATCAGTTGCTGGCCAAGATCTTCAACAATACCTACTCGAGCGAGATGATGATGAGAGTCGGTAATCTCATCTTCACCCAGTTGGGACAACTTCTGCCAGAACAAATCAAGAATTTCCACACCGAGGAGTACATATACCCAGTAGGGTATACTGTAGTAAGACTGTTTTGGTCCCCAATCAACGTCAATGAGCTAGCCAGATTCGAATGTACCATCAAGGAAGATGACAGTCGCCCCATTTTTAAGGTCAGATGTCTGGAGACAGAACTATCGGATAGAACCATGGAAGGAGCCTGGTCGAGGGTTCTATTGGCAGTACAACAACTACGAGAGAAGACACGATCCCAAGGAACGGAGATCCTCAGATTCTACCCCGACCTCATGAACTGTGCCATGCTATTTGGTGTGAACGAGAGTGCCATCACCAAAATGACAGAAAGTCTCCCAGGAGTCGATCAGATGTTTGACTACGCCTTTCGGCACGGTGGCCTTCCCCTGATGGACCTTCCTTTAGCTCTGAATCCTTCAGGATGTGCACGATGTGAACCTCACTGTCGCACGTTAGTCAAACCACGATTCAGAAGTCTAACTCAAAGTCCTATGAAGGCGGAGAAGGTGAAGAAGGATGCCTTTAACGCTGAGATCATGTCGAGAGAATCCAGGAGAACTCGAGCTCAACGTAGCATCAACCTCTACGGAATGACCGAGGACTACATCAAGATGATGAAGAAGTCCGGCATCACGGAAGAGATGCTCATCGCATCCCACGTCAGATACGATGCCAACTCAGTGCACAATGCGCACACTCAGTACAAGAAGATGAAGAACGAGTGGCGGAACTACGTGTATCTGGCACGCTCCAAGATTCAAGGTCTAGGACTATATGCCAAACGAGATATCGACATGAACTCGATGATTATAGAGTACGTCGGAGAAGTGATACGATCAGAAGTGTGTGAAGCCAGAGAGAAAAAGTATCTGGCACAGAACAGAGGGACCTACATGTTCAGAATCGACGACGATTGGGTGATTGATGCCACGATGAAGGGCAGTCTGGCCAGATATGTTAACCATTCCTGTGACCCGAACTGCTTCACCAAGAGAATGAAGTTCAACGATGAGGAAAAGATCGTCATCGTCTCGAATCGACCCATCAAGGCGGGCGAGGAGGTAAGGCTAGCAAATTTAATTTTGAAAAATTTTAAATTTCAGTTAAAGAATGAAATTTCAATTATTTGAAGCCTTCTATACCCCCAGGCTTAAATAATCTAACCATTTTCAATTCCAGCTGAGCTACGACTACATGTTCGAACTGGAAGACGACCAAACCAAGGTACCATGCCTTTGTGGAGCACCAAACTGTAAAAAGTGGATGAACTAAACCTACCATAGCAACTATAATGTATTTCTTACTGTAGAACCGGCTAGAGTATCTTAACTAGTCTTACTAACTCTTTTTGCGTACTAACCAGTGCATCAACCGGCCTTTGTGTGGTACCAGTTGGGAGGATTGGTACTGTTTGTGTTGGAAGTTTAAGCTTGTACCATTGGCTCTATTGTTTCAATTTTGTATGAAAAATGAAAATTGGTACTATTTTTATTCATAGTACAGAAGTGGGTTCACTTTGGTACCATTTATGTTTTCTGGTACCATTTTATGATACTTTTGGTATACGTTTCAAATTTTGTGGTACTCTTTCACAGGACTTTTGGTACAATTCTACCGTGCCACCCCCAATACCAGTACCAATCCCCCACCCACCTGGTACACTTTGTACAGTCTTAACGTCGCCTTAGTTCAGAATTTCAACAAACTTCTATTTTAATTTATTGCGATCATTTTGTAGCTGCGACACGGGTATTAATCAGATTATTTGAAGTCGGAGGACCCACCGTCCTCCCCGCAACCTCTTAACTACACTTGTACATGTTATATTGCCATTTTGTTGTAACAATCGATTGTTGTATTTTTGTCACGTTTCGTATCTTCCAAAGCTGCGTCCTTTGTGATCTCTTTTTGTATCATAACTTTATTAAATCAATTTCCATTGCCCTTGTGTATAATGAAAAAGGTAATAAAAAGATTAAAATATTATGCTTGGATCGAATTTTATATTGTAATTGAAAGAAGACGACGATAACCGTGAAAAAATAGCAAAACTTTACACGAAATTTATGAAAGTGCCCAAAAAGAACATGTTATGCCCAGTATTTCAATAAAAATTATATGAAAGTACAAAAAATACAATTACCTTTCGAAATGCCTTGTACACTTGGTCCGATTCCATGTTTTTATAATGAATACATTGTAAACAATACATATATAAGGTAGAAAAACGTAAATTCGAAGGTAGAAAAACAAAAAGCAACTTAAAAACATGAATTTACAACTAATTTTGTTCCCACAACAAAATTTTGTTTTTTCTAAAAAATCGGAAATTTTTAATGTGCAGCCTGCAAGCGACAAGTTATACGAAGTAAAAAAATTCAACTATTTAAAAATGATTTTTTAAATTAGGCAAAATAACCACAAGAAAACGCATTTTAGTGATTTTTATTGAATCTTTATTCAACATTCATTTTTTTTTAAATCTCCAAATTTGTGTCAAAACAAAAGTTTGCGCCGACCGGGATTCGAACTCGGGGGTCTGCCTTGGGAGGGCAGCGTCCTAACCACTGGACTACTGGCACGTTGAAACAAATAAAACCCGACAAAAATAAATGCCAGAGGGTACCCGGCTTCTCATGGATATGGGAACGGCAGAACGACAACAAAAAGGCAGCAAATTTGGCGAAACAAAATCGTAAAGTAAGGAATTTTGATTAAAAAAAAACAAAAAATAATCTTCAAACCACTTTCAAACTTTAGGTATTACAAACAAGAGAAACACTAGTTTATAGTATTAAATACAATCTTAAAACTTTGTTCCAGCTTCTAAAAAAAGACTAAAATATTATATCTTTGCATTACAACTATGGTATCGCAATAGAATTAAACACCCATAAACAAAATATTGTATATGTCATATAGGTATCAAACTTTTTTAGATATGTCTTTACCGTTTAAGATATTGCCATAACACATATCTTACTATCTATTTTAAGAAAAATATTTTTAACACGCTACCTTAACATCGCAAGTTACTGTAACGTTTTGATGTTTGTAGCTGAAGCAGACCAAAAGTTAATTAATATCCGAGTTTGGTAATCAAAGAGTAATAAAAATAATTGTGAATAATTCGTAGCTTTCGACCAGCAGGTGTAAGGATGCCATTATAAGCCGGGTCTTTAGTGTTCGTGTATCAACCATATTATTGTAAGTTCTGTCACAAAAGTGTACTTTTTGTATTTTGCGGCTTGTTGACATGACTTTGGCAGTAGACGAACTGCCTTCCAAAGACTTTTTGAATTTATTTTTGAAATTGGAAAAGTATGTCATCATTTCTACAGTATCTGTGGTGTTTGTCACTTTGATTGTCATGAATATGTGTAAGTTGAGTTAGTGATACATTGAGCTATTGTGAGAAATACCTAGTGCAATATCTTTGGTTTTTTACTTAAGTTACTGATAGAGTTCCAATTTTTACAATTTTTATTTGTAGCTGTAAGAACCACCTTGAAACGGTACCATTACTACCTTGTTAATGAAATATTGTGGTAAATCAACCTAAATTTTTTTTATTTTTAAACTATGTAAAATACGTTTGAGACTCAAATAACCTTAATATTATTTTAAAATTATAGCTCCCTCCTCGGAGACATAGTACTATACTTAATTGGTCCAATAGTACTATACCCAGAGCCATGTTTCATGTTATCAGGGCTATTGGCATCAAACAAGCAGTACGATGTGTACATTCTGCTACTGTTCATAGCTACTCTGAATGCCAGAGGGTCAGCTTTAATGTTGCAGTTCTTTTCTAGAGTTACTCAGTCAATGTCACCACGATCCAAGTTGTATATCAATAACTGTAACGTCAAAAATCAGTATATTATCATCGGTTTTGTTGTTAACGTTGTTTTTGGGGCTATCATTACTGCTGTAAGTGTAACATTTTTTACAAAAGTCAGAGGTTTGTAACCTATACATAAACTAAAAGCGCCATAAGATCAATAAAATATATTTTAGGCTCCCTTCTGCTTTCCTACAGCATCAAAAGCTGCTCGTACTGAGCTAACATTAAACTTAACATCTCTATTACAATCTCATTACCAGAAATCTCCAAACATCTACTGCTTTGATGCCACTTCATCGATGAGTAAAGCCTTCATTCCTATCATCTGCATCTTCGTCAGTGTACCAATTGTTGGACATACCATGTTGTGCATGATATACTACTACATAACTACATCAAACTTTGCGGTAAAAACCAAAAAACTTCAGTTAATGTTGTTGTGGTCCCTGATAGCTCAATCTATTGGTATCTTTGTATTTCTATGTGGACCATGCTATATAGTATTGATTGCGCCATACTTTGGTATGAGGAACATACCAAAAATTGGCAGTTATTGTTCTATATTCTTGTTATCTCACACCACTTTTGATTGCTTCATAGTGTTATGGTTTATCAAGCCATACAGAACATCACTTATCAACCTTTTTACTATGAATTCAGTCAATAAAGAGTTGTCGCATAGTATACAGGCTTACATACGCAGAAGATCTATCTTGTTTGTGCCAAAGTTTATGAATCTTGATGCTATTATGTTAGATACGAAGACAACAAAAATTAGAAGATTGTCGTAATCATTGTCAATATTAATGTTTGCTACTCAGCCTTCAGAATTGTAATAAACGAGTGCCTACATATACGATGTTATGTTTAATGAACAGGTGTTTAAAGTGTACAATGTTGCATTTTATAATGGCAAAAATCATTTTAATTGTTATTGTTTTGCATAAGAAATGGCATAAATTATAAAAAGCTTTTGTATGTCACATTTCATACACAAAATAATGATTAAAAATTAAAACCAACAAATATTCAGCAACTAACGTGACGTTTTTAATCTACAGTGTGCCACATTTGTACAACGATTTACTGCGTCGTGCGGATAGCCCGAGTCGCGCCTACGGTTGACTAAGTCTCACGCTTTTTAGTCAAGTTTAGTTGATGAACATTTTATATGTAGTATACGTACGGTCGTATACAAAAGACGGCAATAATATCTTGTACCTTTAGCCAATAACACAAAGAGTCCAGGTGAAACTACTTGTCTTTGGCATATTCTTTAATTAATAAAAGTTTTACAGTTTAAAGGACCCGTTCGGAGGTCGTTTGAAATCTCGTCGTAAAGTTGGTTCGGCCGTGTTTTTGGCGTTTTGTTTCAACGAAATTATCGAGAAAAAATATTTATTTTTATTTTTTTTCATGGACAATATCCGCAAATGGTCGATATTCTATGTTTTCTGGTATAAAAGTGGTTTATATTTCCTAAAATATTATTGTCCTGCTGAAGTTCTCCAGGTTTTATTGAATTATACACTTTTATATTGATATAGTGTGTAGTTCGATACCATTTTGCGAACTTTTGCAAGATCCAGTCTAAAATAATGTCGATTGGTAAGTAGTTTAACTTGTTTTATTTTTTTGTTTTAGGTAGAAGACTATTCGGTTTAACAAATTGGTAACTTTCCTTTGTGTTTCAACAGTTATTTGCTCGGAATAACGTCTTGACATTGTTTTAGTCTTCTATTTGGGTAACAATTGAAGATATGAACATGGTTTTTGCTTAAAAACAAGGAGGATCGATGGGGAAAAGCTTTTGCAACGTTTTTTAGTGGTTTATCTAATGTCGGTTCGTAAAAGTACTAAAAAGCGTTATTTTGGGTATTGTTTTAGACAAAGTTTCAAAAAAGGTTTACGATTAAAGTATTCGTGAACGAATTTGCATTTACATTGATTTATATTCTATTACCTTGATCTTCAAAGTAAAAATATTAGTTTCATAAGTAACTTATAAGGCAATATATCCACGAAATGGTTTAGTATCTACCTAAAGTATTATATAAAGATAAAAATGGAGTTCACGTTTTTCATTCGCTGAAACTTTAGCTAAATCTTTGAAAAACTTTAGACAACACCTTTTTTATCGATTCTCCTTGTTTTTAAACAAAAACCATGTTCACATCTTCAATTGTTACCCAAACAGAAAGCTAAAACAGTGTCAAGACGCTATTCCGAGCAAATAACTGTAGAAACACGACGGAAATTTACCAATTTGTTAAACCAGATAATCTTCTACCTAAAACAACAAAAAGAAAAAAATTTAAACTACTTACCAATTGACGATGGACATTATTTTAGCTTAGATCTTGCACAAAAGTTCGCAAAATCGTATCGAACTACACACTATATCAACATAAAAGTGTATAATTCAATAAAACCTAGAGAACTTCAGCAGGACAATAATATTTTAGGAAATAAACCACTTTTAGACCAGAAAACACAGAATATCGACCATTTGCGGATATTATCCATGAAAAAAAATAAAAAAAATATTTTTTCCCAATAATTTCGTTGAAACAAAACGCCAAAAACACGGCCGAACCAACTTTACGACGAGAATTCAAACACCAATTTTTCGAGGGTGAACGGGTCCTTTAAAAAGGTATTTAACGTAAACCATCTGCCATCTGAAGAGAAGTATCAAATTTTTTCCACTTTACTTCTTCAAGTTAACCACAGTTGATCTCCTTCGTAAGACTGATCGGGATATGCTAGACATCTCAACAATACTAACAGATCTAGTGACAAAACTTAACAGCACTTTTCTGTAAGGCTTGACTAACCATAATACAATAAGACAGTCGAACGTCGTATGTAACAAAATGATTATTGAACAGTAAATAGCTACTGTAGGCATGTTACGTAGCCCAAAGAATGGCCCTAACAATATCGTATAAGCTGGAAAACATAGAAATATTAATATACCGAGCGCTTGGACTATTAGCGACCAGAACAACATAAAATGAAGTTTTTTGGTTTTTCGACTGTAAGGCGATGTTGTTATTTGGTAGTATATTACAGCCAACATAGTAGCACCAAAAACTGGTACACCCAAAAATATTGTTGGGACGAGTACTGTACCTTCACGAATAACTAGAGAATCGTCGAAGCAGTAGACATAGTAAGTGATACTGTACTTGTGAGATACAAAGAGTGAGATATAAGATTCAAATTGACTCCTGACTTCTGGTGATGGCATGGTGAGGTAAAAGAGTTCCTAAAGGCTCCTTTGATTTAAAATACGAAAGAATATGCTTTCTGTTACTAAAATTAACTGTTGTTTCGTTACAAATTTACAAAAGAACAGTATTATTAAGGTAAGGGTTGGCATATTAAAAAAAACTTACCGTAACAATTACGGTACCTAAAGCCCAAATTATTACAAAAGCTATGACAATAAGCCAACTGTTGACATTACTGTAAATTATGTGTAACCTGGATTGTGGTGACATTGAAGTAACTATTCGAGAAATGAATTGCATCACCAAAGCAGCTCCTCGCGCAGTTACAGTGTTAATAACCATAATTAAGGTCCAGGTGGTTAAAGAGTTGGCGAAGTAGTTTACAGGACCGCCAAGTACGAAACATGGCGTTGGGAATAGTATCATTATACCGTTTAGATACACGGCCAGGTCGCTGATTAGGGAGCTGAAGATACGTATGGTAAGAAATAAGCGGTAGTATTATTGTACTAAAATGAATAAAGTTTTTCATTATTTACAGCGTATCGCACACCGTGTAGTCTTATAGATACAGATCGTTAAGCTTTTTACTAAAACTTACAATACAATTTCGTTAATTAAAAAGTAATGATACCGCTTTAACGCTGCCCTGGATGCTAAAACAATGTGTGATTATTAGTAGCTCTAAACATTGACTGATAATAGACTAAAATTGCTAGTCAAGCCAAGTAGAACACTTTAAACTTACACATGCTCATAACAGTCAGAGTGATAGTAACCACAATTGTATTTAACACAATCAAAGTACGTTCTGTGCCCAAAAACCATTGATAAAACTCTTCAGATGGCAATTCGTCTTTATTGAACAACATGTAGCTATTAACAAACAAGCTCTGTTTTATTTGTAATTTTTGAACGTATCGACAGACAAATAGAGAATCAAAAATTACAGTTTAAGGATCATGCCGTTGTTTAATGTAAGAGAGCAATAATTAAAGTGGTTTCAATTTGAATTTTGCTGTTTTAAAATGCAACATTTTTTCACACCTGCTCATGACCATTGTATGTTTTAGTACCAGTTTATTCGTTAAACAAATGAAGCGGGTGCTCTTTTAATTGAAGTACCCTGTCATAAAATTATTATGAATATTAGTATTATTAGCTACTTACAGTATATAAAATATTTATTTATCCAGAAATATAAAATACGACCGATCCGCGGTCTAGTTGGGTAGAGACTTCTTAGTTTTTGGCCAAATCGGCCTAACTATAAACAGTTTTTGCAAGATAAAAAAGACCTTCTTTGTTCTGGATCGGTTCTATATTTTTGTAAACATGTTTTTGTATTTCTTAACTCGCAACTTCGCGACAACCCGTTCAATCGCTTTAACATACTCAAATTTCGACCTGACTAGACGCAACCAAATTTGAACTTTATTTAATTTTTATTTAAATCCAAAAAATTTAAAACTCACTTTTTGGAAGTGATTCCTTTCATTTCAGAGACTAACTCCTTGCGGGTCCAAGGATGGGGCTCGACGACTCCTCCCAACCGTCCACCGATGCTAAATCTTCCAAGACTGACGATTTTTCTGCTTGAGGCAATGACTGAGGCGAGGGCAGGCGGAATGCCAAGAGATCAGGGATTTCGTGGCGGTAGCCGGAGCGCGTGCTACTACCACACATAACGGTCATGAGCAGGTGGTAAAAACGTAGAATGTTGCATTTTATAACAGCAAAACTCAAACTAAAACTTAGTTTAAATGGTTTTGGTACTTTACATTAAATAATGCCATGATTTTAAACATTGTTGGATTCTCTTTTTTTCTGTTGGTATGTTTGATACAAGTACAGAGTTTTACTCAGTGTTTGATGCAGACGAACTACCACCTGAAGAGCTTTATCAATGGTTTTTGGGTACAGAACGTACTGTGATTGTTTTGAATACCATTGTGGTTACTATCACGTTGATTGTAATGAGCACGTGTAAGTTTAAAGCGTTTCATTTGGCTGGGAGAGCAATAGTTTATTGTTGGGAGACATTCATAGCTATTATCACAGTTTGTTTTAGCATCCAGAACAATGTTGAAACGGTACCATTACTTTTTAATTAACGAAATTGTATGGTAAGTTTTAGAAAAAATTTAAACAAGTACATATGTACCTATAAAGCTACGCGATTTGCGATATGTTACAAATACTAAAAAACTTTTTTTAAGGAAAGTAATACAGATTTTTTTACCATACATATTTCCAGCTTTCTAACCAGTGACCTGGCCGTGTATCTAAACGGTTTAATGATACTATTCCCAACGCCATGTTTTGTACTCGGAGGGCCTATTAATTACTTAACCACCTCTTTAACCACGTGGACATTAGTTGTGGTTATTAACACTGTAACTGCCCGAATAGCTGCATTATTTCGTCTGGAATGATCAGGTCCCCCCCCCCTCAAACAGGTCCCCCTATCGATCAGGTCCCCTGCTCAATCAGGTCCCCGCATCGAACAGGTCCCCTCTTTTAAAAAATAAGTAAATTCGGCAGAGGGTTTAGGAGGTTCGGCGGAGGGTCGGCGGAGAGTTTAGGGGATTCGGCGGAGGGTCGGCGGAGACTTTAAGGTATCTACTCGACTCTACCCTTATATACCATATCATACCCTACCATAACCTATTCTATGTACCATACTATATCTTAAAATAACGTACCATATTATACCATACTATGTCATACCATACTTGACTATATTATACCATTTACGTTGTTTTACTTACCTATTCTACCACACCCATAGATAGTACACGATAGTGTTGTATAAGATTTAATAAGGTAAGGTATGGCACAGTTTGGTATGGTTTGGTATTGTAAGGCTCGTATGCTAGGTAGTACAGGGTATATCATGGTATGTTATGGTATGATAGGATATGGTATTGTATGGTATGGTATAATATGATGTGGAAGGTATGGCATGTTATTGTATGGTAGGGTATGGCATGTTATAATATAGTACGGTATTGTAGGGATTGGTATGGTAGATGGGATAGGTTATGGTAGGGTATGATATGTTAGGTACAATACGGTAGAATATTGTATAGTTTGGTATGGTATGTTTAGTAAGATGGGTATGGTATAGTAGGCACCACAGGACATCGTATGATATGGTTATGGTTTAGTTGGGTAAGGTAAAATGGGCAAGGGTAAGGTTGGATAGGGCTGAAAAGGTTAGGGGTAGGGTAGGGTTAAAAATGGGTAAGGTGGGACAAGGCTGAAAAGGTCAAGGCCAGGGTCAAGTGGATAACCTAAAACCTCCGCCGAATGCCCTAAAGCCTCCGCCGAATCCCCTAAACTCTCCGCCGACCCTCCGCCGAATTCCCTAAAGTCTCCGCCGAACCTCCTAAACCCTCTGCCGAATTTACTTATTTTTTAAAAGAGGGGACCTGTTCGATGCGGGGACCTGATTGAGCAGGGGACCTGATCATTCCAAATCGCATTATTTTTGCAATTCGTTTCTCGAATGTTTACTTCATTGTCACCGCAATCCAAGTTACACGTAGTTAACAGTACTGTTAATGATTGGTTTATTGTCGTAGTTTTTCTAGCAGCTTGGATTTTAGGTACCATAAGTGTTGTGGTAAGCTTTTTTATTCTTTTTAAGTAAACATTACTTTACTAAATCTGCTCTTTTGTGAAGTTTTATTATAACTTAACATTAGTTATAATACTTTTGGTAGAACAAAGCTTAATCTTTCGTTTATTAAACCTTAGCCTTTAGGGTCTTTTTTACCTTACAATGCCACCATCAGAAGTCACAAGCCAACTTGAATCGTATATTTCATCCTTTATATCTCACAAGTACAGTATTACTTACAATATCTACTGTTTTGACGATTCTCTAGTAATTCGTGAAGGTACAGTACTTATCGTAACTATACTGTTGGGAATACCAGTTTTTGGGGCTACCATGTTAGCTGTAATGTACTACCAAATCACAACATCGACTTACAGTCAAAAAACCAAAAATCTCCATTTTATGTTATTTTGGTCGTTAGTAATTCAGGCACTCGGTATATTAACATTTCTATGTTTTCCAGCTTATACGATATTGTTAGGGCAAACATATAAAACTTTTTTGCCAGTTGTATGTTTATCTTATCTAGTTTTAAACTCAAATAAACTTCTCCAACTTGATTCACGTGTTTATATTACAACAGATAACAAATATAGAAGTGTATAGATAATATTTACAGGTCTTACTAATACTAAAAATGTAATATGTTATATATGTGTGAGAGAATAACCTTTACTTTCACTGGATTACGATATTCGAAGAGATCATTGCGACAATATACTGTAATTTCGATACTAAACAATAGGTATGTAAAAAGAGAGCTACTACAATATAGATGTTGTACAACTTGTACGATAAGATAAATTTAGCAACTTTTATGGTAAGTTAGTTTGTTTAAAACAAATAATGATATTGTTATACCTGACAAGTTATAGTAAAACATACACAGTAGTCAAGTTATAAGATGATAAAGTTGTAACTAACAACGTTTACCATAATAAAGTTGCACTAACATCTCAGACGATGATATAGGTTTAGAGTTGGCAAAAAATTAATTATTTTGTCAACAAGGCGATCAAGATACGATACATTACTACATTGCAACTAAAAAATAAAAAATTTTGAAATTACAAAAAGTTTTGACAAATTTTTAGCATTCCTTTAGTGTACTGTCAGATGAGCTGTCATACTTAAACAGTCATCGTACAGTACGTTTGTAAGTTGTCCAGGAACCTTACTATCCATAACTATCTCTACTTCATACACAATTCCTTGACAAAGGCGTTTATTCTCCAGAAGTTGCCAAACACGTCCATAATTTGCATATTTTCATCGTTCGTATCGACAATGTTCTGAAATACGAATTACAATGTGTGGCAATATATAAACTTATATTTGTGCGACATAAGCATATAATTTTGTAAAATTCAAAATTTTCCAGCCTTTTTCCACACGGTTTATGAAAATTTTCAAATTTTTTTACCTGTATACTGCTGCTCATGATCAACATCTGGCCATACTTCTGAGCCCCCAGCGAGATACCATGTCGCTGTGTTAGTATATGGAATAGAGAGTTCAAATACTTTGTCCTCACTCTAGCCACATCTTCTTTCACATCCAAACTCAACTCAAGAGCATCTGGATTGAACAGAAGGCAAGCCTTGAAGGCTGCAAACTCTGGAATGCCAATATCCAACTTCCTCAACGGCATCATAATCTCGTCCATTTGGCGATGGTAAATAGAGCGACAGCCAGGTATCTTCAAGGAATCTTGAGATTGACGAAGAATGTAGGCTCCATTTGGGTAGACAATCTTGTCCGGTCCGTAGTCTAGCGAGTAATATACTCGATTTAGAATGTTGAAGGTAAAAGCAAAGTTGCGCATCAGATAGTACTAAAATTTATAAATATTGATCAAAGGATAGAATTTAATATAAATTAAAATTGGATAAAAAATCAAATTCATTTCTTGTTTAAAAATTTAGTTTTAAAGTTAGTTCTTTAAAAAAATAAGATTTTCGACGTACCTGATCGCTCTCCGCCATTTTCACAAATTCTTCGAAAGATTTGGCCCATTCAATACATAAAACAAGCTCTCGAATGTTCCATTTTTGAATATCCACCATTGAAGCTGGATATAGCTCTCGGAACACCGTGTAAACCTAAATATAGGCATTACTTTTGTGCTTTATTATTAATCTTCACTTCTACCATTCCTTTGCAACCTATACCTAACAACAAAATGACCAAACCATCTCAAACACCCCTAAAAACCAAAATCAACTTAATAATACCTACATCAACTTGAAGATTGTTGGCCTGTAGCAGCAGACTCTGTGTAGACAAAGCTTCTTTCACATTCTTTGGTTGTACCAATTCTTTTGTCCTCAAGAGATTACACATCTTTTCAGCTGAATGAAGGTATTCAATGATCTTATCATCGCCAGCCTTCATAACAGGAGACATAGACCCATTCGAATAGCGATCATCTTCGGCTGAACTGTTCCGCTTCATCATCCTCATCTTCTTGGTGGGGCCAATTCTATCCCGATCGTTCTGAATAGCACGAGCATCCATACCTACTGCGACACATTTGTTGAAGCGACAATGGCGACAAGCACAGCGGACGTCTGAAATTTGAGGATAACATACAGTTTAAAAATTTTAAAAAATGCATTATTAGCTTTAAAAAATTTAAAACGAGTAAAAAATAAGGAAATATATTAGAATAAAGTTACTTACTTTTGTTAACATCACATTTCCCATTATATTGACAGACAAAGGTATGTTCGGATACGATAGTTCGTCGGAAAAACGTTTTACATCCATTACAACTAGCTACACCATAATGATATCCAGTAGCACGATCAGAACACACCGCGCACAACTCTCCTTCTGGTACTTTTCGTCCTGTAACAGAATTTCATCAGAAATAAAAATATTTCTAAAAATCAATTGTGACATTGTGTCATAAACCCTTTATAGTACACAAAAAATTATAAAAAAAATATTTTTTGATAAGATAATTAAAACTTTTATAAATAAATTAGATCAAAAAGTATATCTTTTTTGATTTTTAGGTATAGCTAACATAACATACGTTGTCTTGGTTGAATACTATCGGAACATGTTGATAACGCCTGTGGAACAGCCATTGACCCAGAATGGCCACCGATTGGACTGTTGTTTACTAAACCATTTTGTAAAGGCAGAATGCCGCTTTTGTCATCCAAATAGTCTGACAATTTACTCGTTGAAGGCCTGGGATTCGAAAATTAGGTAACAATTTTTATCTTTTATAAAATTTGAAATCAATTTTAAACTTTTGTATAAAACTCCAATTTTAGTAATGTTATATGCACCTACCTAAAGTTCGAAAACAAGACATCGTTGTTCCCGAAGGCCGGGGACTGGTCAAAGGTTGAGGTATCCAGATTGACACCGTAGCCAACTCCCTGTGAGTTGAGAGACACGAAGCCGGACGAGGTGGAGAGAATGGAGCTGGCCGATCCTGTGTCTGGACTGAACGCCGTGGACTGAAACGATGTTGGAATGGTCTCTTGACCGCGCACTATCGTTGCTAAATCCGGAGTCACCGTAGATGGAGCCAGGTTTTAGAAGTCTGGGGCCGATGGGACCCTTTCAAGTTTACTACGAGTAAAGGTTGGTTACTGTAGTACTTTTGTAGTAAATGTGTTTGAGCTTTTCGTGGGTAATATTGTGGATCTAGCGAGGGCTATGTTGTAAAACTAAAATTATTATGGTTAGTATAGTATAAGAATGAGAAAAAACTTCACGGAGCGTCGAAAATTTCTAAAAAGTAGTAAAATTGCGTTAAAATAACTGCAAATAAAATGAATTCTATAAATATATCAATTAAAATAGCTGAAATTTCCCCAATTTCTTAAAGAAACCACAAAGTGTATATTACTCGGAACAAAGGTTGTATGACAAAGACAACATCATTTCAAGCGAAAGTAATTTACAATGCGTGACATACTCGGGATTAACAAACCAAACCGTACCATATTAACTATCGTGCAAGAGAGCAATTAATTATTCTTAAACTGGGAGATAATGTACGCTTACAATGTATATGTTAACCAAGGTAAATTTTGAGTAAAACTCGTTTTACAAAATATAAGTTATATACAAACAAAGTCAGTATTTAAAATGTAAAAAGTAGGTTTTTAACATTTTAATGACTATTACACGGTTATAGACAACAAAGACAAGTAAATCGCCATTTTAAAAGTACCGCAACATCCCTCAAAGTCCCCTAAAACAACCTGAACTCTAACATGTAGCGAAACGAGCTATAAAGATGTTTAATTCGAATAATTTAAAGTCAGAAACGTCTCGACTTTCGCTACGGTGCAGATCGTCGTATCTGATAAACATTCCGCCACTAAATAAATGTTAACAAAACAGACAAATTATCATAATCTAAGCATAACAACGAAATTTTGGGCTTTTCTCGAATATTAATTACAACAATTTCGAAAACATAACAACAAGTACATGGAGAAGATATGCGACAATAAGAAAACAATACAAATATACAAATACCTATGGATTTAATATAAAACAGATTCATAATTATATAAAAAGCAAACAACACGTATAAAGCAAAAAGTGTCATGCCATACCCAAAAACATAACATACTGAAACATTGTCCCACGTACTATGTAAAACATGAAAGAAAGTGTCTGAATGTAAATTCTTTGACACGAACAGAAATAAAAAGTAACTTTGAGCGCCAAGGCCCCCAGGGAATTTTGAAAAAAGTAATAAATGAAATGTAATATAATGGATGATGTAAAGTGCAAAGATTTCTATTTACTCAGTTAGACACAAAAACACTTTTTTAACTTATTGTCATGGTAAAATAATATATGTCTGGTTAAATGCGTAAGTATCCAAGTATTTTCAAGGTATTTATGTCAAGACGTGAAACAATAGCGAATTTCGACAAATTTTAGTATGTTTACCACAACAAGATATGAATACTAGTAAATTATGAGAGTATAGAAGAGTGGGTGCATTTGCTAAAGTAGAATAGTCAAACGTATGTACTGAAAAAAGATAGGCAATTGATAATACAAGTATATCGTGTAAAAGGACTTAGTAACTAGACTGCTCCAAATCTTCAAAACCCAACACTGTAATTAAGTTTTTGTAAGACGAAAAGTGAAAAAGACATTAAAAGAGAGCACATGATTGTTTATCGGTAATCAAAATCGATCAAAAATACTTTTCAATGGACTTTGTTTACCTAAAACATCAGAATTACCATTTTCACTCGATTTCTGGTCTAATCACACGAATTTTTGGAATTATTCGACCGAAAATTCAAAGTTTCGTAAAATCACAAAAATACACGGAGGTTGGGATTTTGAATAATTAAAAATAAGCGGAATAACGGTAGCTATCGCTCAAGTTGCCTCTTCGAAAAATAAACTTTTGGCTATAGTAACGTGAGGTTTTAACATAATTTGAAAGGCTTCTGACAGAAGTGAATATCTTTAAAGATTTTAAAAATTAAAAGGAAAGGTAAATAAAGTAAAATGAAAAATGTATTTTGGCCATGCCTAAAAATCAGAAAATTGGTATTTATATGCCAAAAAAGTTCATTATATAATAAATTAACAGATTGTACAATGTAAAAATATACAAAAGAATTAAAAGTTTTACTTACTATAAAGTTCTGACGGCAAGACATAATTTTAACCGAGTATTTAAAGGAAACCCTATGTATTGACGAAAGACTGTGTTTTATTGCCATTTCCAAATAAGGAACTTTGCAAAGAAGCAAAAATATAGATAGTAATTAGTAGTGTGAGTCAGTTTTTTGTAAAGCAGTAACGTAATTATGTCAAATAATTAATTTTTTTGTAAAAAACGGTTTAAAATAAGATTTTCTTAAACTAGTGAGTAATGCCAAAGAATTTTTGAACACAGTTTTGTATCTGTGACATTTCAATGCCATCTTTAGTTACAATATTTCGCAAAAATGTCAATTAAAATAATAACTTTTTAAGCTTATTAATTTTTTGCCAACGATGACTTAATACTCTTGCAAAAAGTAAACTTGTTCAAAGTATTAAAACCTTTAGAAAAGTGTAAAAGCAGCGAAATTAAAGTTATTTCACAGCTAAATAAGCGAGTTTTTGGAAAGCAGACTTTGGTCGATTTTGGAACTAATCCACGGAAAGGCGATTAGCCCGCATAACACTTACATTAGCATAATTGTGATGACAAAAGCAACATTTGAAAACAACCTGCGTTATCTTTTACAGAGATGAATTGTGAATGGAAACTCAAGTTTTAACCTAACAGTTGCAATTCTGAATTCAAAAATTATTGCAACCTCACTACCTTTAAAAGCTCAATTTTACATTCTTTTTGACTATGAGAATAAAAATGAAAAAAAATATTGTACTACTCATTTGCAGATTTAAGATAAAATATCATAGGACTATACGTACATGTACCTATAAAGATATATTAATATCTTATGATGCACATTGCCAAGCAACGCAAAGTACAACGTTGTGAACCCAAATTAAACCCGTTCATAAGATATACTACAGTTATAGCTCTTACAAAGCTAATCTACGGTTTAGAAGGTTGTAAAATATTGTACCTAAATATTGAAAAAATATATACAATTTCAAGTTGATTACAAATTGTCAAAAAAAAGACAACTCCTATACCAACGCAAAAGTTTCGGCCTCTATATAACCCTCAAAAAAGTATTTCCTCAGCTACTTTTTAAAACTCAAAGAAAAAAAAAAGAAAATTTCATTAGAAATCAGTGATAAACATATACCCATCTTGATGACTCATTCATTATGTTGCCACACATAATGCTATACTTTAGACTAATGACAACTTGCGAGAAAACAACAACAACAGTATTCGATAAAACCCCAAAAAAGCTATAATAACCATACATTACATAACTAAAGTGATTGGTTATTAGATCTTGTAAACAACTACATTACATTTATGTTTACAAACACATGGTGACATGTGACACCAAATGCTTTGATACATTAAAATCAATGTAAAATACGTCTATATAATTAAATCCAAACTACTACAATGCTATCACAATTATTTAAAAGCAAAATAAATGTTTTTATGACCCGCCAATTTTCTAAAAGTTCAAGCAAAGATCAACGAATTCCTTAAACTTTGTACGACGCTAAAATACGAACATCGTTCCATGTTTTTGACAAAATATTATTATCAATGGCTTATCAGCCGTCTACAAGAACTTCATCAAAGATCAGATTGTAATTTGACGATTAATTACCTTCTAGAGACAAAACAAGAAATGCGTTCAAAACAAAGTAGTTTCAAAGAACCCTGTAGTTTTCTCAATTTAAGTGTTACACAGTAACGGTCTTACCTAGGTATACCTTAAAGGTTATTTTCGCGCTACCAAGACGATTCCAGGTTACGTGGAATCGAGGCAATTGTTAGATGAAGGTTACTATTCGGTTTTACATTAATGTAGTTAGAGCTACGTTGCAAAACGTTTGGTAAAACAATGACAAGTAGTTGTTACTCCGAAGTAACAAATTGAATTCAAAAAGTAACTATAAGATCTAGTATGAAAGCTTATGGCGGAAAACACATTATATCTTGTGTTAAGTATTATACTTTCAAATACCCACAAACAATTATACTGTTTACAAAACCACGTACAATAACTTTTAGTGCAAAAAGTGTTACACAAGTCGGTATACAACTTGGATTAAAAATTGTCATGTATTCGCAAACAAATGAGTACTTGTTGCAATACGTACATCACGTGCTGACTACGTGCAGAATCTCAAATCTCTCATGCACATTTTAAATATATAATCTACAGGATAGTATTTTTAATCCACTGGAAAGTTTGAATGATCGAAGACCTTAAATGCCCTCTAATTTGGAATAGCCTTCCTTGTATCTTTATCCATGAAAACGTACTTGACATATGCTTAAAAATAAGTCTATGCTCCTGATATTTTTAAAATACCACTTATGACACTTTTAAATTATAAAGACAAAAAATACTGCTTTTGACATTTTTAAGGGAGCTCAAAAAGTTTTTTAATCGGTTTTGGTTGTTCAAGATTGAAACTCGCCTGGTCTCATACTCAGTGCAAAAGTGCATTCCGTCGCGTGACATAAAACGCAATTTTGGGTTCTTTTCCGAGTTCATGCAGGAGCGCTAATTCGGGAAACATTGTAAAAAGAAGTATAGGAGAAAATGGTCTAAGTAGAAGATGATGTGAAAGATATTGATTGCAACATACTAATCAAAACTTGACCTATATGGCAACAAAGTGTTTCTTATGATTTACATTTGCTTGCACTATGTATCTAATGGTCAAATACGATCAGAAATCAACTCAAAGTGATAGAAACTACATAACACAAGACTTCGTAGCAAACTTAAGAACCCATTCTTTTTTCAAAACTTAAAACCTTGTACTCAAACAAACATAAATCCAAGACCAAGTGCAATAAACCACACCGTTCCGCAGTCCGAAACCATTAGTACAATAAGCGGTCGAAGTGTTTTGATAAAGCGAAATGTTATTGATCACCAGCGGACGGTGATCTTTGAATGTCTAGCTGTCTTCAGGGGGTAAAAACACGTATTATCGCCCGGAAAACATTCGAAAAGCTTCCAATTTTTCCCCAATCGTTTTTAACGCGACTTCGAGGTCTTATTCTTCGGTCCGAGCAATGTTTTCAAAGGGTTTTGTTGGTTTAAAACTTGAAGTTCTACATTTTAAAAGGTCAAACAAAATTTGTCAACGAATTCTTTGGCAATTTAGTCTTAAGTAAAAACGGTACAACCAGAATTAAGACATTCAATAGACTATAAAAACATTTATAAAGATAGACATAACAAAGATAAGCCCAAAAGTTAAAAGAAATTCTTTAATGTTTCAGAACAGTAAACAAAATTGAAAATTTACTGATAAACTTTTAACATTATACAAAAAGGTCTTATGCTAACTACAACCCAAAAATACAATCCGGTACGTTATGTAAGCCGAAATTATCATTCCGCCAAATTATGAAACAAAATAAATGAAATTCGACCAAAAAACCGGGCGAGAAACATATAAGCACACAGCCGCTTTTGGCTCGAGACTCTCGACAGCCCCACAAAAAATAGTCGAAAGACAAAAAACAAATAAAGAAAAGATAAGGCTCGGGCGGCGCAAGACACCGCTCCCACTGCTGACAGCCGCCAGAACGACAAAGAACCGACTCCGTGACAAGGCGAAAGGTTGTGTTAAAATAGGAGAGTAGGCTAGGCGGAAAGGGAAAAGCGTTGCACAAGAATTTGAAAAAAGGAATTTTAAAACGACGCGGAACGTTGGAAGAAACAAAATGCCAACAAAACAAGTAGATATAGTGGTGAAAATGGAGCCCGCTAGACGGAAAAACATTATTTAGCTCTGTGCCAACGCAGACCGTTAGACAAAGTGAAGGTTTTTGAGTACAAACAGAGAAATAACGTGTAAAACGTTACTAGTCCTCAATGTGAGACAACGACAAAAAGCATGCAACTTCGTGTAATCAAATGTAACATGACAGAGAAGGAGAGAAGAAAAAAAGAGAACATAAGAAAAGTAGTGGCAAAAAATACAACACCAGACAAGATGTAGACGTAAAAGAAAGCAAAAGAAAAAATCTAGCGAGATGGCGGGCAAAAGTTTCGGCCGTAAAACTAAAAGTGTACAAATGTACTGCGGTAACTGCTCCGTGTGAGACAAGGTCGAATTGTGCGTAAAAAGTTTTTTTCAAAAACAAAATAAACAGGGCGCCAAAAACGAAGAGAGTACGCATCGTGTAGATGCGACAGACGAGCATACGCCTACAAAAAGCAGACCAATTTAAGAGTGCGGCCACAGAAACGTTATCACCGTGAGCTGAGGACACTCACGTGCCTGTTAAAGTGCCTCTCCTGTTTCTGTGGTCTTTTCCCGTTCTATGCCCTTTGGAAGATTGAAACCTATCCAAGTTTCTTATCGCTTTTTCACCCGTTTTTTATTTTTTTCTGGAAGTTTCTAAAAGTTGTATAATGTCTATTAAACTGTGTCTTATCTTGTTATTGTAACTGTCTTTCGGTTATAATTCGTTTTCTGAAACTATCTCGCGCCTCGCCTTAAACTCCATCTGGCTGTATACTGTCTCTCCAACCTAAATACTCTTTTGCCTGGCGTTTTTTAAAAGTTTGCTGTTAAAGTTCACTTTTCAGAATTGTTTCAGTTGTCACTATACAAATACTCTTAACAAAGCCCAATTTAAACTGCTCACAAGTGCTTTTTCTAACTCCCTCACTATTTCACGTACTCTCTCAGAACGGAAAAAAGATTGATTAAGAAAATAGTGCCACTACTTTGTTTATCAGCACCAGTCGAGCATAAATATTATTCCTACAGATGCAATTAGTGACGTTGTAAAAGAAGAATGTCAACACGAAATGTAATTACATGGACACTACATAGCTTATTCTGGCGGTCTGATCATTGTAGACATTAGAATATTCATATTAGGTTTATATTCAGGTTTTCAAAGCAAGACCACAACAAGAACTGTGCCATTACAAAATAAATTGTAAGAAAATAGTACTGGGTTGTTATGGTTTGTGCAGGAAGTAATTTACTCTTGCTACGTCTTAAATTCTCGGAAAAACGGTATGCAATCATGTTATGACATTATAAGAAATACCATAGAACACAACATTACAGGCGTAGACGTATAAAACATTTATTTTATATTTATCGTTTAATATTTATCACGGAGTAAAATTTTAAAAAATATCACAAAATACATTTGGAAACATACATGTACTTTATACGCAACTTTCTGGGTACGTGACATTGTTAATCACGCAATGTCCACGTTATTATTCCCTACAATGGGACTAATTATCGTGTACAAATTCACGGTATGTTGGTCAAAAAAGAGTCTAAATTGTATTCTAACAAAAAAAAGCTTTGTAGTTAACTCTTTTTGCTTTTAAATGTACTTTTATGGGTCTTTAATTAACTGACAGCTACACAAATAGGAACATGTCTGCAGATCTGCACTATTACAGCATCTAATGAAATGACATTTTAAAAAAGTGTTTAATTGAAAGACAGATTATAAAAACAGATTTATTTTGACGTTTTTTTATAAAAAGCAATTTACTTTAATGTTCCCATGTGTATATTTTATTTAATGACAATAGCATATAAACACATAGGGTCAACACAAAGCAAATAGAGTTCTGAGAGCATTAACAGAGATTTGACAAAAAAAACATTACAAGATTATTGCACGACAGTAAAAACCTAAAATACATTACAGTAAAAACATAAAAATCTCCCAACATATCAAAGTAAATGAAAACTGCCAAAATGCAATTTTAAAACAACTTCAATAAAGGTTAACAATTTCCAAGAAGATGTGTTATTGTAAAACAATAACAATACTTTCATGATTTTTGGTTTTGTTGATAAAAGCGCGCTGTAATTGTAAACAAAAATTATTTTTGTGTCGAAATCGCGATAATTAGCATTTTCATTAATTAAAAAATAATTACAGCTGCTGTAGAAATTGCTGTAGAATGAAAGGCTACGCGTGTATGGTGTGTCGTATTACGTTGTGTTTGGAGCGTGTATTTTACGTAGAATGGCATTTTATTAAAATATATACATAATAATAAAACAGTTTTAAATTAAGAAACCGGACAACATGAAAAATAATCACAGATATATAACACCCAGACGTACATAACAAAAAATAAGCAATTTTTGGAAAAGTTGCCAAATTAAAAAAAGTAAAGATTGGCATGATTTAGTTAGCTAATGTGGCGTAATCTATAAAGCTACAGATCATCAAAACTCTAAATTGAAAAGCAAAAAAGGTTTTTTAACAAACGGAACGCTGTTTTATAAAATTCTAATCCGAAAAAGGTTGAAAGATTCCCTAACTTCCTTCTCCACAAATAACAACTACTTATTTGTGCGTTAAAGTACGATTGTTAGTCTGTCTGTGGAATAACTAGGACGTGAGGGCAGTACGTAGATTTTCAAACTTTTTCAAAACAAAAATTGTATTGAAGTTAAAATGTTGCTGTAACATTAAAATCAGAACTTTTGAAAATACTTTTGATATCCCCTCCCCTCCCTCTTTGTAAATCACCCCTTCATCACTAAAAAGTAAGCTGTAATAAAAATTATTTTAAAAATCTTTACGACCAAAAAAGTATGAAAAAGCGTAACTTTACATCCAAATCGGCTCAATTTTCAAATTAAGCGAGATTTGGAAGCGAAAATAGCGACGTCAGAGAAATAATGTCACACGTGAAGTGAGAGCGAGTTCAGATGAGAAAACAAAGCAAAGTAAACAGAATCGTTTTGAAACATTGGAGACGACTTTTTGCCAGTAAACAAGTACATAGATCACGCCATTGAATTCAATTAGTCGTTTATCAAGGTTAGGGGTGTTTTGTTGCAGAGTGAACGCTAAGCGAGCAATGAGCAAGTTTTTCACTGTATTTAGTGCTTGAACTTGTACATATACTTAGGGCAGTATAGATGAAAAACGAGAATATGATTAAGAATATATGCTTATTGCAAGGTGTTACTGCAAAAGTTTTGCAAAACAAGTTTAAAAACATAAAAAGATGACTAATATTTATATGAAGTAAAGTAAAATACAAGTTTTAAAACTGCAGTTACAAGAATTTATGATTTAAAGCCAAAATCTATTTTAAACTCAACTTACATCGCTAAAAATTGCAAAAATCTCTCATAAAGAAGACGAAAGCCAACGAATTGCTATTACAACTCCTCGAATTACAATTCACAACTGTACGAAAACAAAATCCGCCATAAGCCGAAATTCTACCTTTAGTTAAAGGCTTCATTGTCCGCGTTTTAATTATTTCAAAAACCGACGCCTTAATCTCTCCATTTCTGTTCAAATCTCCGAACAACGGCTGTTTTGTTAACGTTGGCTGTTAGCGGCTTGTACGTGGTATTAGCTAATGTATATGGTATATTGTTGTAAAGCAGTGACATAAAAATAAATTTTTAAATCTTAAAATGCGTGTTAAGAGATTTGAAAATAAATGCTGTCAGAACTTGTCAATACAGTACATTACAGTATTATACCGTAACTTTTTACAAAATCTACAAGCTTTTTTACTCGTTATACATACAACCCCCTTTTCACCCCGAAACCAACATTCAACACCCAGTCAGAGTAATGTAATATAACCCTGACAATGTAATAAAGCCACCGCCCTTATTAGTTGTTATTCAGATTTGCACCTGTGAAACGCCTGAAGCGGCAAAAAATAATAACAGCGAGAAAAAGAATTAAAAGGTCGGAAAAGCGCTGGACTAACAAATGGATGATCAGATGGATAACAAACACTTCTGATGTTTAAAAAACCAGAAATCGTCGCAAAACTCTAAACTTATTGTAACGCATTCTTCATAAACACCATATTAAAAGTGTTTGTTTCGGTTGAAAAGGTGACTTATCACAATATACGTTATATTACAGACAGTTAACAATTTACTCAAATTTTACTTTTACAGTTTAGTTATGGCGATGTTAAAGTAAAGTTGCAGGCAATCGATACGTGGTGTTCCATAAGCTAAAAAATGAGATTGTGATAGTTTTAAATACATTCAAAACTTATTTTTCTAACAAAGAAAACAGTAAATGTAAAAATATTGTTCTTATTTTATGTCTGAGTAATGTCTGGGTTTTTTGATCTTATTTGTAACATAGACAAGGTCATCAAGTTTTTCGAAAGTTTTGTCTTTTTTTCTTGAGATTTATGTTTAACTTTTTTAATTTTTCTGTACTTTTAACCATTAAAACTAATACATTTACCAAGAAAATTTAAAAAAGACTTACTTCAGCCATGTCCATGTCTTTCATTCCAGCTTGAGCAACATTAATATCGAAAATGATTTGATCTTCGTACATGTGACATTCTTCTTTGCACTTGTACTTTCTATTATAAATGAGTTATAAAGTAAATGAGATAATAAGTAATATAAAGTATCAGACCAATTTTAGAAGCTATGTAATTGCAACCATCTGGCTCAATTAATTTCACAGTATTTACATTGTAACGGTTACATTATATTTTAACTTACAACTCAACGAAAACTTTTGAAGGTGGTTCAGGCTCAGTAAAGTAATGATTGTAGTACAGCTGAGTCAAGTTAACTCTGTCAACAGTTTGGTCTTGTGTGTAGAACTTTAAGATCTAAAATTATTTGTTTTAGTTACTTATAATGTAAGTTTGCAGGGATATTACGCTGTTTGATTCATGTTGTTAAAGTAACATAAACAGTATAAAATATGTTAATTATAACGTGTCACATGTCTTTTGCAACAAATGTTTCATGCGCTTTATTATGTGTACAAAAAACAGAACCTGTTAGATGCATTCAACATACCTACTATCATTGGTATGGTATACCCAAAAAAGTAGCCGAAAATAAAAAATTTAAAAATCAACATTTACCTAACATAAAAATGCAGTTTTTCATAATTTTAAAACTTAATTACTTCCAGGTTTACGGTAATCTCATTACCAATATAGATTCAACATCAGAATGTTCTCTTACCCCTGTTAGTGGTTTGCCTTCACATGTGAGATTATAGGCGTATACCATTTGTCCGCCGGCTGGTAGGATCTTTTCTCCATTTACAAAAAGTCCCAAGAAGAAAAGAAAAACGTGGATACCGTTCATCGTGAATTGACAACAACAAAACGTGAATATGAAGATAGCTGTGTGTTCTCGCTGATTATTCATAATTAGGTAATTAATTTGTAAATTATGTAAAAGATGTAAGGCTAATTTAGACGTTAAATCATGTTCATTTTAATGGATTTAGGGTTTAGAAACTAATAGGCTTGAGAACTAAGGTTTTTTTAAAATTAGTTTAACATTGTGGCGCATTCAAATAAGTTATAGCAAAAGTAACTCTAAAACCGTCAAAGCTATTAGGTTGTTCAGATAGTTATGTGCTCTCTAACTTTTGTATTGCCTAAAAAATCTTTGTTTAATTTTTTATCTATGATTTTAAACTTTAGTTTACTACCAAATATAAGGTATAACAGGTTGTTATATAGTTATTACTTTGTTCAATTAATCACAATGTCCAGGGGACACTCCAAATTTACTTTTCAAGCGGTGGTTTTCAGCCGCTGATAAAAGATTAACCCGAAAGCGTTGTCCAACTCGATTTATTGGTACAAAGCTCAAACTCAAACTTGGGTTAATAAACCAACTCGCGGTATAATGTAATATAATATAATACGAATGTAAAGGACTATATAATTAAAGTTAAGAGGAATGTAAAGTATATAATAATAATAAAATAAAACAATAAAAACTATAAAGCCCCAATTTGACCTAAAAAAAATTTAATACTGTAGGATTACTGTAGGCCAAAGACCTTACCCTTAAATGACTTAAAAAAAACCCTTTAGTAGACTACCTTACAGTAAGAAGCTTATAGTAATTTTGAAAAATTAAAATTAACAAAATAACGAAAAACTGAAGGTGGGGAGAGAACTGACGACTCGACCGCAATTTATGCAAAGTGACTGAAGAACTGAAGGAAAGACGGAATCGGCGTCTCCTGACACATTCCTTTGTCTGTTGTAAAGTGAACAGTCCTTTTGGCCGCGTCTTCCGCGGACAACAGGTTGTTATATAGTTATTACTTTGTTCAATTAATTCTGTGCCCTTCTCAAAGCCAATTTTTAAAGCCAGGTGCCGAGAATGATTTGCACAATCTAATACTCACCCTTATTTCGAATACACCAATATGTATTTGTAACTTACAATTCAAGAAATATAGTTACAGGCTTTTCAAGATCTGGAAAGTATTCTTTGTAATATGTCACATTCATATTGAACTTTGAAATTTCTTGTGTTTGGATGAAAAACCTGCCTATCTAAAATTGTAAAAATTATTGTAAAAATTATTTTTTTAAATTGAAATTTTAGTAAATAAAATTTTTTTTTACTTTTTAAAGACATATTTAAAGATGTAAAATTTTAACAATTTATTGAATATTTTAAAAAGTTTAGCTAAATACTCTTACAGCTTTACTAAATGCTGCACCATCGCATGTGATGTCGGACAAGTACAACAAGACGCCTTGAGCCGGTACTATTGCCATGCCATTTTTAACAATGGCAACAAAGAATACAAATACGTAAATGTATTTCATTTGATTTTTCCAACTTAAAACAAAATTTAAAAATAAAAACTATTTTTTCAACAAATTATTCTAATTAGCTTAGCTTTTAATTAGCTTATTAATTTTGAAATTATCTTCACCGTCTAATTTTTATGATTGCTGTAAATTGTTCCCATGTCGACCTACATAGTGAAAGAAACGTGTACGTATAATATTACAGTATACCCCATCCTAGTTAAGTTGAGGAGTCAATATTATAGGGTTCAAGCTTTATTAACTAGCAGACAATCTTGACAAAACTGCACTACCATCATTGATAGGATAACATTTCTTGACTGTGTCCTTCTCGCTGACACTGTGGTCGTACTCATCCAAAATTCCGACCAATTCTTCAATCTCAGCCCACTCTGTAGCTGACGTTACAGTATTTTGCTTCAGATGCTGTAAATGGTGAGTCAAATAAGTTTTGGCATGAGGATCAGAGATTAGAGCGGCTGAATAAACTGGGATTCTGATGGATGCTGGGATATGATGGCAGTTTTTGAAAGTATTGGGATCTCGGCAGTTCTCTTTGGCTATTTGGAAGAGTTCCGAGCACTTCTGGAGAGCTGGTTTGTGTTCGAATCGAATGACAAATTCGAGTACCAGACGACGAATTTCTGTTTCTTCATCAAATTTGTCTGGCTCGGCCCAGTCGACAAAGCCGTAGAGCTGCTCCATAAATGGCTTGAAGTCCTAGAAAAGTATGAACACTGTCTAATATTTCACTTCTCTTCAATATTAGCTTTTCTCTAATGATATTAGAACACAAATACAAGTATAATGTCTTACCGCATTCAATTTGCTGTCTACAACCAGTTCTACCACTCTCAGTGATACCTTGAAGACGTCTAATGAGTCCACAATGCTCAACAAACAACTCGCATACACTTCTGTTCTAAAATATCATATTATAGTATGTTGGCATGTACAACATTATTTGGAAAACAAAAAAAAATAAAGTGAGATTTTGATCAATAAGATTCAGGTATCATAGCTATGATTATAGTAAAAGTATTAAAATAAGCCTTACTTAGCACTCAAGCTCAATTGTGTAGCCAACGAACTGATGACCATGTTATCCATTGACCTTAACAATGCGTAGCTCTCCATTCTCCGCTGATATTCATCAACAACAATAGGAGACAGATGAATTGATACGAAATCAGTGGCTTCTGGGTTAAATACTAACAATCGAGTATTACGAAGGCTGAAGGCTTTGTTCGGCTTGCAAATTGAACCATCTAAAGGTACATGTTATCATAGTTCTGACTTTGTTTACCTATATATTTATCGTTATTTATAATAAAACAAATGAAGTATAATATAAGGTATAGAATACATTTTCATTTAAAATGTCATAAGTTATATAAACATGCATAAAATTAAGCTTTGTTCCAAGCAATACTGTTAAATACCTTTTTTGATCCAAATCATTTCGATATCTCCGGTTTCAGCATCCCAGATATGTAGAGGCAATGTCCATTTGTTGTCAGTAGAGGTTGCACTTACGTTGAAAGTAAACACATCCTCCACCAAGTCAATATACACTACAGGATGATCAGCTTGGCCAAGGAAGTCATGTGTAAATTCATGAAAATCTACTTCACCGTGACAAGCGGTTTGACCTCGCAATGACTACAAAAACTTGTTTTATTATTCTTTATAGACAATAGCTAACTATGTAACATACTTAGTTAGCTATTGCAATAGATACATATAGAGTAAGAGACAGCACTTTAAGTTAACCTTACTTTTGTCATAGAATCCAAAAACTTGTGATAATCTACAGATTTATAGGCATTGTCTTCCAAATAGTACTGTATAGCGTCATCGAACAAGTCTTCGCCGAGTACTGAAGCCAGCATTCTAGTCATCACTTCACCAACAACGTAAGTTATACCTAAATTGATATTTTTAAATGAATTTCTTGTTTCTTTTAGATAACATTAAATTTACTATATATCATATAGTAAATTTAGTATATGATTAATATATTTGACAAAACTTACTGTCATAGTAACCTTTTTCGCTTATCACTGAATGTTTTGCCCATTTCATGAGGTTGAGTGCTCTTAAGTTCTTCTTGATCAACTGACTGTTTTGAAATGTCTAAAAGCAACATTATCTAGTCGTATGCCCTGTTTAATTTTACAAAAAAATTAAATTTTATAAATTTAGTAAAAAAAATTTACAAAAATGATGTTTAAAATCCACAAAAACTAACCTTCAGCGTCGAATTCCACTCCAAAGCCTTGTTACCGTAGTAAGAAGTCAATCCTTCGCTCAAGAACAAATCCTTCCAACTTTCAAATCCCACCAGATCTCCAAAGTAATGATGGGAGATCTCATGACATACAGTGTGAACAGTTTGAAACAACTTCTCAATATTCGAGTTTTGAGACAAAAAGCCGGCCGTCGACGACAAAAAGATCAAACCATGAGCTTCAGAACTGAAAACCTTGTTCAACGTGACAAGAAGCTTTAACTCTGAAGTTGGAAATTGATAATTGACCAGAGCTTCCAAGTTGGTCAAACATTTCACAGCAGATTCGAGGTGGAAGGCAGATGGAGGTGGGTAGCCTTTAAGTGTAAGTAAGGTAATCTAAAGTATTATAGTAACGTTATTTTTCTAATAGAAATAAAGAACATTTTTTTAAAAGCATAAAATGTAATAAAATGCTAAAATCACCAAAAATCAAACTTATTGTCATGTTCCCAAAAACTTACATTAACTCCAGTGTCAGTTGTTTGCGACAGCTTCTGAAAACTTCCAACAGCAAATCCCAACAAGAAAGTTGAAATTCTGGGCGTTCTTTCAAATATGACAGTTTGAAATTGCCTTCTGTAATTTTAAAAATCTCAATTTTTTATTCAATTTTTAAAAACATTCAAATTATGACAAAACAAAAAATTTGCGCCAACCGGGATTCGAACTCGGGCCTCTGCCTTGGGAGGGCAGCGTCCTAACCACTGAACTACTGGCACGTTGTAAACTAATCAAACCCGACAAAAATAAATGCCAGAGGGTACCCGAATTCTCATGGATATGGGAACGGCAAAAAGGAATGAAAGAGAGCGGACATTGATAACAAAAATACGCAAAAACTAGTGATTTTCGGCCAAAAATCGACAAAAGATCACGATTAATGATTTTTAGCTAACAAATCTATTTGTAACTACACATAGTAAAAAGAAGGTTTGCCAACTCATGCACACACTACAACAACTTACTGATCAATCACTTCTTTGACCTTTGTTCCACTGATTGCTTCAACTTGACTTGGCAATATCAAATTCAATTCGTACTCCGACTTGTAGTACGGTTCATCAAAAGCTGGAAAAGCCTTTCTCGCATTCTTTGGACTAAACTGTGATTGTAACAATTTCACTCCCAGCTCCTCATCTTGTTGCAAGTACAGCCCATAAGGTTCGTCCTTGTACACGACACCTTCAAAGTCGAATTCCAGAATATACAATTTGTCTTCTGTGTATTTTTCTGGTGTTCGTCGTATTTCAAAAGTGTCATTGTTTGTTGTTATTGTAAACTTGTCAATTCTGTCTCTTTTATCATCAGAATGCTCATATAAGGTTGTTCGTAAGATGGTGACATTGCAGGCGTAAATATTGACATGTTCGGTGGGATTGTTGACTTTGAAGTGAATTTTTACATTTCCTCGGTACCTACTGTCAGCTGAACCAAAAAAACTTACATATTATGGTATTATAAAGCAAAAAAAGTCGTTAAAATTATTGTTTAAAGTACAACATAAATATTAAAATAGGTTTAAATAAGCTACGTAAGTTAAGTAAACCATCTTCAAACAAGTTTGTAAACGTAAAAACTTACAGTTTACTGAATATGAGTTAAAAAGACGCAAATCAAACTCCAGTTCGTATAACGTGACATTTAAATTCTTATCCGGATGACTTGTCAGACCATACTTTTCTACTAAAAATGGAACTGTAATAGTTAAATTAGTGTCAGAATTAGGAAAAATAGCCTTAAGATATATTCTGCCTTATAATGCTATAAATTTAAACACCTTGGCCCAATTATTTTAAGTTTTTGCTAAACTAAATCAACATAAATTACCAGCTTTAAACCATAAAAACAACTTTCTTACCAATACCGTAACCCACAACAACTCTAATAGAATAAAGTAGTAATATCAAAGCCTTCATTGCTCCCATCTCGCTAGCGAGTGCATATCATAATACTCGAGGGCTGCTTCGTATTGTTCGTATGATTCAAAACTTTTTACGAATTTATGAAAGGCGATCGTACAGACAAAACACAACAAAACTCATTTGGACTCATCAGACAAAACCCGTTGAAAACTTGCCCTGAGGCAGGCAAATCTGACTCAAACCTGGCTATGAATAACATTGAATAATTACGTTGTGTTTGATGTTTGAAGACATCTCATTGTTTCTGATCTGTACTTTTCAGACCGTTAAAGTGTTTGTACTTTTTCAATTTAAAACATGCAAAAAATAGAAATTTGTAGACGAATTTTACATAAAGTATGATTTGTAATGTGAATAAATCCATTATAACAGACACAAACGTTATGCGATCGTTCAGCGCGAACTTTAAAATTTTTAAAACGCAAATCTCGAAATTCAATAATTTTTGGTTAAAATTAAAACTTTCAAAAATTAAGGTTTAAAAACGCAACATACACTTCTTGTTGCTCTTTGTGACTACAATAATATCAACTGGTAAGAATCTTCTATATAGATAGCTATTTTGCATTCACAACTCTGCGCAAAGCGAAGCTTGACTCAAGAATAAAGTAGAGAAAAAGTTGACCCGAAACACAATTTGGCCGAATATTCGGAAATTCTTTTGTATTTCTTCTCACTCCTTTTGCCATAGAATTTTTATGGGTATATATTGTTTTTTGTTTTCCCTTAACTATATTTAGCATCTTCTTACTTTATTTTATTAGTTTGGTTCAAAATTTTGTAGAACTTTGTTGTTTTTCCGTGGAACTTTTGGCTCTAAACTTTCCTTTGCTTTGGTGTTCTGAATTTTATATTTTGGCTCTTTATTTTATCTATTTAACCTCTGCTTGAGTTAAAAGTGAATTTTTTTACTTTTTGTCACCTAAATTTTTGAAAACGGAAGCATAGAACGCAATTACTCTTCAAGATAATCGAGTAAAAGAATCTGCATAATTAGGAACGTTTGGTGGAATATAAACTTTAGAGAAGTGTTGGGTTTTTTCGTTTTTTGAGGTGAAGCGCTTGCTGGTGGCTGGCTCCTCGGGGCCGTCTGGTTACAAAGAATATTTTATCGGGTTAATTCCCATCGGTTCTTTTAAGATTTCTGGCTCATGAATAATATGTTTCCCATTTTTAATATTTTGTTAACAGATTAGCACTAATTTAGGGTGTTTTTGCATGTAATTACGTTTTTCATTAATAAATTTGGATTCTCGAAGATGAAGTTTTACTACAGAGTTTACGAAATAACCGAATAAATAGGCATATCTTAGGTTTACTGAACTGGCAGTTTAGGTATTAAAATTATTAGGTATTAAAACGGCAATTTCTACAAAAGCAAAGCAATAACACGCTTTCTTAATAATTTCAACAGCCTAAAACTAGTAAAATGTAACTTTTTATTGATATTATAGTACAACTTCTCATTCTTTGCTAGCATCACTGGGAATTCCTGAGAACCGTCTTTGTTTGCACAGTCAATGGCCGGCAAATTTCAAGAATTTCAGCTGTTAAAACGCCACTGTTTTGGGCACAATCGTCTGGCTTTACGTGTTTTTGTGATAATGTCTCTTTGATACTTTTATGTTAACCATGAATCATTTTCGGTATTTATGATAACATGAAAATACATGGTATTTTTCGAAATGGGTAGTAACAAGAATATTGTATTGTAAAGATATAATATCTTTCTTTTGTTGGAAAAATATTAGTGTAAGTGATCCATTTGAATTTGTCGCTATTTAGCATGTTTTTTTAGGTGATTATTAGTCACTTTTGTGTCTTTGTGGTTGCTCTTACTGAACGCAAAACTGTCAAAATTTAATTTGAATTTCTTAAAAGCGTATAAACTAACAACAAACTTAATTTTAGTCTGCGCGACATTAAAAAATTCTTTTTTGAAGGCTTTAAAAATCAACTTGAAACCTTTTCCAAGCAAAACGCCTGAAGCTAATAACCGAACCAGCACCTTTTTGCCTTAAAATTACTGACGCGGATATGCAAAACCGTGGAATTTCATTCCTTCTTCTTTTGGCCACGAGCACTTTCTTTTCTTTCCGCTCTGTTCATCCTCCCATTTTCAGGTGGGCCCAAATAAATTAAAGTTTTTGCGTAAATCAAAAGGTTTTTTGTTTTGTTTTCCAGCCGACTGCCAGTTTGCTCTTCACAACATTGTTTTTATTATATTTTTCCGCATATCTGTGAATTTTTGCAGTTTTTGGTCCAACAAATTTGCGAAAATTGAATTATAAATTGTGTTATGTGGGCTATTCTTAGGCAGAATTGTTATAGTTAACTTTAAATAGTCAATTTTGAGTTGAGGATAAGGTCTTATTTGCTAGGAACCTTTTCGTTTTTCTAATTTAATATAAGGGACCTTTTTTACCTGCCCAAAACCACTCTTTCGAGTTACATTAACATCGCTCCAGACACTTTTTTGCTAGTGAGAATTGAGAAACGAATTTTATTCGTGTTTTAGTTATTGAGATTGGAACAAGATAAACATGAAAAGCGAAGAAACAAGAATTCTTTCCTTACACGTCGTTTGACGTCTCTTTTCTTTGCACTGGAAATTTCAATAACTCCACATAACCCGGGCCATATTACCCATTGTTCTCACAAAACCTGTTCAAAACAATGCGTTCTTCTCGCGGTTTTTGATAGCTGATAGTGGTCTGGGTTTAATTTATGGTCAGAATTACAATTTATTTTTTGGAACTACATCTTTAAAGAAAAAATTCATAGACAGAAGAGTTTAATTTAGAGGATTTGGCACTTTTTGTAAATGTTTCATCGATTTTTGGCATTTTACTACAAAAACCACTGCTAATTGTATTTTTCTGGATTCCAGACGTTTTTTGGGTCAATTCTTGGTCTTTAAAAATTTTTCGAAACAGCCATTGGGAAATATGTTCTCTTTGACTCTTTTTTATTAGTGTTTTAAAGGTGAATAATATTTTGACGAATTTTGGCTGCACGGTGCGGAAAAATAGAAAAATTTGTTGCACGACGAAACAAAAATTTTATTAACTTTAGGTTTTTTCGTTTCTTTTTACGTTGAAATGTGATCGTACTTTAAATTGATATTATCTTACGTGCTTTTAACTATTTTTTATAGTATGGCCGAAAAGTACAAAGGATTGTTTTATTGCACTGTGCAGACGTTTTACGTTTAATTCAAAGTTAAACTTGTAATTTTGGTTAAACTAGTGTAAATACGTGTGTATTATTGTACCTAATGTTTGAATTACATTTTAATTTTCAAAAATAATTTTCACTTCCAGCCTCACAGCCACCGAAGACCATGATAATCAAAGAATAGTAAGTTACTTTTACTTTTTTATTGTTATACGTTTAGTCGGGTGGTATTGCCCATGTCAGTGGAAGAATACCAAGTAGGACAGTTGTTTTCTGTGGCTGAAGCATCGAGGAACGAAACTGGGGGTGGTGAAGGTGTAGAGATTCTCAAGAACGAACCTTTTGCCAATTTTCCGTTGTTTGATGGTAAATACGACAATGGACAATATACCCACAAAATTTACCATTTACAATCGTAAGTCCTTGATTTTTAAAGGTTTTTAGGTTGGTTTTGTGTATTTTTTATTAGGCATAGTTAAAGAGTTCTTTTATTGTATTTTTAGGTACAATTTAGGTTTTTAGGTACCTTTTAGCTAAAACGTTTTATTGGCTTATAATAATACTTTTAGGAAAGTACCGTCGTTTTTGAGGAAGATTGCTCCAAAAGGATCTCTGGCCATTCACGAAAAAGCATGGAACGCTTATCCATATTGTAGAACAGAACTTAGTGTGAGTTAAAATGTTTTGTGTTTTTTGACGGATTATACCCACAACTACAAGTATTTTAAAGGCTGATTTGTGAATTATTATTTTTTCAGAATCCGGATTACATGGGAGACAATTTCTTTGTTCGAATAGAGACTATCCATCTTAACGACCGAGGGCAGAACGCAAATGTAAGTTGCTAAAATTTAAAATTTTTCATGAGTTTAGTTTAATTGGCATGCATATTGATACCATTCAGAGATATCATTTTTGTGTAATGAACCATAGTGTAAACTTAAAACCGCAGCACAATAACTATTTACCTAAATCTATGCCTTTAGGCTCATCAACTGAAACCGGAAGTTTTGGCGAAGAGAGACCTTGTAGATATTAACATTGCCAATGACCATGAATTCTTGGCTACAGCTGATGTGAAACCAGAAACCTCGCCGTCCAAGTTTTTGTCCGAGAAGACTGGTCGAGGAAAGTTGGATGTGAACAGCTGGAGACAGACCGTGCAACCAGTTATGTGTGCTTACAAATTGGTCACGGTACACTTCAAGTGGTTCGGTCTTCAGAATATTGTCGAAAATTTTGCTCACAAAGTAAGTCATTTCTTAATGAAACGTTTGACAATATTATCTTTATTATTTTTGTAAGGACTATATGAGTATAACGAGATTTTTATGGAATTCGGTTATTTTCTGTTAGAAAATATTCATAATTTTGTTTCAGCAATATCCTCGACTGTTTTCAAAGTTCCATCGTGAAGTATTCTGCTGGATTGACCGATGGTACGGCTTGACGATGGCAGATATTCGAGAATTAGAGATGCTGGCCCAAAAAGAGTTAGACGAAGTAAGTGAGATTTCGCGTGGGTTTGTTAATGAAATTGCTTTAGTATTAGTGCAAATGATATATTTTTTGTTAATTTTTCTACATTACCAGTATTATTTACATTGTTTTAATTTAAGGCACGCAAAACGGGTCAAGTGCGTGGAATGACGGTATCATCGTGATTTGCGCAAAAACCTACCTGTGCATTGCTCTCCGGTCCAAACAGCTTCATTCAATTTTGTATCAACGCTGATGTGTTTTTGTAATTTAGTAACTTGACAGTTATGCCATTCATCTCCTCTTGAATGCTCTCACTAGTCACGTCTGTTAATGTTATTGATGGTGACGGCTACATTGTTTCCCGGATGTTTCCAAATTTGTTTTTGGTATTCTTTATTACTGTCTCAGTTTATTCTCTTTTACTGTCTCGGTATACTCTAATTACCGTTTTGGTGTATTTATGGTAATTTTCTCAGTATCTTGTTTACTATCGGTATACAGTGGTTTACTATATCGGTATAGTCTAATATACTGACTCGACTTCCTTCTCATGCTATATCGTTAAACTTGTCTTCTTTAACGTCCTGATCGTATTCTTCCAAATCCTTGTGAAGGCTTCTTATATTATTATTCTACAAGTTTTACATCTTTTAATAGTCTAATTCTGCTAATTTCACCATTTTATAGGCTGTGTCTCTTATAAAAATAAAATATTAAAGAAATTGAAGGTATTGTGGTATTATTTGATAAGAGAAAAGTGTTAATTGACGCACGTTTGATTGAAAGTGTCAGACCGCTGCTGTTAAAACATGTATCAAAAAGCTTTAAACATGTGCAACACTGATAACATAAAAAATATTGTTGTAAAAATGCAGATTAAAAGCCAAAATTCTTCTAATTTTTAATATATAGTACAAATATGCTGCACACAAAAAGTCCTCTGTTTCTGATGTTTATTTTCCTCATACTCGGATAAAATACTTCCTAAAACGGAAAGCCAAAACTCGAGAATCCCACCGCGAAAACATTAAAATTTACGTATAAATTTGTTGGCCAAAATTTTGTATGGTTCGCTATTTTGATAGCGAGTTACACGTAGTATTGTAGTCAATCTACAGTGACCGCATTCTCAAAATGGCCGAGGCGCAGTCGGCTACTGCCAGTAAGGGTAACAGTAAACTTGGCTATACCACATTCTTGACGTTTGCCATCTTATCATTGGCATGGATTGTTGGATTTGCATCTCGTTTGTTCGCCATCGTCAGATTCGAATCGATTATTCATGAATTCGATCCATGGTGAGTTTCTTCATGTTGTTATAGATGTTTTGAGTTTAGGTTCAACTACAGAGCGACAGCTTATATGGTCGAAAATGGGTTCTACAAGTTCTTGAACTGGTTTGATGAACGAGCATGGTATCCGTTGGGCAGAATTGTTGGTGGAACGGTAAGAATTTCGACCGATATCTTTGTTGTTTGATTTTTAGTGTAAACCTGCTGAATTGGGACCCTCAAACAATGAGTTGTTTCAGGTATTCCCTGGTTTGATGGTAACTTCGGGCTTCATTCACAACATTTTGGACAACTTGAATTTTCCCGTTCATATTCGTGAAGTTTGTGTCTTCTTAGCACCGTTCTTCAGCGGATTGACTGCGATTGCCACTTATTTCTTGACAAAAGAGGTTTGGTCAGCTGGAGCTGGTCTTTTCGCCGCCTGCTTCATTGCTATAGCACCTGGATACACATCTCGTTCAGTTGCTGGTTCGTATGACAACGAGGGTATTGCTATCTTTGCTCTTCAGGTAATTATTATGCTTTTTATTTTTTTTTTGATTTTAGGTAACATGATTTTTGTGATAACAACATAAATTTGTCTTTCGATTTTAAATTGAAATTTTAAAGCTACTATTTTTAGTTCACATACTTCTTATGGCTTCGTTCAGTAAGAACTGGATCCGTCTTCTGGGCTGTTTTGACCGCATTGTCGTACTTTTACATGGTATCAGCCTGGGGAGGATATGTTTTTATTATCAACTTGATCCCATTACATGCCTTGGTGCTCATTCTGATTGGGAGATACTCAAACAGACTCTATGTTGCTTTTACGGTGTTCTACTGTTTGGGTGAATTGTTGGCTATGCAAGTCCCTTTCGTTGGATTCCAGCCAGTTAAGACTTCAGAACACATGGCTGCCTTTGGTGTATTTGGACTGTTACAGGTAGGTTTATGGTCATATTGTAATGGCAATTATTCATTTATTATTTTTTTTTATTCAAAAAAGTTAATTTAAAACCCATTTATTTTCAGCTTGTCGGAATCCTAAAATACATGCAAAATAGAATCAACCGCCAACAGTTTCTGGTTCTTTTCACTGCCGTTGTCAGTTCAACAATTGTACTAGGATTCCTCGGAATTGCTCTGCTGACTTACACTGGATATATTGCTCCATGGTCTGGCCGTTTCTACTCGCTGTGGGATACCGCCTATGCCAAGGTACACATCCCAATCATTGCTTCGGTATCTGAACATCAACCTACCACTTGGGTATCGTTCTTCTTTGATCTTCACATTTGTGCGGCTGTGTTCCCAGCTGGTCTGTGGTTCTGCTGCCAAAATGTCACTGATGCCAGAGTTTTTGGTGGGTTTTATAAAAACTTAAAATTTAGGTATTTAATTTAATGTATCTAACCATTTTTTGTATGTTTAATTGTATAATCCTGGGTTTTTGAGTTAAAGAGCCTAACATATTTTATTTTCAGTGATCCTGTACGCCACTACTGCCGCTTACTTTGCCGGAGTCATGGTCCGTCTTATGTTGACCTTCACTCCTGTTGTTTGTGTTCTTGCTGGTATCACTTTCTCGGTCATCTTCGAGAAGTACATGCTTGATGACAGTCAACCAAGGAAGGAGGAGAACATTAGTGAGAAGAGATTGTACGACAAGGCTACCAAATCAAAGCCTCAACCAAAAGTGTCACACGAAGCCGAAGATATTGGAATCAATGGAAGAAGCGGAGTCAGCCTGGCTTTGCTCTTCATCTTGTTGATGTATGTTGCTCACTGTACCTACGTTACCAGCAATGCCTACTCTCATCCAAGTGTTGTGCTACAAACCTCGACCAGCGATGGGTAAGATTCGATTTACGATTTTTTGTACAAAATAGCAATGTAACGTTTCACATAAACGTAAATTTATTTTACTGCAAAGTAAAAAAATTACCAAAATTGCAAATTTTAAGTATACTAATTTTAGCGGCCGATACATTATGGACGACTTCCGTGAAGCCTACTACTGGCTTCGCAAGAACACCGACGACGATGCGAAAATCATGTCGTGGTGGGATTACGGTTACCAGATTGCTGGTATGGCCAACAGAACCACATTGGTCGACAACAATACCTGGAACAACTCCCATATCGCCATGGTAGGAATGGCAATGTCATCAAACGAAAGTTTCTCATACGAAATCATGAAGTCATTAGACGTTGACTATGTTCTAGTTATCTTTGGTGGTATGATCGGATACTCGGGTGATGATATCAACAAGTTTTTGTGGATGGTCAGAATCGCGGAAGGAGAACATCCAAAGATCATCAAGGAAAGCGACTACTTTACGGAATCTGGAGAATATAGTATGGGACCAAATGCTCCAAAAGCCATGACCGACTCTATCATGTACAGAATGTCGTATTACAGGTTCGGAGAAGTCAGAGTAAGTCAAATTTTAAAAAAGTTCTTTTTTGTGAGGGGACTCATATAGGAAGCAAAGTAATGATTTTATAATTATGCACGAGATGTTTTTGATAGTAAATTGAATGAATAACTGTTTTAATATTATAATGATGAGGAATGATAACAATTACCATCTAATATTAAGATGAGCTTCAATCATCCCGGTGGAATGGACAGGACTAGAGGATACGCAATTGGATTGAAGGACTTCAAACTAGAACATTTGGAAGAAGCCTACACGAGCGAGAACTGGCTGGTCAGAATCTTCAAAGTGGTCGATAAGAACAACCGACCGAAAGTCAAATATTCCGAAAGGAAAATCAAGGGAAAAAAGTCTCCCACAAATAGCAAAAAGGTAAGCAACTTGATGTATGTTATCTAAGATACGTTTTGCAGAAAGGTTGTTGAAAAACGGAAAACATTGATTCAGATTTTGGCTTTAAATCCACAACTTTACACTGATTCTTCTATAATCACTACTTTATTATAACTCATTATGTTACCTTCATTTCAGAGCAAGAGTAACAAAAAGGGCTCAATAAAGGCTTAAACTGGCTGCCTACCATTGCCAACCATAACTGGTCACTTGACACGTTGTTTTCCTTATTCGAGAGGAAGCTATTTATCTATTTATTTAGTTAGTGATATAATAAGTTTGTTGTTATTTATTAAAATAATTATGTGATATTTAATAAATAATTATTATAAATGCTAAAGATAAAAGGACTTTAAAATATCTTGAACTACTAAAGTTGGTCATTACCTCAGGGTCGCAAAGCCTTTTCAGGTATAACGCTTCGTTCCACACAGTAAAGGGCTTCCGCAGAAGCTTATCCGGCTCTCCACATGAGGTTGGAGGCTGTAGGATTTAATTTATAGTGTTATTATAATAGTATTTTCTAGCTTAATCGAAAGAAGATAAAATATTGAAGATAAGCATATTCTACGCACAAATCTCTTACAGAATTATGTCATTCCCAATTTGAAAAAAAAACTTTCGAAAACTCACCGTATATCCTCGACACTTCGTATCACATAAATGACACAACTTCACGGAACACGAAAGTCGTATCGTATCAGCACCGACCAGTCGAACTGACAACCATCCCACCGAATATGCTACAGTAAGATTCTTTTCGTACTTCGGAGAACTGAGCATTGTTTTCTCGCGACTACAGCCATTATCATTGATCAAGTAAATGGGATTGGCCGAACTTCCAGTCCAACATTCTTGTATCCTCATTACATGTTCATCTAAATCATCGTTTTTCATATTGATGTCTAATAACCTGCCAGTTGGGCAGAAAATAGGATTTCTGTTATTTAATGTTTTAACAACATTGTAAAAAAAATATTTTAAGCTTTTATTTTTTTCTACAAGCTTTTTTTAGTTTACTACCTGTATTACTACATTTCCACTTGAAACATATTCGTGTATCCCAAGATATTTTGTCTCTAGGCTTTATCGTCGCATGCATACAGCTCTCCTTATGTAATGTCAAGGTGCAAGTTGTGTTATCAGTTACCGTTTCATTCGAAAACGCGTAACTCATGTTCATGGGTTCGACCACAACTCCTATTTTGGATTCGACCAGCTGGCTAAACTGACTAAAGTCCGGTTCTCTTCGTACTGTAGCTTCGGATTTCAACACTGCCAACTGTGAATTAAAGTTTTACGTATATACACGACAATAGTAACTTGTTAAAACTATGCAGTTAATAATGGTTGGACAGCGTGTTCAGCAATATTTTAAAAAGCAACAGACTGCTTAAAATACGAATCTTCTACAGACTTCAAAAGTCACGTAGTCACCCCCCTTTTAAGACCTATTTTAACAAAAAGCGCTGGCACTTACCGTAATCAAGCATTCAGCCAAGAATAGCAACATATTGTCACGTGCAGTTAGTCATTCATTTTGCCCAATTTGAAAGTCCAATCCTATTACCCGTTTAATTCACTGTCGGTCAAGAAGAAACTTCCAAAATTCCGTAAAAACGACGCGACCGAAACTTTTAGCGGGCACTGCAGATGGCAGAAGGCGATGAAAAATGGAGGGTTAGGCCTTTTTTGGTCCTCCAGGGACCAGTTCAGTGCCATATCCCGACCTAACGCAAAAAAAAGATATCCAGATAACCAGCGGCGATGACAATATTCCGTTCTAGACATCATTACAATACTATATGTCGCCAAATTTTTGGACAACGTTACAGTACCTGAAAAATATTTTAGCACGCAGAAGATGCCAGCCTTGCACTATACAGTGAAAATAGAACCACAAATCGAAAAAATGCAACAAAAATACTCATAAAAGCACAAACAAGAAAGTACCCAACTAACGTTATTGACAATTTAAAAATCTTAATAATACCAACGTTTCAACAATAATAACTTTACTGTACAAAACAACAACAATATACAGTTTGTTATAAAGTTACAACTCTACTTTAAACCGCTAAAAACAACAAAATACTAACTACCTAAAAACTAACTACAACATCAAACTAAACCTTGAACCAACAACGTTAAAGATTAACAATAATGTACAAGAAGACAACATGAATAACAACATAACAAGGTGAGTATCAGTAAAGACTAAAATAAGACTAACTAGTAAAGATTTTACACAACAATACCCCCTTACAATTCCTGAATAAAATAACAATCTAATACAAACTTACAACTAAAGTCAGAGACAGCATGAGTAAGTGTAAGACTAGTGATGTACAAAACACCATCTATGATAAATAGATAAGACTAACTAACGTAAAAATACGAAAAAAGTTAAAAATTAAGAATTCCGTCTTGAGATTGGCCGGAAAACACGGTCGAAAGCTTCTTCAATCATTTCCATGGCCTGTAAGCACTTCTTCTTAGAGGCCGTCGAATCGTTCGTCGCACATTCAATTGTCGCATCTCGTAGCCATGTAGCAAGTGCACGATCGAGATCCTTCATAATTGGCAGCAACAAATTCAACGACGTGTTATGACTTTCACAAAGCTAAAAAACAGCATTTTAAACTTAAAAACTACAATTAAAATGCCATTAATAAAGAAAACAAAGTTACATAATGTAATAAGAAAAACATACCAAAAGCAAGTGATACAAAACAAAAGCAGCATCCTCATACAAACTATTCCGACATCTGATCACCGTGGTATTAATAGCAAGATACGGACACATCAACAACAAACGAGCAAAGTTCAACATCGACCACAATGGTTGTGCTTAAAAATAAAATAGTTGCATTTTTTAAAATTGTCAATATGAGCTTTACACATAAACTGTAAAAGTAATTAGCACACACTGTTAAACATAAAACAAAATAAAAAAATAGACAAAGAAAAATCCGTCCGCCAATATTTTATCCAAGACCTTCAAAATTCACTCACTTGTGACATCCTCCAATATCAAAAAGATTTCACTTCTAGACCACCTATGTTTTGAGTTTGCTCCTCGACCGCGAAGTTCGACCAGCATTTGGAAGAACTCAGGGAATCCGTCGAGTTCATTGAATGCTTGAAGGCCTTCTCCATCACCATCTTCCAGCATTTCAAAGTCGATCAATGCTAAAAAATATCCTTTTTCACTTTCTTTTATAAGATAAAACCAACAATTTGGACATAAAATAACTAAATTGCTTATAATTTTCATATATAAGCAAGTTGTTTTTCAAATAATTCTTATTTCCATTCTGCATAAAATACCAAAATAACTTACAAGTTCGTCCATCTGACAAATTCCGAGGCCCAAACAAGAGTTGTGCCAAGTAAAACCTTTTTCTTGGATCTGATATCTTCCTCAAGAACATGGACACAACCACAGCACGTTCTAATCTTGCCGTTCTTCTGTTATAGAAAACGCTGGTAAAGTTTTGGAATATATTTTTCTCCAATCGAGGACTGAACCTTCCTTTCGACCTTAACATTATGTAACAACTCACATCCGTCTCAAACCACAGTGAATATAAAGCATCAAATATTTTCTCACAATGCAAAAATGCATAGTTGTGCATGAGCTGAAAAATTGAAACACTTTTAATAACATTTGTTAAGTAAATTAGGTAACAAATTTTAAAAATAGACAACACGCATAAAATAGTCCAAAGCACTTACCGTAGTAAACGCAATAGAGAGTGGAATCCTTGTTCTATATTCATATGCCAAAGTAAACCATTTGACAGTAAGATTAACTCGATCTGATGCAAAACGGGTCAAGAATATGTCAACTAAAACAACATAAGTTAAGTAGAAACAACTACATCAATCGTTAATTCAAAAATCCTCCCCAATTTCTTACATAATTTAGACATAAAACAACATTTCTCGTGGTAGTTAAGGACCCCAAGATGCTTGGCCAAATATGGAATCTGTTTGAAAGAAGCCAGGAATCCAGCCACTTCTAATTTTAATCGTTCTGATGTCATTGTCGTTCTGATAAGAGATTTGAGGTCCAGGTTTTCAAATACTGTCCATAATATTTCCCGAGGAAGAGCTTGCAAATAGTTCGTTTTATCATTGGATTTACCTGAAAACATGAAGAATACTATAATACATACCTAAAATAAACTAAACCTTTATCTAATCTACAAAGAACTAAGAGATTTGAGAAAAATTAGCAAAAATATTACCTATTTTAACAACAAAACAAGAAATGCAGATTCATAAGCAAAAGTAAAATTATATTATTATCAACTTACTGTGCGTTTTGATACATTTGATAACAGGAGAATCCTTCTCATATTCTAAATGCTTTCGTTTTCGTGTAAAGAAGAAATTGGTCAGCGTCTGAAACACAACATGAACCTAATGAAGACAAACATAAAGATAAGAACAATAAAAACCAACCATAAGTATATCAGCTAAAACTACAACAATATTATACTTGACTTACTTGTAAGACGCCTCGCTTTGTGCTGCTCATTTGAGCACGGCTTGGAAATAAGAGAAAAAACAATTTTCCGAAAAAATAACAAAAACACAAATTTGAAAGAAAGGATTGAAGACTGATCGTAATTGGACATTTTCGTTGTGGGACCCATTTGATTGATGGATGTCGTTGGTTTTTGTTTGGTAATTTCTAGTTTATGGTCAACTTTTGTTTTAAGCAAACACGAAAGGTACCATATGTTGTTAATACTCATTTTTATTTTTGTCAATAGTGGCTTTTTTGAAAAATTTCAATTTTTTTAATTAAAAATTTCGTTGGCTTAAGTAAACCTGGTTTCCGGGCGCAAAAGCTGTTGAGGCACTGTTCTAGCTACATTATAGCTAAAGTATTGGTAAGTTTGAATTATTCTTTCAAATTTTTCAGTGTTATCTCTAAAGACCTATAATATAAGACTGTTTTTAAAACTTTCAAGATTAGGTCATTTGGCTATTATTTAGCTAACAAACGAGCTACAACAGACCCTAACTTGGTTGTTTAACGAGATTTGGCACTTTTTTGTGCCGATCTAGGTCGGGGTACAATAATAAATACAGTTTGCACGATTCGAATAGCTCAGAGAAATAAATGTGATGTAATTTGTCTACGCATAGCCAGTATAAAAGAAGGAGGTTTCCGTTTGTACAATCATACACTTCATAGTGTTGTGTTGTCCAGGTGTTAAAGTTTGTTCCTTGTGTTTCAATCAACGTTTTTATTGAGAAAATGTAAGATTTACTAAAGTTTTATAAAAAATAGTAAAGTCAGTAATAATAAAATTTGATTTTAAGCAGTATCTTACAGTTCAAGTATAATATTATCGAGTATTGTAAGTCTCATGGAAGTGTACTGTTTATTTGTAAATTATGTATTCTGTGCCTTTATGTGGGTGCTTGTAGTTTTATATTTTAATAGTACTGTGTTAACTTACAATACTAGTAAGTTTTATCCTCTTATTGCCATTCGTTTTCAAACATTTGTGGGCGTAAGCGGAATCAATAGTAGCGATCGCGTCTTCGTATAATTCGCCCGATATTACGTTTTTTTATCTAATATATTTTTACTAAAAACATGAATGGAAGCTTTATTAAGGCTGTAAAAGGAGATAAAAAATTATCTGCCATACTCTGAGATCTTTTTCTATTTTTAAGTTCAGATACTTAATTGTGTTGTGCTTGAGTTAGGTGCTATAGTTTTCTAGTGTCTTTAAACTTAGTTTTAAAAAATGTAAGTTTTAATGGTGTCTTTATATAGAAAAGTATAAAGTTAGTAACATATATAGTTATTTAATAACTCAACAGTTTTACTTTGTACTGTATAGTACCAAATGAAAGTTCAACTGTAATTCTTAACTCAACATTAACTTTAATTTTTTAGGACTTATGTTGAATCAGTAGCTAATTCAGTAGCCTCATCCATCTCGGAATATGATTCCTACACTCTGTTGGAATCAGTGGAATCTTTTTGTGTTGCTCTGAACGAACTTTTCAAAGGAACCAAGAACTACTTGGAGTTGAAAAATGTAGTGGTCGAGAAGTTTGGAGAAGCTTTGAAACAATGTGTAGCTGAAGAACTTTACGAGGTTTACCTACAGATCTTGTTGTCAGTAGAAGAGCTGGTAAAAGCTGGTGAAGCCGGTACTCAGTATGTTGGGATTGTGAAAAGGATCTTGATCAAGGAATTTGCCAAGTTTGTTATGGAAAAAAGGTCCAACCCCGAGGGAATTGAGTTTATGAATATTGCTGCCTCAGGCTTGCATGCCATTCCACATATCTTTGTAAGTTTAAGTTTTATATTTTAAAAAAATTAAATTTTTCATATTTAAATTTGTAAAAAAGTTAAAGTTTAAATTTTATTAAAATGTCACAAAAAATGACCTTTTGTATCTTCTTACCGTTTTGTAATCAACTCCGATTACAAATTAATCATTTTCGTTTTTCAGGGTCCAGCCATCTATGTTTATTACAAACAAAAGTGTATTGAAGAGTTCAAAAACTCCCTGTTGACAAAGGCGACCAGAGGAGATCTTGTTCATGTGTTGACTGTAGGTTTTTTATTTTTTGTTTTTCGGTTCTAGATCAAGATAAATTGTCGCTAGGTCAAAAATTTTTATAATTAAAAAATATTTATAAACTACTTATCAAGTAGAATATGTATTGTATTTTTGTAAAGATACCATTTCTAATAATTCAATTTTCAGAAAAAAGCCAAGCGTTACGTAGGTGAAGTCCTCAAATGGATTCTAGCGCTGCCAATCAAAAAGATGTTTGACTACACAACCCTCACTGCATACGCTGTCCTCAACAATGACCTCAGCGATTTGTATGCTCTGTGTCGTATCGACGAAGAGATCCGGACTATCGTAGTAAGCTACTTGGACTACGTGTGTGGAGACTGTTTTGTTGGCATCGACCCCGTCATGAACTCAGAAGAAGTGTTTGAGAATTCCATGAATCATCAGCTGAAACAGAAGTTGAGCACGGTGGTGAAAGTGGCTTTCAACATCTTCAAAGAGTTCAACATGGATAAGGAGATGGTTGCTAACTGCATCTACTACCGTCAGATGAACGACTTTATCTATGTTCTGAGTAGGTACAAGAAGGGAGAGCTCACCAGCATCGAACAGCCAATTGTCAAGACAATGGAAAAGGGATTCAGACTTCAGTTCTCGGTTTTGAATCTGATTGCCAGCAATTTGGGTGTTCAGGAAGCTGTGTTTTATGCCATGTTGATGGATATTCCTGAAGGAAAGTGGCCTGGAAAACTGCAAGATGGCGTAGAGGACTGTAGAGAGGTGGTAATGGCTAAATTGGCTGCAAAGTAAGTCAATGTTAAGGAATAAAGGTGTAAAACAAGTTTTTTTTGGCTTATAAAATTGTAAATTCTTTTAAAAACTATTAACGTTTCAGAAAAGAAAGCCTGGAAAAAGAACAAAGACAGATTGACAATGGCATCATGATCAACAGTCGTCAAGACCACCGTCTCTTCGTTGTGGATTCAATCATCAAGATTCACACCATCTTGAAGCCGTTTATGGATTCTAACGACAAGTTCATCGGCATGGACGCTGAATGGGACGCTTCTGACTGTGGTCTCCAAGGAGAATTGTGCATCGTGCAGTTGTCATCAAGAAAGCAGACAGTTGTCATCGACGTTACTACTCTCAAGACCATTCTGAACGACGAACAATGGGTCGATTTGTGGAGTATGGTCTTTGGTGGTGAAACAAAGTTGATTGGCTTTGCTCTACTGTCAGATATACAGGTATTGGTTCACAACTTCTCATTCCTGGAGGATCGTGTGCCCAAGATGAAGGAAAACATGATCTGTCTTCACAATGCCTTCAATGTTATCCTTGGCAACGCTGAGATGACAAGACTTGTGTTTGGCTACAACATTCCGTCCCAGAACAACCTCTTCAACATGACCAAGTACATTATGAAGTACGAGCTGAGCAAGCAGGAACAGTCCAGTGTCTGGAGTGCACGACCACTGAGAATGGCACAGTTAAGATACGCGGCCGAGGATTCGATGTCAGTGTACGGTATCTACTGTATTGTAGCTCCGAAAATCTACGAGAGATTCCCCGAGGAGATTGAAAACGTGTTTCAATCAATGGCCGTGATCAACAAGTCGGCCAAAGGAACCGGCTTTGAGAATCTGGATATTGCTCAGAAGTCCGTCGTGAAGAAGACCAAGGCTTCACACCTGAGCAAGAAGGACTTGGAAGACATAGCTACACGAGTGAACGATTACTTTGTTGAGAAGAAGATGAGTCCCATGGTTAACCACCCTGAGTATCTTCATGATACTATGTGTACTCAACTTGCCATCTGCTTGCGACGTATCGGAATCAGTGTGACAAAGCTACCAAAAGCAGAAGATCTTCAGAAGTGGATCGAGAATAACAGCAACAACTTCACCGTGATGACTGTGGGAAAAGCGGCCAAGAACTTTACCCAATTCGCCAAAGTCATCGACACAGCTTCATCGTCTGAACCTCTGGATGTTCAGATCGAGTTGTTCTTGAAGCGAGAATGCCTGTCTGTTAATGTAGACAACTACAAATCACGATGTGAGCATTGCAACAAGTCCACGTTCTGTATGGTACCCAAACCCTACATGCAGTATCTGCATTTGAACTCGATGCTTCAAAATGATATTAAAAGAGGTCAAATTGATGTGAATGAAGATGAGGTGGAAGAGAGTTACCAAAAAATGAAAAACTACGTCTACCCCATAATGGAATATGCCTGTACTACACTTGTCAGGAATGGGGAGACGTTGATCTTCGCCCAAAATGCCATCATCAATCCAATGTAAGTTTTTTGAGGTTATGTTAGCTAAACAGTTTTAAATATTATATTATGACTGTACGAGTGAATTTTTGAAAATAAAAAATATTCTTTTTTTTTATTGAAAGAGAAAGTGAAACAGTAATTCAACTGTGATCAATTAGGCTTATAATTATACCTCCACTCATCATAATATCTATTTTTAGTGACCTCACAATTTCCCAGTTGATCAACAGAAACGACCAGCCTCACCGTGTAAAGCCCAAAAAGTTGACATTGGCTACACACAAATTGTTGAAGGAATCCACTGATCCCCATTACATGCTGTACGGTATCTGTACATGCTGCGGTCGAGAAAACACGGATATCATCAAAAACCCGTTGGAGAATTAGTGAATTTCATTTTTGATATCATTTTAGGTCTGATATCAATCCTTAATTTATTTTCTATGTCTAGCTTTTCATCCTTTAATTTTTAGTTACTCATTAATCAGTCAGTATTGTAAATAGTTTTAGCTATTGTAGATATTACACATAATCGTTGTTTTCTCAATTTACTCATTTCGGTAATATCTTTTTGTTTAACCCGGGTTGTTTCATTTTCTAGCCAGATTTGTAAGCAATGTAAATATTGTTTCTAGTTTGTTATGATAATATAGTTCCTTGTTAAGTTTTTTTAAAATAAAAATATAAAAGCAAGTACTTGTTACTGATTTACATATAAAAACTGAAAGCATTCGCAATCAAGACTTAAAAAAATCAAATTTAAGCATAGAGCATTGCTGAAAGTCGGTCCAAACAAAAAACTAAAATCAAAGTATGAAAACCGAAAAAATAGTTGTAAAACAAAAAATCCTATTAAATTATTTAAAAAACCACTGCTTATCGCACTTAACGACACTTTTTATTCTTGTAAAAAGTAATATCATAACCTTTCTGCTGATATGACAAACAAAATGCAACAATCTTCCAAAATGAATGCGTTGGTTGGTGAAGATCGTCCTTTATTTGAACCTCCAAAGCCTTCTGAAAAGACTGTACCTACTCTATCATCATTGTTGGAAGAGTTGTGGAATCAGTCCAAAGATGACAATTTGGCTCAAGTAGCCAAAGAAGTAAAGAGTTCCAAGTATTTCAATGCTCTACGCAGTGTATTGGAAGACAGGAAGCGAGAATTGTGTAGGTTTATGTTGTGATAAATTAATATTTTTATTACTAAAGTATTGTAATTCTGCTTTCAATAACAACAACCCTTTTGTAACTTAATTTTTGTGTTTATGATGATATATAATTGTTTTAGCTTTTCGATTTATGTCATTTGAACACGCCAAACTCGAAGAACAGAGCAATTCGTTGAAAAAGAGTACCCAAGATTGCCTAGATGCCATAGCATGTATTGATAAAGACAGCAACAATGAAGCTGTGCAAATAGTTGATGATTACCTACAAAAAGGTAACCAAGATCTCCAAACACACATACACCAACTCAGTCAGGTCCGTTTATATTATATAATACACAAAACTATACCCATGAGCTTAAAACAACCTTAATTTCTTTTAAAATCATCATTAACCTTGATCTTACAGGCAGTCTGGACCCACGAATGTCAGTTAGAGCGAGTTCTCCAGAATCACTCCAAGATTCGTCCCATTTCAGTAGCTGATGTAGAAAACGGAAAACGAAACTTAAAAGTAAAATTTCTAATCTATGGTAACCAAGTTCAAAACGACTTTTGCAACTTTGCTTTACTGTCCTCTACTTACTTTATGAGAAGGTAAACTGAACTAAATACATTGCTCTTACACTTTAACTTGTATCTTTGTATATCGTTACCGTTAGACTATACTGAGATTTACAGACAGAAAAGGCGTAACTTTCCTAAAAAAGCTACAAAGATCCTAAACCAGTACTTTGAAGAACACATGGATGAGCCTTACCCTAGTGAAGCAACAAAACAACAATTGGCTGATATATGCGGGGTTACCGTAGGTCAGGTAAGCTGACTTCTGCATGAAACTAAAAGTTATCTCTTAAATCTTATTTTAGGTATCTAACTGGTTTGGCAACAAACGTATCCGCTTTAAGAAGGCTTTAGAAAAACGTGAAAAACAAAATTTCAATAGCTACTATTAAATGGACATTACCATAAACCCGATTGTTGCCAATAAATAGAAAATTAGTCCAAAATGATTAGTATCAATGATAAAAAAAGTATATTAAAGTACTTTTAACGTATCCAAACTTGTCTTTCAATTGCAATAAATTAGTGTAAAATGATTTATTTAAGAAAAGAGCATCGTTTAGGACAATATATAAAACAGGAATATTCAAACGTTTGAGATTTGGAAGGATATAAAAAGCCGGAACTTCTCCAAAGCTAAAGCAAAACAAAGAACAAGCTGATTGTGCAACAACAACATGATATTCCAACAATTAGCACACTGTAACAACTGATTACTGCGTTGACAGTATGCTTATTATTCATATACTTATTGGCCTTGTAGCATTTGTTGGGCTCCGGGCATTTCATTCTTATGACGTGGGTTCTTTACTGTTTGGTCGATTGACAGTACCGTGCAGGCAGCTTCGGTGGCAGCAATGATCGCGTTCTGAAAGAAAAAGTTTGTATAAAACGTTTAAAAAGCAGTAAATTAATTTTTTTAATTTTTTTAAACCATTTCTAAAACTTCCTTTACAGTAAAAAACTTACTTCTTTTGTAATAGCTGGCTCCCAAACACAACCGTCAAAGTTGTTGCTGACAGCTTCCTTGTGGATGTCAACTCCATCCCATTTGTTTCCCTTCTGATGTCTTGATCTTAAGTGGTTCAAGATCTCTACTCCATCAAGACCGGCATTAAAGCAAAGTTGTTGAGGAATAATCTAAAGTAAACCCATTATGTGCTTCTACACCAAAAAATAACCGTATAAGTTACTCAAAAGCGAATGCTAAAAATAAAAATAATCCAAAACAGTTATCAAGCAACAAACTTACTTCAAAAGCCTTAGCATAAGCCTTCCAGAAGAACTGTTCTTTCGAAGCAATAGTCTTTGACACATCCCTCAAATGTTTGCTCAATTCCATTTCAATTGCACCACCTCCAGCAACAATAGCGTCGTTCTTTTTGGCTCTTCTGATGATCATGATAGCGTCATGCAAAGATCGTTCAGTTTCAGCAATGAATTGTTCGGCTCCACCCCTCAAGATCAAAGTGCATGACTTGGCTTTAGATCCACCTTCGAACATATTGAATCGCTCTGATCCAACTTGCTTCTCGTAGAACTTTTCACATTTACCCAAAACACTGTCACTGATTTGGCTTACTGTGGTCAGAACAGTACCACCACAAGAAGCTTGAACTCTTTGAAGATCGTCTTCTGGGATTCTGCCGGCACAGAAGAGGTCTCTGAAAATAAAAGTTAAACCTTAAGTTCTTCGAATTGAAATTCTAGTAATACGACCATGAATTACAATTAATAGACGTTTTTAGAATGATTTGTAATTCTAAAAACTAAAAAATTAAAAAGTAACCGTACCTATCAGCAAACCATTGAGTAGCGACATCACCGATAGGAAGTCTGCTAAGAATGACTTTAGCTCCACTTTCGTGAATCTTCTCCAACTGTCTGTACAAAACAGTCCATTCAGCGTTAACTACCTCTTCATAATCAGCAACATTGGCAATCCTAACCTCAGCGTTAGTCCTTTCAGCCTTGATTTCCAACTCAATGTTCAACAAAGCAATCTTGCAGTTCTCGTACTTCTTTGGCTGCATTTCGAAGCCAGCATAACTGAAGGCTTTCTTAAAGGCGACACCTTTAACCAGTTGAGAATCAGTCAGTGATCCACCATTGACCTTCTTGATGCCAATCATGTTTAATGGAAGATCGGCGTCCAAGTAGTTAACAGCTTCAACACACATACGAGCAAAGTGTTCACGATCGCTAGAGACCAACTTGCTGCTCAACGTGGTAGCAGCGCACTTGACCAAAAGTTTGTTAACTTCATCTTCTCCTGTCAATTTGACGGCCAACTCTTTCAGCTTCTTGATAGCCTAAAAGATAAATAAAAAAGATAAGATAAAAACTTTATATTTAATAACTTATGGTTGCTTTACAGTACTTTAGAGACTGAAAGTTTAAAAATCTTACTCTTTATACTCAAAATGTCAAAAAATAATTGCCTAAAAACCAAAAATTTCAAAAAAGTAACACACCTCTTTGGAAGCAGCAGTGTAAGAACGGATGATCAGTTGAGGGTTAACTCCATCTTCAATAAATTGCTTGGCACTCTTCAAGAACTCAGCGGCCAAAACAACAACAGAAGTTGTACCATCTCCAACTTCAGCATCTTGACTTTTGGCAATATCGGCCATAATTGTGGCAGCTGGGAAGACAATGTCCAAAAGTTTCAAAACTGTAGCTCCATCATTTGAAATGGTAGTAGCATCTAAAACAGATTATTATAATTATGCTACTACTCCATGATTCGATCAAACTACAAGCAAAAGCTCTAAAAACAAAATTAAAAACATACTTTTAGAATCAACTACCAACTTGTCCATTCCTCTGGGACCAAGAGTTGTTCTAACAGCATCCGCAATGTTAGTACAAGCGTTGATGTTACTCACAACTTGTCCTTTACCATGCTTCTCTTCAGTACCCTCCTTTAACAAAATAATCGGCATGCGATTCATCTTTCCAACCTAAAATAATAAAATATCAACGAATATAAAGGTATTACAAAGGTTATAAACGCGAAAAACACCATACGACATACTTGCAAGACAAAGATAAGAATGATGATACAATATAAACATATTTTTACTACAAATTTAACGTTTTTATTGGCAAATCGAACAAAATTTAGCAGAAACAAGCAAAAGGCTCTTCCAAGATCTCGAATTATTCCAAAACCTTCTTTTCCCTCATTAATACACAACGACAAAGATATTTTAGCAGTTGCAATATTTCCACTCGAGACTTGAATAAACAGCTGTTTCGTGTCCCGAAGTGCGCCCAATTTATAAAATTTTGGCCAAAAAATAATTTTTATACGAGAAAAAAGTCTTTTACAATATTTTTGCGCTAAACAAGTTTCTGTAACAGTTATATTATTATAAAAACAAGTATTTTGTAAATAATACGTTGCGTTAGACTTTTGTCTAAAATAATATTGATGAAAACGGGTTGAACGTTGGAACACCGAATAAATATAGATGGAGTTTGGTGTTGAGCTCACGGAACTGTTTAGAGCAGTATGCTTTTATTCTCTTGTTGGAATATTTGTCTTTTTTCAACCTCAGGCATTCAGATCAGCTGGATTTACTATAGAGAATATTTTACATTTTCTATTGCCTAATCCTCGGCTAGATTTCTTGAACTTTCAATTACATAGAATGTGCCTTACCATGATGGTTCATTTTGCTTTTGTGCCGGGTAAGTAACTTTTATGTATTTTGTTTTTCGAGTTATAAAAAAGTGAAAGCATGCATAATATCAAATATTACTATATTTTCGGTTTCTTCATTGCTCTGGGAATCGTATGTGAACGAAATTTGTTTGTTGTTGTGCCAGAAACAATCATTGAAGTTTTGGTGTTGTTATCCATAACTTTTACATCGCGTAAGTTATTTTATTATTGATTCTCACCTAATTTAGTTGGCTTTGGATTTGTGGCTTACTTGATGTCTGGTGACTTTGAACATCATTATGTTACGTCAAAGCTGAAGAGGATACGAGAAGATTGGCATTTGTTGAGTCGAGATGTCAGCAGGGAAATGATGGATCCATTCTCTATAAAGTTGGTTGACTCTAGTAAGTATTTTCGTGATGATCGTAGCTGATCTTATCTACATAGTTAGAATTAAATGTATGCCGTTTCTATATTGTTTATTTTAGACGAAAGCGGAGTATATGTGTTGGATAACTACTTGATACGGGTTCGACCTTATAACTTGGAAATTGCTAGGCTGGAAGATGCTACGTTTACCGTAAGAAAAGTGTTGGATCACCCTGTAAGTGACATTAACACTTTATTTTTATATGATGTGATCTGTAATATTGTTATTTTTGTACTTTGGATTATTGTAATGTGTTTTCAGTTGAGAAACCAAAATGATGATTACCAGTTGATTTTGGTGGATGTTGATAGTGTTTCCGGGTCTTTCAACCCATTCAAAATTCAGTAAGTTCACTAGTATTGATTTCACAAAATGAAAACTATTATAGCAATTATGTAAAAAATTTGACAGAACTACATAAATCTCACACTTTTTTGTTTTAGTCTCCAATCCCGAACTATAATGCAATTAATTCGTGACAAAATTGGATCAGAATTCCGAATTCTATCTACAGTTCAGATGACTTTCTCCATGCAAGACCGTTTTGTACAGGACTTCAGAAGTGTAATATCAGAGAACGAAGTGTTTGAGTACAGAACGAACGAAGATCTAGACGTTTGTTTTGGTTGTATGGCTGTACCCCCAAACGTGAAGCTACAAAAGTTGTGTGAAGCACCAGATTGTACTAGTTGTTCTTGTCGTCCAACGTGGTGCCACTCTTGCTTGGCTAGAATCTTTGCTACAGAACAAGATCAAGAAAGACCTGAGGGTTGGATGGCTGGAAGGGCGAGGTGCCCTACTTGTAGATTGAACTTTTGTGTTTTGGACGTTAGACCTTTGAAGGTTATTAGAGACGAATAATTGTAGGAGCTACTGTATTAAATATGTAGTAGTGCAGGCGATGCAGAGAAGGATAATTATTCTTGCAAAGTTTTTATTTTTATACTTAAAATTTTTAATAAAAAACGTTATTTATTGAAAAAAAATTAAAATTTTTGGCGCTCCCTTGTTTAAAGCACCCATCCAACCTATTTGACACACCCAAATTTCGGTCTTATTATACATACCCAAATTTGAATAATCCACAAAATCTAAAAATTGCTTTTTGCAATTGTGATTTCTTTTCATTTTGAAAATTAACTCTGTTCCCGTGCGGTAGCGCGGATATGGAAAAACGTCTTGGAGAGCTCACTCCTGTTTAAGTTGACGATCGTCAAGGCCCACCTATCAAAAGTGGACAATTGTGGATCATCGGTTACGTAGCACGAAATGGGAATGCAAAAGCATCGGTAATCACGGTAAGTCTTTCGTTTCAAACAATTTTTTAGTGTCCGTCCAAGGTGTACCACAACAGCCAGTTTCAACCTACCAACCCCTGAGATGACACCCCCACCTCTTAGATGACACCCCAACCTCATAGATAACACCCCCACCTCTTAGATGGCACCCCCACCTCATAGATAACACCCCCACCTCTTAGATAACACCGCAGCCTTTTAAATGGCACCTTTTAATTGACACACCCAACTTTCAGATGGATCACCAACCTCATAGATGACACACCAACCTCATAGGTGACACACCAACCCCATAGATGACACACCGACCTTATAGATGATACTCCAACTTCTTCGATGGCACACGAAGCTCCCGAAAAGCTGATGAAATCTTACGGACGAGCCCATTTTGCGCTACGACAACCGAACTTCAATTCTGGACTCATTTTACAATGGAATTTGTAAATTTATAAATTTGAATAAATGGGTGCTTGAAATAGGTGGTGGGTGTGTATAATAAGGTGGGTGTGTTCTCTCAGAGAGCCCCAAATTTTTTACGGATGTTTTACGATATTTTTTGATAACTTTTTAATTCTTATTTACATGTTATTCCAAAAAATACACTTTTAACTGCTGAGAACACATGTTTTCCTTTCTCCGTTGACAAGATTAAGCTTTCGATACGAAGTTATGGAGATTAACTCCCCGTATACCGCAAATTATTGTCGTTTACAATACCATAACAAATTAGAACCGAGCGAATAGACGTCGTAAACTGATAATAAGATCAGTGACGCCTCCAGGATGGCGGGCCATCAGCCCAGTCGTCATGACAACCGACTTCATCAGCATAATGGCCTGAAGCAAAAATAACAATAAATATGTAAATAAAACGCCTGGTCAATACCTGGAGGGTCAAGATCGCGTGGAGAAGCGGGATTAACCATGCTACGACGCCGCACCGGTATGTTTGGCATTGTAGTTAATATAGACGGATTTAATTGCTCCGCAAGTTATCTTTTACACTTTTATCTTTGTAAAAAGTAATTGGGCAAACTACGTTTGCATAATACACTTTTCGAGTACTACTTTCCACATTGTACCCGGACTTTTTTGAGGTTTTGGGCGATTTCTGCTCTCGGGTATGTTTGGAGGGATATTACTGTTGAAGGGGGTGTTGTTAATTACATTTTTTTGGCAGATTTAACATTGTTTATAGAAAAAAAGGCTCTTAAACGTTGAAAAAATGTTATTTTAGGCAAAATAAGCGTAGAATTTATTCAATTTTTGCAATTTCCTTTAGGCTTTTTAACCAATTTTGTAATTATTAGCAATTTTTCGAGACCTGTAGACCTTGTACTACAGACTGTAACATTCTAAAGCTTGTATAAACTAGTTTAATAACGTTTTCTTTACAAAAAATGCAAAGTTTTCAGTTTTTGATACTTCCGGAGATACTTATGGGATTAAAACTTCAGAAACACTATTTGAATACACTAATAAGACATTGGCAGTAAATTATTAGGTTTAGTTGGCTAATAGGTTTACTATAACATATAATAATTGGGGGTTGTTGCACAATATTTTCGCTAATAAGGTTTAAAAGTTGTTTTGCACTTTTAACTCGTAATTAAGTAAAAATAGCGGTTTTATGTGTAAAGGATAGGGCATATGGCTTAAATAAATTTAAAAAGTTGTATTTTAAAGCAAGAATGGCATTACGTTGGTTAAAAAAGCATACTAATGTTGTTGTTATAGGCAAGAAGTTTACACGAATGAGAGACCGGAGCAGAAGCAGAGTTTCGTTGAGTGAAGACGTTGATCATTGGATAGAAGATGGTGATATTGACAACCTGGAGGAGCTGCTACTTACTGGCAAAGCGTACATGCTGGAAAACAGAGAAATCACGAGCGGAAAGTCATCTGGATTCTTGAGGCAGATACCTGTTTACAAAGTGAGTCTTTGTTCTTGATATTAAGGTTTTGGAAGTGATTAGCTTTATGTTATATTATGGTCACATTTACAGCTTTATGTTATGCTTCAAGTGCTATTGTAGGATCAAAAAGTACGTAAATTGTAGTTTTTCTATAATAAGTAAGTAGTATCATGCTTTGTTACCTAAGTTATAACATTGACGCGGAACTTACGAATATCCGTGTCATTAGACTTGGTAGTTAACACCCTCATACTCAAATTTACTACGACATATACTGGAATTGACTCTACATTAAAGAAAAATGACACTGGAAATCTACTATAATAAAAGTGATTACGTATCGAGTCTTTTATTATCATTATTAAATTTTAAATCTTGTCAGTCAGGTAATACCTGTTACTAATTCTCTTCCTACTCTTTTCAATTTCAACTGTTTGTTTTAACCTATTTACTTTGAATTACTGTCATATTTACAGAAATATCTTGGTGATTTTATACTTGAAGCTTAAACATCAACTTTAATATTTAAAACAATAATTTAAAACTTGATTCACCGACAATATTAAACTACTCGAACTATCCAAATAGACAAATATAGACAATATTTACTTAAAAATGATGGTAGATCTGCAAAAAGTATATTATTCTTCTCGACAGGCTAACATCGAATGTATGCTGGAAGCAGTATGTATTGGAAACAAGCGAGCAGTACAAGATCTGATGGCATACCGGAAGTGTGTGGCTGCCAGACATCCCTTTACAATGTGTTCTACGATACATCTTGCTGTAATACATCAAGAGTTTGAGATTTTGGATCTACTCTTATCACATCCAGATGCTCCAATCGCTTCTAGAGATATTGTAAGTATTTTACTTTACAAATTTTTTGCGCGTGGGTTAATTTTTTGATAGTTTATCATAGTTCATAGGGATCTAAGAAACAAACGATATTATTATGCCACCTTTGTACGAAAAATTTGATTTTAGTTTATTTGTGATAAGTGTTTAGCTGATGATTTTAGACTGGGTGAGGAAAATTTAATCTTGTTGATTACAATGAAGGCTAAGTTTTGAAAAGTGAGATTTTTATCGCCTTACTAAAACTATGTATAAAATTTTATAAATTTTAATTTTATATAAACAAGGAAACTTTTGAGCTTCCAGTATTTTCAAAAGTAACGACAGCTATCAACAAGTAATCTAGACTTTCAGTAGGATTAAGGTATTACCCAATATTAATTTTTTCTTCCTCTATGTTTCTGTGGGTATTTGTTAAGTATCATATTAAATTATGAGATGAAATGTACTAGTAAACGTTATTTTATTTGATATCATTTCTTATGGTTATTAAAAATATGGGTAATATAGATATCAAAGAGGCGTACAATTGATGTTGTGATAAATCAAGATCAATTGTATGCCGTTTTATGTAATTGTTTTTTAAAATTATCACTTAAAGGGTGTTTAACGTATATAATTACACAGATAAAGGGTGTGGAAATATTTAATTTGGGTAAACACTCAAAGTATTGTAATAGAACAGAAAAGTAATTTTTCCATATCACATTCGCTGTCTCTTATTATGTAGCTTACTTGTTTATTGGTCATGTTGTAAGCTTAAAAGCAATATATTTTTGCTTGTTATTGTAGTTGATGGGAATTCATCGTATTTGGCGTTTTACAGAAGAAAATCGAGTAAAAGGTCTAGTTTGACACACAAAAATCGTAGAATACCAAAATACGTACGCTAGTCTATTGCCAAGTAAGTGCGTAATACGTTAAGGCGGAATTTGTAATGTTTCATGTAGATATAGGTGGAGGATTAAGGAGTTAATTCAGGAAGGACGGACACCTTTGCATTACGCTGGGGCTTTGGCTGGAACTCTCCCAAACGATTCGGCCGCTCTCAACTGTTACGACACTTTACTAAAGCGTGGTATACTCGAAATGACGGTGGATACGGAAGGCTACACGGCTGTTGACTATAAGAGGACCCCGAAGTTGTTGGACTTGAATCAGGTCAAGGGACTTAATCGATGTAGGTTTTACTATGCGGCTTTCTAAATTTACTTTATTTTATAGATATGTTGAATCGAAACTATTTTTACGGTAAATGTTATTATCGGCATGAAGCTACATAATGGTATCGATCAGTGTTTTGCCCGGACCGGTCCGGAGCGTTTTTCACCGGTCCGGTCCGGCGATTTTTTGGGTCCGGCCCGGTCCAAACTTCAAATTTTTGGGTCCGGTCCGGTCCGCAAAAAAAATTTTTTTAATTTTTAAAAAAAGCAAGGATCGCTAAAACTGCTTTCTTTTTGCTTAAAAACTTTTAAAAATATGTTTTATTTGCAATTTTTAAAACAGTTTTCTGAAAATAAAAAAAAATTTTTCTTCCGGACCAGTCCGGAGCTTTTTCTTCGGTCCGGGTCCGCAGGTTTTTGGGTCCGGTCCGGTCCGCAAAAATTTCTGTTTCGGCCCGTCCGGTCCGGACCGGACCCGTCCGCGGACCGGACCGGTCCGGCAAAACACTGGTATCGATACAAAAATGTTAAAATTATTTTTTTGATTACAGACCCATTGGACATTGGAGACGACATAGACAAGATGATATCCGAACGAAACGAAACCGCATTGTCTAAAATAGTAATTGATGGAAAATACGACAAGATTGGCAATCGTATCTTTCCACCTCAAAGCCGAGATTTGGCTAGGATTTTGAACAATTTGAATGTAAATAATACCTCATTTTGTTATTTTCTAATAATAATATGTTGGCTTAACTTTTATAGCAGACAAGCTGATTTTTAGGCCTTCTCTTTCTCTTTTGTGTTAATTTTTTTATTTTTGGTATTTCAAAACCTTATTTATTTCATGTAGATATAACATTTTTGTAGTAAAAATTGCGTTTTCAGATGAGATGTCAAGCTGTTCATCAAGCAGTAATCGATGATGACTTTATTTTACTGAAACAGCTGATTGATTGTGAGGAAATGGCTCAGTGTCGTGATATTGAAGGTAGAACACCACTACATATAGCTGTCATAAACGGGAAAGATCAGATTGCCAAGTACATTCTACTGCTCTATCCAAACGCCGTCGATTTGGTTGATAATGTAGGTTTTGGTTTTAAAAATTGAAATAATGTGTGAAAAGGAAGCTGATTCTTTTACAATTATATCTCTGGATATCAATGGTATAAATTTTTTTTTCATATTGAGGAACTGTAAATTTTGGTAATGTTTTTTCCTTTGTACACTATAATGTGCATTAGGGTTTAAACATGCTTAATAACAAGGATTAGCTATTTGCGTCAAAGCATAATGCACATTATTGTAATGTGGGTTTATAAATAATATTTCGGAGAAAGGAAATTACGTCGTTATTAAGCCTACAAGCAGGCTTTTGTAAATCCATTTAGGAAATTGTTGTGAAATTCCACGATACGTGATTTGTCATACAAGTAGAGACTTCCTCGAAGGGGTTTAATCGTCTTTGTCAATATTTTTGGCATTATAATGCATTATGTACCCTTGGGGAGATTTTAAGATAATTTTTGCAGAATTTTTAAGGGCTTAATGTACTCTACCATACCTACATGATTTTACCATTTTATACTTTTCTGTACTTTACCGTCTTCTGATTTACCTTACCGTACCCGGATGTACCTTGATTTACTTTACTCTTCTGTACCTTGCACTATTACCCCTTAAGCACACACTCAATAATTTACCGCAGCTGCAGTATACTGCTCAAACCAATATTAGTTAATGCTTGTTTTCATAGTTTAAAACATTAAACCAAAACTCAAATTACTCACTCCCTATCTCCTAATGTCGCACTATAGCAACATGATAATTGTGGGTTGTTATTTTGGATTGACGTTTTACTCTTGAGACCAGACATTGGCCGAGATACGAACTCTCGTTACCATGGAGTTTTATCAGTGAATTACTTAATTACAGGCTAACAACTCGGCCTTTCATTATGCAAATCAGCTGGACGATTCGAATCAGAAGGACCTGATGCTCGAGTTGCTGCGGAAGGCCGGTGCTAACGAGGATGAGGACCTGGTATGTTCGATATGTTATTACCTTAAGCACATTATTGGGGATTGTTAATGGGGCCGCGGTGGGACCGCCTTCTTGGCCTAGTCTTGTTATTTTTGTTTTTTTTTCTAATTTAAGAAGAGGAAACTGTGTGTTTACGGAATGGATAATTGAGTTTTGACATTTTTGTAGGAAAGGAGTTGGGGTGATGTTGTTCATGTTAGGTGGATGAGATATTGGGCCAATATTTTTAATTTTTTTGTGTGAAGATAAGAAAGGGAGCGGGTGATAGGAATAGGCAAAAAAATTAAGAAATGGAGATTAAGGTTGATTTATTGTACTGCAAAGACTCTTTTGTACCCATTTTTTACGTAGGTGTACATTACCGGACATTAAGATATTACATTAATGAGTATTATATAGCTCGATTCTATAAGACGCTTTAGAGAAAGGAAGCCATAGATATTGTCAATGGTTGTTGATACTCCGAAAAATTTTTTTAAATCTGTTTTTGATGACCATTTTAAAATGACGTTTCTGAAAAAAGGTGTTTTTTCTTTGATTTCGTACTAAAGTTAATTTTAGGCATAAATTTTGAAATTTAAAAAATTAAAATTTAAATGTTTTGAAAACCGATGTAAATTGACTAAAAAAATTTTGAAATTGTATAAAAAAGTATGAAAAATCTTGTTTTTAAACCAAAAAAATGAATTTTTTCTACTTAAAACACCCAAAGTCACTAATTTCTTACGGTCGGGGTAAAATCGCAAACCCTGTCCAAAAACCCCTAAAACTTACAAATTTGGTTACAGAATCCCACGGTCCAGTTAATTTCAACCCAAACTCGCCGGAAGTCCGATTCGATGCGGGTTTTAATGGCGGCCAATTCAGTGCATTCGACTAGCGAAGACATGTTTGGTAGGTGCTAGGTGAATATGCCGCTAATATGTTTAGACCTGGAAGAGGAGGAGAACGTGGACGATGCGGTGGAACAGCGGATTCTGGCCGTGAATTTCGATCAGAAACTGTATCGAGAGTTGGAGGATCTGCAGTTCGAGGGGAAGAACGAGGAGATCTGGAAGGTGGTCAAGAAGCATCTGGGGAACGAGAAGCTGATCAGATATGTGTATTCGTATAGACAGGTGCAGGTAAGCATATAAGGTTTGGGGAAAGAATGCGTTTTAATCATTTTCAAATTTATTTTTAAATTTAGCTTTACTATTAAATTTAAAAACCCTGAACGTCTTTTTTAGCCTTTTATATAATTTTTTGTTCTTTTCTTGACCATTTCAATACAACCATGAAGTCTTTTTTAAGTAAATCTATTGTAAAATGCATAAGATCTTGGTGCGTTTACATATCCAGGAATTTGTAGATAAACAAATCTATTTTTTATTATAAATTTAAATTTTTAGCAAAGTAGACTAGTAAAAAAGCCGTATAATATTTTGATTCTTCTGGCCCCTAATTACCGTGTATTATAGAATCGATTGGTGGTCGCCATTCAAGCAGTGAATGAGAATGACTTGAAGAAACTCAAGAGTACGTTGGACTCGGAGTTGATTCAGCTTCGTGATAACAGAGGTGAGTTTTTTTTTCTTACTAATGTCTTACTCAATACTTTAGTCATCGAAAAGTTTTTACAATGTTTTAGTGATAGTAATGTTTTTAACATCATACTCAATTTTTTAGTCATATAAAAGCAACAGGAAGCTTAAAATCTGTATAAAATACGATTATTTCTTGATTTTTAATCAAAATAGGGCTTTCTTGAAATGTTTTCTCATAACAAACTGTTTTTGTTTGTTTCCAAAATAGATTCTACACCGAAACTCCTGGAAAACCGTACAATAATAGATGATTATGTTTACACTTCCTTGTTTTCATATAAACCCTACAGATATGGCTGTAAAACCTTACTGATTGCAGTAAACATCCCAATATAGATCTATATATTTAGATGTTTTTATATTTTCGCATTCGCACATGGCTTCCTCGTTGCGATCTTATTTTTAGTAAATGTACAGAAATTGCAAATGTAAAAGTAATCTCTAATATCGCTTTATTGTCCAAGAATAATCCCGAATAACATCATGAATAATGAGTATTGCAGGATTAACCATCCTGCATTGGGCAGTGCTCAAAGAACGCCATGAGATTGTCGAGTACATAGCCAAAACCTTTCCCAAACAGCTGGACATCACCGATCAGGTAGGGTAACATAGGCTTGGTTAGTTGTTTGGGTAGATATTGGTGTAATTATTTTTTGTGGTTATCAGTATAGCAGTTGGTGAGTCCTTAGAGTGACATATAATACATAGAGAGATATAAATAGTATAATCATAGTTGATATTACCTCGTATGTTACTTTATATAATGTTATGTTATTCTTGAGTGACCAATAGGCCATAATTAACGATATTTTACATCAAAGTAGTAAACTCTACCTATACTTTCTAGGAATACTATAGTTCATAATTCATCGTATATTAAAGAAAATTTCCTAGTACAATATGCACAATGGCTAATATTATAATAATATTACACTAGACGTTGTAATCGTTAAGTATAGGCTGTTTTCTGACCAAAGGCGTCAACGATGGTAGTGTTAGAGTATTAGAGACAAGAAAACAATTTCATAACTTCCGTTTTTATGGCCATTAAGTTGTGTTTTCTCGTGATTATACAGTCTTTTTACAGCAAGGCCGTTCGGCCGCACACTACGCCGCCGTACAACAGAACGCAATATACGATACTCTGGTGGATGGTGGCGCCAATGTTTATTTTGTAGATAAGGTAGGTTTTGAATTGTATATTTGATTTTTAGCTATAGGTAGCTTGATTTAAAGATTTTTGTTAGATATGGCCTATACTAAAGATGTTGTAGTAGTTTGGTAGAGGTATTTGTATTGTTTTAGTTGTTTAATCGATTTTGTATTTTTAAAATGGAGCGTAATACTTAAAAATGCTGTAAAAAATATGATATGTCCATTCCTGGCCTAAATTTCGTCTTATGATGCTAAACCTTTATCAAATCCCAACTAAAATCATATCACCGAAAAACCTTTTCCGCAAACAACCTTTCCCTTATCGCATTATCCCCAAGATGTCAACATGCAGATTAAAATTGACGTTGTTTCGTCCCAGATCAGACAATAAGGTATTTAGCGCGGCCGAAAAAACCGTTGAATTAGCGGGCTATAGATAGACCGAAGAGGCTTTTGGCCATTTACAACACCCCCACAGCATGAGAGGGCCGCACACCAGCAGCACTGAAGCTCTACAGGCTGATAACCGAATTATGTTTTAGCGTGGTTTCACCGCCAGCCGCTATCGCACTAATCCCGACATGAATCTCAGGCCAGCCTCGCCGCAACTTAGCCAATTCAACTCGCTAGCTCACAAACATCCATCGCTGGATGACACGATTCAGGACACAGGTGGGTGATGTTTAATGAAAGATATTGTGAAGTTTGAGAGTCTTTGGGACATTGTTTTAGATAGTTTTAGGCATAGTATTGGTTTTTGAATATTATTTTAGGAGAAAGCTAGGTCTTATAAGTCAAGAAATGTGTTTTTGTTTTGAGACCTTGTTTTAGGAAAATTAGGTCAATCCAATATTGTTTTAGGCCTTTAAAGCACCTTTTCTGTATTTCCAAGCCAAATAATGTATTTTCCTATATTGTTGTAAATGAACTGATTCTTTTTTGAAGTTTTTTACTTTATTAAAGTATAAGGAACAAATTTTAATATTATTTTATACCTTTATTTTGATGTAAAACATATTATACCTCGCCAAATGACCTTTTGAGGACCGTTTTTCGTTGCCTAAAAGCTCTATTTTATTAGAAAAATACCTTTTTGATATCTCTTGAGCTTTCTTTTCATGATTAATATCATCCATACAAAATTAAAGTGTATTATACGTGACGCACAATCTTAAAAGCGTAAAAATAAGCTGATTTTGTGACGAAAAATGTCATTTCTTTACACTTTTCTTGCAAAAACACCAATATTTTTAAAATCGCTTTTTGGCCATAAACATCCCAATTATCACCTACTATAATATAATTGTTGTTATGAAATAACAAATTAACATTTCTATTCAAACCTAATAGCACGTTATGTTTGAACAATTATTTTTTAAAACCAGTACTCTGAGTTCTTTATCTTGCTTTTGACTGCGTCAAAGCATTGTTCCATTATTCAGCAACATACGTCAAAAGACAACGATAGTAAGACATAACAAATTAAGTCCCAGGAACATCGTATCAGACGGACAGTAATAATAAAAGCTTAAGCTGTTATTATTGCCGTCTGGTACTAATGAAAAAGTGTAAACACAAGATAATACAAACTTACAATTAGGTATAACAAGTTGATTACTATTGTCACAACAACTGGCGTGTATTAATGTAAATGTGAGAAATATGGGTAGACGTACGATTAATTAGTGTAAAATACGATTTTTTGAGAAATCATGGCAGGTGAGAAGAAACTTTTTATTATGAGGTTGATCCACCACGAAAACGTTCAGAGCGAAATAATGGCGTTTTGTTTAGCGAAAAAAAATTTTAAAGCAGAGGTAACAACTTATTTTATGATAACTTATATTGTAAATTATAAAGTTAAGGTATATTTTTAAAATTCACCAATCTTTTATTCTTATTACCTAAAATATTACACTTGTTATAAAAATGTTGTTCAAAGCCATTATCTTTGATCCTAACTTCTATATTCATGTGTCACCAACGTAATAGTGTGTTGATATAGTACGAACATGTATGAATGATTTATGGATATTGTTGTAGATGCTCCACCAGAAGAGAAAGTGGAGCGATGGCTGGCTGTGGGTGATATCCAGGCCCTGGAACAACTAGTGTTGGACGGGCGAGGACACATGCTCATGGATAAGAAGGCGATTAATCTTTCGAGTACCGAGTTTTTGGATGGGTTGCCTCAGTATCAGGTAATTATCGTACTTGACCTAGTCAATTATATTAACTTATGTTATTTTAGGTAATAAAGATAATGTTTTACTGATTTATATTACTGACTACTACGTTTTAGGCTAAAATAGATGCGATTCACAAAGCGGTAGAAGAAGGCGATGTTCGACGAGTAAAGAGTTTAATCGACCGACCACAGTTATCGACTGCGCGAGATCAGGTTGGAATGACACCGCTTCACAAGGCATTACTGTATGGTCAGACCAATACTGTGCGGTATCTTTTGGCAAAGTATCCGCAATGTGTCAACAGTACTGATCATGTATGTTTTTTACGGGCTAATTAACATATGATACTGTTTTTGGATTTTTTAAACATTTTGCACCGTGCAGGTTTTTATATTTATATTTTGCACAGTGCAGACTAAACTTTGTTTTTTGCACTGTGCAAGTAATCTTAATCTTTTGTTTATAACAATTATGGTGCCAATCTGAGTAAAGCTCTCAAAAATAACTTGTAAAGCAAGAAAATTAGTGTATTTACACATATTTCGATAGTAACACTATGTTATTATGACATGACTATAGCCAAACAGTAATTAACATCTTGGTATTGTTATGCAGGAATAATGAGATGTTACTATCTAACCAAGAGCCATGTCATTGTGTGTTATGTCATGTCTAGAGCTATTCTTACATTCCGCCTAAAAGTATTGTCACTTTGAGTGTTAAGTGCACGGGGGCTATCTTATTGTAGACATTACATTGATATTGTAAACAAATTGATAATAGGTATTACTACTATATAATCATGGTATTTTGTCTATGTTCTTGTGTGTATGACGCATTTATGTCGGTTTGTTGTGGACGAAGATGTAGCGGCAACAACTCTGAGGTATATGATAAGTATTAGTACCATATCACATGTTAAGTAGCACAGTATCAGACTATTGTGAGATTAACTGTAATGTAAACTTATTACCGGAAATTGGCAAGTTGATATTATACCAAGATTAGCAGTGTTTTAGAACCAAGTTGAATATTTCAATGATGTCAATAGGTCTTGTAAAGCTTATATTAACATATACGCCTACATATGTCTATAATGTACGATATAAAGCTATATTTAGGCGTTATGCGTCTTTAAAATGAGATATTTAACCGTAATGTCTTGAAAATGGCCTATATGTCTGTAGTAGCATATATCTGACGACAAAGCTTATTAACATACGAATTTGGTACTATAATGTACAATATTATTCTATTTCAAGACTTAAAATCTTGTAAATACTGTAGAATATGACGTAAAAGTTGTCTTTAAACTGTTTAACTTTTTGTCTTACTGTTTAAAATGATGTCACAGTAAGTAGTGCATTAATATGTTTAAAACTATAGTGAAATTACTATTTAAAGATGGTGACATTACTCAGTAATTGATAGTTGAAACATGTAAAGCATGCGTTTAAGTCTAAATATAGCTTGCAGGCTATTTACATCACTATTTAAATTACTCTTTTGAATTACAAAGTTACTCAGTTGGAGTTAATTTAACATATTTACTGAGTAAGAGTTGAATGTGACTACTCTACCCATTTTACATAATTATAAGGTTATACCTTTGAATTTACAGGCCGGCAGAACGGCGTTACATTACGCAGCAGCCGATCCCAATGGAGAACATATGATTAAAGTGCTTCAGAAGAGTGGTGGAGATGCTTTCATCGAAGATAATGTAGGCATTTTGTGGCTTTGAAATAACCGTAAAGTATATGTGAATTTAATTTTTGAAGTAATGGTAAAACATATGTAAATGTATATATGCAAACGTGTAATGTGTATAGTCAACTTTGAGTTTAATATAGAGATTGTTACAGTTTATGTAGTAGGTTTATATATATTGAGCATGGTTTTTATAGTTTGGACACACTCCTTTCTACTATCGTACTCACGGTAAAGGATTGAACATGCGAACGTTGAAGGATAATGCGGTCATTAACCAGCTCATCTCTGGTCAATTGAATCGACCGCTACTTCAAGGTACTGTATTTTTTGGGTCAAGCATTAGACAAATTTGTCTCAATATTATTAATATATTCACTTTTTGATACTAATAATGCTATATAGCTAATATACGCCCCTTCTGTTGCTAATGATTTTATATCTGGTGTCAGAAGGTTTAAACTTGAAAGCTTTGTTGATAAAGTAAATGAATTTGAAATAAAATGTTGTTTTTTAGACCTAGAGGAAGATATATCAGATTGGATACATACTGGTAATGTGGGAAAGCTGGAAGAACTTGTACTGAACGGGTATGCTGATTTACTGCTGGGTAGAACACACCAAGTCGACGAAACTGAGGCTGTTACCTTCTTGGAGGTTCTACCTCAATATCAGGTAGGTTTCGTTGAATATGACGGTTAATGTACAAGTTTTTCAAGTTTTGCTATCAAGGAGGCTCAAAACTTTCTGAACAACTTTGCACTATGTTTTTTATTGAAACATGACATTTTAAAATGTTAAAATAACTTTAAAATGTGCTTCAGGCCAAAATTGGAGCGATTCACAAAGCGATTGAGCAAGGAAACATCAGGGCTGTGAAGCTATTGACCGATCGCAAGAAGTTGGCATTGTGTAGAGATAGTCGAGGATTGGCACCACTACACAAGGCTATTGTCTTTGGTCGTACTGACATAGCCAAATACCTGATTAGGAACTATCCACAATCAGTTAATGCTATGGATCAGGTAGGTCAAGATTACTATTTTCGTTACTGTAACTTTTAGTTAAGATACCTTAAGGTTTTAAACGTGTTTTGATTTGAATAACAGTGTTGTAGAGTATATTATTGTGACACATTTTTCTGTTTTTTCTGTAAAATACGTCAATTTTAGAACAAGAGAACGCCATTACACTACGCAGCAGCTCTTCGAGATGGTGGATATCTGTACAAGTTAATGCGGAAGGCGGGTGCTGATCCTAATATCTTTGATTGTGTAAGTTATCTCACTTAAGTTTTTTTTAAATACGATGTCCTGCGTTTTTTCATGTTATCTTTACTATAACAATGAGTTTTTTTAGAATGGAAGACCAGCCAAGTACTACTTGAGGTACCCAGGTGAAATCAACCTGGAGAGAATGAAAATGGATACAAAACAAGCACTAAAACAAGTACTACACAATAGAGTGGCACCTAGTTATTTGGAGACCAAGTAATCTACTTTCCTATAAAGTTGAAAATTTTTTTTACGCCAAAATTTTATTTATTTGGCATAAGCAATATATATTGTTACCTAAATTTAAAAGAGCTATTTTATTGTTTAAATATTTTAAGTGTTCCAAACATGAATAAGCCTAACAAAAAGGGTTGTATTTTTAATAATTTTGATAATTACAGTATCCAACAATGGATGAGAGAAGGTAACTTAGCTAAGCTGGATCAACTGGTACTTTCTGGGTGTGGAGATTTGCTCATAGACAAAAAGGCGAACAATTCTGATGCAATGGCTTTTGTTAATGAATTACCTGGTCTACTGGTAAGTTTTTGGCATATTTGCTTACTGTATTTTACTATTTTTAAAATTTTTTGCACGGTGCAGTTATGTAAACGACAAAGTACAACCGTTACAGTATAAAAAATGATACTGTAATTATTTTATTTGGGGTTAAAGCTTTGTTCATTTTGGCTACACTATCTTTGTATTACTGTATTTAAAAAAATATTTTTGTCAAAATCTCAATCTATGACATTTAAAACCCAACCATCTTACCCATAATACCTAAAAACCACCTACTCTTAAATTATCGACCAAGTAGCCGGTCGAGTGTCACTTTGACAAACAACAATACCATCGTATGTCGGGGAAAGTTTTTTCCGGACTAATTGCCAGTTCACTTGGCTATTGTCCTCATACCGTAATTAACCGGTCAAAGAAGTTTTTCGCGCACTTTCGGTCTTTGAAGGCCGCCCAAGAAGTGGCAGGGGTAAATGGGTGCGGGCGGATAAAAGAATATCCATTAGGGTAATTACAACATACGTCGCTGTTAAGTGGTACCGTGTTCGGTTACAAATTGTGATGCATTTTATGGGGATTACTGTAGTACTGTCGTGTACTGTAACTTTAAAATGCAAATTTTAAAAGAAATTAAAATTTTTTTTTGAAATTTATAATTTTTATGACATTATCATCAATATCACCCGTTCAGGACACGATCAGTTCCATCCACAAGGCCATCAAGGAAGGTGACATGGGCACGGTACGGAACCTGATGACCACGAAGCGGCTGGCGTTGGCCCGTGATCGGCACGGCTGCACTCCACTGCACACTGCCATTATATACGAACAGACCGAGATAATCCGCTTCATCGCCGCTCAATTCCAATCGGTTTTGAATGCGCCTGACTACGTAAGTGGTTCACCTTGACGATGACATGGGGGATTGGGCAGTCAAGTTGTGATTAGGATAAGCATTGTATCGGATGTGGAAGCTATCGGATACTGAGGCTGGGAATTCGGGATATTATTGTAGTTGTTGAGCTGTTTAGCCTTGAGAAAATATGATTTTAAGAAGGATTTGGTATAAAAGGATGTTAACATTGATAAAACAGACTGATAAGAAAATCGTGAATACAAAATTAATATAAAAATGAATGTTACAAGTTAAATATGACTCATTTTACAGAACAAACGAACAGCGATGCATTACGCGGCAGCTGCCAGAGATGGTGGCCATTACTTGAAGATCCTCGGCAAAGCCGGCGCTGATCCAATGGCCGTGGATAACGTAAGGGCTGAGCTACAGTATTCTCTATATTTCAATTTTTTTTACAGTATACTTTATTTTATTACAGTATACTTTATATTATGGCAATATTTTTTTGCTTTTTGGTCGAATGTCTATTTAAAATGGCAAAAAAATGGTCGAAAAATGATAAAACTTTGTTGTTTAGGAAGGCAGAACACCAGATTACTATCGTCGCAACGCGGTATTCGATTTGAAATTGTTAAAAGAACGGGAAGACGACTTTGACATACTTCAAGAACATCTGATTGACGAGGTAAATCCGGTCGATTCACCACCATCACCTGAAACCATGTCTTTGGGAAGGTAAGAAAAATCGTTTTAACTGTATTTTTTGATTTTTTAATTAGTTTATAGAGAAATGAATTAAAATGAACAAGCGGAAATTAATTTTACTTAATTTAGGCCAAAAAGTTGGACTTTAGCTAACCACTATTTATTGAAAACCAGGGTTTTCGCGATGGGACCAAATTCCAATAGTGTAAATGCAAAGGATTTATTACACCCTTAGGATCACACATGCTAATTTTAAAATCAAAAACTTTTTAAACCACCTTTCTCATATTTACCTTGTAATTCACCTTTGTTGTTACAGCTCGGCGATGGATTCCGGTCGTCGTGACGTTGCTCAATTAGCCGAAACCGAACCAGAACTGGAAGTGGAAGACCTGGTCGATCCCATGGATGATCTGGAGAATATTGACAGAAGAAAGTTTGAGAAGCTGGTGGAGGACAAGATGGACATACCTACAAGTGATAACGGCCTCTACTTGGCTCGTACTGTAGCGCCGATACTAACCAAGGCTCTGGCAGAAGTGTTGTTGAGAAGACCAGCGGATCCGATTGACTTTATATCGGACTGGTTACTACGGTATAACTCGGGGAAAGTAAACGGACATGATTATTAGACACGTCTGTTGTATTAACATGTAGTCTTGTATATGGATATATAATATTGTTTGTTATTGATGGTATATGAAGAGTTGTAGTAGTTGTTTTACTACAATGTTAATATAAACCTATATTAACTACAAAGTTAGTAAACAATAAACTGCTAGTTACATTCATGTATGGATTGATCTTTTGATATGTTCTTATACGTATAGGTATCTTATTGCAATATTATTGTACATTTACTTTACTTTTTGGAAGCTTGTACCGTCTGCTTGTCTATAACATGCGTAATATGTTATATATATAATACACATATGTAAATCATAACTAACTAAACTGCAATGACATGTTTATTATACAAACTTAGGCGCAAATAAAGTTGTGTAAGCGAAAGCACGGGTATATTACTGTAATGATACACACACTGTAATGACATCTTTTGTTAAATACTGCAATCGTATATTACATTAGATCCTTTTTTCATATATGTGTATACTAGTTGTAGGTGACTGTTGTAAATACGATTTTGGTTGTTTTGTATATAACATAAGGTGGTCGAAACTTCTAAAATACGATGACTTTACTGTCTACCGCTCTGACTTGTATTTGGAATGGTTGAGTTTTAACAGTACGGCACTTAGGGGGTGGTTGGCTTGTAAATGGGTGGTATAATCGTCGTATGATGGGGCGGTGAAGCCACAATCTTCACATACGAACACCTGAAATGATTACTGTAATATATGGGGTATTATTGTAACTTACATGATACCATTTTTGTAAAGGTAATATATGATCTTACTGTATAGTATTACGATGTTTATCAATTTTACTTTAAAATATCAATTTAAACTCTGTAAATTAAAACTGCCCTCTCCACTCTCCCCCCCCCCTCTCTCCTTCATACGCTACCGTAACCCATATAGAATAACATGACATAACCGCCACTTACTTTACTCCGTCGCTCTTTGTAACCGTAGTTGTGGGTTTTACCGTGAACTTTGCGCGTGTGCGATTCGAGTGAACATCGCTGAGTAAACGATTTCTCACACATCTCACATTTGTAGGGGCGAACACCTAAAGGTATAGGCATCAAGTGTTTTGAAAAATTAAAAAAAAATTTTAAATTTTTATATCTTGTACTTTTGTGTATATTATATAAAAAAAAAGAAATATATTGCCAAAAATGGCACTTAAAATATGCAAATTTGGATAAAAAACCAAAAGAGAACGTTTAAATTTTAAAGTTTGAAAAATTGTACGAAAAGTTACAGTATGAATCTTCTAGGCTTACCAGTATGAGTTCGTGTATGTCGTTTCAAATCAAAGGTGTCATTGAAGCCTTTACCACAAAAGGTGCATAGATATCGTTTTAGATCGGAATGACACTTCGAATGACGATTCAGAAGTCGTTGGAGGTGAAATTCCTGAAAGTGTCAATATAAGGTATACAAAAAGCTTTAAAAAATGAAAAAGTGTGATTATTGGGGCACGAACAACATAGAAAGTTAATTTTTAAATTATTTTAAAAAAATAATTAAGTGATAAGCTTACTGTAAGAGATAGACTTACTTTCCCACAAATGCGACATCTGAATATGCCGGGTGTTGTCGTTGGTGCAGGTGTTGTGTCAACGGGTGGAGAGGAAGTTCCGACGGCTTGAAGTAACGGATTCTTTACTCCGTAACCACCGTTCACGTATTCTACAGAAGGGACGGAAGGCTGGGGCAGCGGGCGAAGCACCGGGAGAATCTACAATAATATAACTTTTAAAAATTAAAAAAATTTTAAAAAGGACCATATACCGTATTTTACATTTAGTTCAACAAAACGATAGTTACTGTAAAACAACTTTTTTAAAAATTTTTAACTTACTGTAGCAATTGAAGCCGGAGCCGGTGATATGACACTAGGTGAAGGAGTACTCTCCGGGGTTGACCGTTGACTATGTTGGCTGACAGTCTGACTAAGTTGTAGTAGTTTCTCGATTAAAAACATTTGAGCTTTGTTCTCTTTTGTCATATCATCACTTTTGGTTGGGGAATTCAGAGACTCTGACTTTATTTTAGGTGTACTAGAAGCAGTAGAGCCATTGGAACCAGTCGATATTGATGATAAGGAAGCTGATGGGGGTGGTATTAGTGGGGGTATGAATACTGGAGGGAGAGGTGGGTAGATGGAGAGGAAGGGGTTGAAACAGTTGAAGGGCTGGTTCATGGCTAAAATAATATAATTTTTAAATTTAAAAGAGAAGGCCTTGGCACGTATTTTACATAAAAAATTGTAACTTAGGATATTATACATACTACCTAAAACATATTCTTATGCCCCAAAACGTCCTAGAGAAACCCTCTAAACCAATAAATATCATCGCCCGACCCTATAAATAATATGGCACGGTTGAAATCGAAATGAAATTTTAGTTTTGCGATGAATCAAGCGGAAATGAACAATGTTTAAGGCTACCGTAACGGAGAGATGGAGAGCAACCGACCGGTCCTGACCGCCCAATTCACAAGGGCAAACACGGCGGTTGCGCAACTCAGGTAAAGAAGTGGCTACAGATGGCTACAGGCGAGGGGGAAAAGAGGTGGGTGAGAGAGAAAGGCTTCAGATGGCTACAGAAGAGGAAGAATGGCTCAAGATGGGTACGGAGAAGAGAGAGAGAAGGGTATGGGTAAGAGAATAGGGCTACATGAAGCTACACAGAACAGGGAAATCAGTTAAGGAAGAGACGAAGGCTAATAGAGAAAGGGCTATAGATGGCTACAGATAGAATAGAAGAGTTACAAACGGTTAAAACTAAGTAAGACAGCTACATACAGCTACAGAAACGATCGAAAGTAAACATAAGAGAGAAGATACGAAGAAGACAACTGCAAAAAGTAAAAGGCTACAAGAAGTAACAGAGAATGAAGTAATGGCTACAGAAATAAGTAACTCAACAAAGTAAAGGTGAGAGAAGAAAACGGCTACAGAAGAAGAACTACTTGAGATTACAAAAACCGTAATAAAACCCGATCATGTCATCAAAGGGGGGGGAGAGAGGATTTGCAAAGGATATCCGAGAGGATCCTGACGATGGGTAAAAGGCGTTAATGGGGTGGATTCGTGATATTACGCATGCATACTGTTATAACTGTGTTGCAAAAAGGGATGAAGGCATAGTACTAACTTTTTTGAAAACGAAAACATCAAAAATGGCAATATATTATGGTATAAAAGTACAAAACATTATAAATTCTTAGAAAGCGTATATTTTACAGTACGTAACTCAATATGATTGTTACAAATAGCCAGGAAGAAACAAAAAAATAGTACTTGTACTATTTAATGATACTAATAGGTACAGATACAGATTACTTGAAACCATCAGTACCATCAGTAAAGCGACAATTCCAAAAATCACTCTACAACTTAAAACTTAACTGTCCCTACCCCTTAACAACCATACAGTAACTCTTCCCAGTTACATGTCCCTTAGTATTGGGAGTAGAATCACCGCCCTTCCCGTTTTGCCTGTAACCTTTAGCGCCCAATGAAACGGCCCACCGCTGATCGAACCAATAACCAGCCCCTTTCTGGCAGTTACAATAGCTGTCGCGAGATGGGGGCGGGGTGCGATGGCGCCATATTTAGCAATAAAAATGTAGGAAAAGTTGGTTAATTACCGAGTACGTACATGGATTTGGGAGTATAGTAATTTGAGTAGATATGTAGTAAGCATGATGGGGGTAAATGTTGCTTATTATGACAAAAAGTAACGTTACAGAGTAGTATCAGGATATGTTAGGAAGACTTATGAGAAAATTGGGTATGAAGGCAAGTTTTATGATTGATTAGAGAAAGGGAGGGTTAAATCAATTATTGAAGGGGTGCTTTCACCGCTAAAAGTAAGCTTGATCACTTTACCTTTGCCTCTTAATACTTTACTCTCCCCCCCCCCTTCACCTATAAAAATTGATACAAAATCGCAGTCCATATAACCTCAAAGATACTATACCTCAATATAAGTTTACTTTACAAAGTTTTACGGCGCCAAGATGACATTAATAACACGCGATTCTCCCACAAACCCCCCGAGGCTAATTAACCTTTGCTCATACGAATCCAGAACATAATATACCAACAGGTTCATCCTCCACACTTTGACATTGCTAAAGATGCACGTATTAGGCTTACTCTATATGTTTGAGCATATACATATATGTTACTTTTATATCAATACCGAATATATAATATGATTTAGCATTGGTGGCTATACCTATATGGTAGCGCTTTTGTATGTAAAACCTTAAAAATCAAAAGTACTGTCACTAAAAATCAGCTTTGTAAGATACGAAGTGACTCTACTGCCAGCAATGTAGATACCAACCCAACGTATATCATTTTAATTTACATTGCCTTACATAACACATACCAACGATACTATAATATCATTGCAAAAGCTCAACTGTACATAATTACATGCTAAAAGAACATAAATTTTACAGTAGAATCACTGTAAACATGTACATGTACGCTTACAATAGTATGGTTTGTGCTGAAACTATAGTAAGTTCTCGGTATCATTCAGCAAACCTATAATTATCATTGCACATACGTTAATCGAACCCATGTTAAAATGTATAACGGCCAAGTAATTAGGTAGGGGTGGTTGGAAATGACGTTGGTTACAGTATGATAAAAGGTAATGTTTGGCAGGTTATTTGTTAAAAATGTTGCAATACTTCCATACATCTTGTTATGGTAGGCATGTAGCTATTTATATATTTATGTCGAAGTTATTAGGTTGAAAGTGGCCTACGCCTTTTTTAAAATTTAACTAGCAAACCAGTATGCTTGCTTGAGGGTGTATATTATTAAAAAAGCTATAGTAAAGGTGGTATATAAGACAATACGCCATAACAAAGCCTTTTGCTATACCTAAATACGGCCAAATTTAATATATGAACAATATGACTATAGTAAGATGACTACATATGTAAGATAGCTATGTTAACCATGAACTACAGCTGCACTAAGAACTACAATCTCATCTCCTGCCCAAACGATAACCATCACAGCTACCTTACAAGAAACCCGCGCAGTAATTTCACTTTTACCGCTGCGTCGATTACCGTGTACCCAAAAACAAAAAGGATAATTAAATGCTCGGCTTCAGAAGGCTTATATACCGTCAGATGGATGACATAAAAGCTTCCGGATCAAAATCATTGCGCAACCAAAAGCGGATAAGGCGACAACAAAGAGTACGGTAAAGCGGCTTAAACCTCCCCCCTTCTTGGAAACCTGAAAACAGTCATCGTACAGTTGGAACGGCCTTACCGTGAATACGGTCAACGTGAGCAGTCAGACGCCCTTCAAAAGCGAAATTTCGAGTTGGAAAAGGTTTTACTGAAGAGTAAGAAACTGCTCTTGTATAATGTTCTTGACGGTTACGGAGTAAACATTATAATTGGGTGGTGTAAAAAGTAAAAAAAGTTTGAAATATTCGAAATTTTAAATTTAAAAAAATGTTCTTTACAAAACAAAACCTCTTTCTTTACAAATCCGAAAAATAGCAAAAACTTTCTTTACAAAAAAAATTTAAAAAATTTTAAATTTATGATAATTTGCTGATATCAAGCCAGTAAAAGGCATAAAAAATAAAAAAATTTTTTTGAAATTTGAATTTTTTTCATCTTAATTTTCTACCCCTCCCTCTCTTTTTGAATTCCAAAAAACTACCCTGTCCATCACTATACTTAAACTGACTGCATTTTAATAAAACAATGTGTAATGCTCTTTCTAGACCAAAATCACCCCTTCCCCCACTTTAAGATCTTCCTACTAAAACTTTTGGTATCAAACTATAATACTTGTCAGCCACCAATTTCCCCTGCTAACCTTAAAAACTTGAAACAAATCAGCCCCAGTGACCTGATTCGGGGACAAAAGCCTGAAACAATGGCTAGCCGTTCTTTCAGCCGTTTACCGAAATATTCAAATTTTATGGAAAGCGGGCGAAAGCTTTGTTTGGTCCGAGATTTGTGAGCCATAGCCGAGAAGGGGGGAGACGGTAGCTGCTCTTAAATACAAATAAAATCCGAAATGGGATTCTGGAGAATCAGAAGCGTTCTGCGCCGTTCCGTTCCGCGCAGCTGGTCTGGGACCGGCATTAATCTGGACTAAACGGCTTAACGATGGGCTCATGACATTTGAAAAGGTCAAAAGGAAGAGGGGGGGAGATCTACATGGGAATTTATGGCTAACGGATGCGACGGCGGGTGATTTGCATATTACACGTTGAGGGGGGGGATGTGTAAAAATAATTTTTGAGAAATTTTAAGCTTTAAAAAAGACAAATCTTGTCTTTGAAGCCATTTTTCGCATGTAACCTAAACTGTAAATAACTAGTTTACTGAGTAAATCTCACAACAATAGCCTTATCATCAAGTTTATTACAGTTTTTGTCAAAATACTGTATGTAGCCAGGAGTAAAACCCAAGTTTCATCCACTTCCTTCAATATTATTGTACCTTCCTCTCGTGCCTTCAATTAGAAACCCATTCCTTGAGCACACATTGTCTTCCTTCCGCTTCAGATGCCATAAATCTATGAGGTTACCTTGGCTGTGCAAACTTTGTGCCGCGTTACTTTCACCTCCAATTAGAGGTGGATATTGTCGTCTTCAAGGTCACGATCTTCCGTCCCTTTAATCCCTCGTTTTCCCGCAATTCGCTAGCCGAAAGACCGAGCCAGTCGAAGAGACGGCGCGACGAGAGAGTGCGTGGGATAGAGAGACGGTCAGAGGCAACTTTCAATTGTTATGGTACTCGAAAATCAACAGTACGAAGGCCTTGAACAACTTTCAACAACCTTGCGCATAACAATAAAAGTAATGTACAGGATAATATACAATGTGATTGCGTATTGTACGGAAATGACGGTAATTGGTGAGCTACGTAGTATAATTGTAGATACGTACATGGCAAGGCTGATATTTGGGAGATCATAATACTCGTTTAGCATCATTCTTAACCTATATAACCAGCAATTTTATATCGAAATTTATGTTTAATTTTAAAACTTGAAAATACAGTAAGCTACTAGTATGGTAAATCAAAAACTAGTCCTAAAAATCAAATACAAAGTATACTGTAACTTTTTCTAAAAAACCTAAAAGTTCAAGTAAAAATACAGTAAACTACACCATTCCTCAAGCCCTGGACCGACCTTGAACAAGTTTTCTTTATTTACTTTAACAATACAAGGTAACTGAACCGGCAAATAATTATGCAAGTTAAGGCTAGCGACTACATAACAATACCATCTCAAGTTTATTGCAATTTATTATTGGGAAACAGAGCTTAATTGAGGAGCGCGCGACGCAGCCGATCCATGGGCAAGTCGAAAGTTACAATAATATCGTCCGGGTTCATCTCCGGGCCCGGCACTTTGAATCGGCGCCAAATCTGAAATACGAAGCATTTTAAATGGCCAAACACTCAGATCCAACTTGTTCCCCATGCCTATTCGAAGCCAAATTATCTGCTCAGCACTACCTATAGGTATATTCTACCACAATGTATAGGTTGTTCACATAATTCTGCGCCCCCTAACACACTTTACAAAAAATGATGTTACTGTAATTTTAAATTACTGAGACTGAAATAAAGCACACATGATGAAGCGTACATCTTCAAGTTTTGCAAACGAAAGTAAAACCTTAAACGAACCTGATTATTATAATGTAATCGCTTCAACATTTCCTTCCGTTCTTTGTTCAGGATCTTTAGTGACACATTGTCCAAGCTTATACAGTTCACAACTGAAACAAACAGCTTTACTATGTCAGTTTACAATATTTTTTTGCTAGGTAAGCTATTTTTGTATATTTTTTAAAAAGTCAGCATAGAATGTTGTATTAGTCTTACAAAAGCCTTGTCGTCAATTAATATGCTTTTGAACATTCAAAAGCGACAAGACTTTTGTGGCACCTTATTGTATATTCATTTTTGTATTGTACATATAAATTTTAGTACAAACATCAAGAGACATAACCTATGAGCCAAAGGCTGCAAAGGCTGCAACAACATCACGTGAAGAATATGATAAAGGAAGTTATGTCAATGCAAGTTAATAAGTCAAAAAGTAAGCAAAGTTATGTCGAAATATGCCCGTTAGTTCAGTAATATACATCATAGTATGTTTTAGAGCAAAAGTAAACTTGTGTAAGTACTTGAGAAAGGTAAACCACCTTTTTTACCTTCGCTTTTTATGACATCGTGGTAGATCAGACTGGGAGTTTAGCTCAACTATGAAACTACATTCGGACTAAAGACCAATAGTGTAGTATTAAAAATAGTATATTTTAAATAAAATTATAAAAAAATTTAAATTTTATTTTCTAGAAAGCCTTTTTTGGCGTCAAATAGTATAACTCTTCTAAAAAATAAATAGTTTATGCTTGTTTTGTTAGAAAAAGATGCAAAACTTAAGTTTACTAAAACAATTTGGCTTTACTGGCCTATGTACCTAGAAGAAAGCGGTAATACAGAAAAAAGTTACTATACCCCATGCTCGATGATTTTTGCAAAAAACATTTCATAATCAAAAACATTTTTTTGCCCCCCCCCCCAACTAAAATCACTTATTTGAAAAGTTAATTAAATTTTTTAAGTTAAAAACATCATTTTCATGTGTTTTTTGTTACTTATTTACCTTTTCAACTCACTATTATGCAAGAGCATGTTGTACTATAAAAACGTGAGATATTTTTGAAAAATAGAGACTAAATTCCATAAAAATTATTAAAATTTACAGAAGAACTAACCATTTCAATTTCGAAAAATATTAAATTATTCACAATTGTACTCAATTTGAGTATAACAACATGACACAACAAAAACAAAAAAACCATTTAGGCATTGCTTTTTGAATAGTTTTAACATTTTTATAAAGGATAATATCCATACCTTCTAGTAACATAAAGTACTCCTAACTATCAAGCAAAAAAAGACCATACATAACCATAATATCAATAATATATAACCAGCCAATACCTACAATACAAAAGCCTACTTACCTTGTAGTACAACAAAACACACCGTAATAACAACAAAGATACGATGAAGGGTCCACATTGCTCTGTGTCCAATTGAAATGGCCAAACTTTTTTCGGCCGCCAAAAGGCGAGCATCGTGCTGCTGAGGGCCGTACTCAACTCAGGTGGGTGGGTACGATTCCCAGGGCCCGCTGGGGGTGGATCTAATTCGGTTTTAATTTAATTGGTGATGTTCTATTAATACCTATTAATATGTTCCTTATGGTTTGACGTTGTTGTTCCTATAAATAGTTTGTTTGTTATAGTAATGTTATTGTTTACTTCAGTATCTTTTTGTAATTTGCAGTAAAATTGCAGCATAAATAACGTGGGAAGGCGTTGAAGCCGTCTGAACTTAAAGGAGCTTGAGAAGATAAAGTTACATTAGGTAACAGCGGCGTTTACTGTACGTTTTACTCAAAAAAACTTTCGAAAATGCACGTTTTAAGTCCAAATCCATTCAAAATTAAACCTAAGATACTTTCTTTTATACTCTATTCTATAAAAACATCATTCAAACCAAAAACCACTGCCAGACAGTAACTTTCAAGCCCTTCACATTCCTAAATACCCATAACAACTTCTCAAATGTAGCACTTTGTTTACTAGCGACGTCACAAAAGTGCGTCACATATTTGTCTTCAAACCAATACTTTTTCAAAATGTACACAAGAGTTTCTTCATCAAATGAACATCCATAAATAAGGTTACACATCACATCATAAGGTAATGTCACAGATTACAATAAAAGTTAGAGTAAATTGACAAATTACAATGTTTTGCAAGGCTAAGGTAAGTCAAAACAAAATTAATACAAAATTTTCGATTATTAAAATTGTGGCTACTTACCAGTCGAATACAATAAAATGATTGGTCTAGTGACCGACCATAACTTAGACCACTATAAGTAAAGTTACGATAAATTTTCGATGAAATAAGTTAAAAATTTGAAAAATTGAAAAAAGAAAAGAAAAATCTCAGAGATCTGAGAATCGATGTAAAAGTAAGTAATTAACGAGTTAAAATACGATCATGACTAGGCATGATCAGCTGCTATTGCACCGTAACTTGACGCTGTTCCACCCGGATTCCACAAAGGTTTTACTGATATTGGTCCTAATTGAGCTTTCAGATATCGTAGCTAAAAGTATTATGCTTCAATAGCGTTAACATTAATATAAAACATTATAACTCAATTACCAATTACCCTAATATTATCATAGAATATCAAAATTTAATTTTATAAGACTCTTTTGCTATTAAACGCTTCAAAATTCAATGCTGAATATTAAAAAAATCTTAAAAGAAGTTGCTCAAAGTTTAAAAATTCAAAAAACTTACATTAAAGAAAGAAGGTACAGTAACCCCCATAACCTGTAAACAAATGAAGAATAAGTAAACCACAAAAGACACGTATATTAATACAGGAGCAGCCATTAGTAAATATGTAAGCCATCCTTCTCCAAAGAATCCATTTATCGTATCGACCGAGAAGAACAAGTTGATTGCTATTACTATTATCGACACGGCCAGCGCTGCTATTTGTGTTAATCTAAAACAACATAGTCATTGTTGATCAAAAAAAAGCTTTTACAGTACACCAATACTTTATAAAGCCTTCCTTATAGTGCCTTTAACTACACTGAAATTAATTTTTAAACCAGATTTAGGTCCCAGCACGAAAACATTTTTTACAATTTTTAGCCAAAAAATGCTCAAATTGCTTTTTCTGCCAACTCATAAGACAAACAGGTCCAGAAACCTAAACCAAAAACCGTACAAACTAAAAAACACTCACTTTGAAGTCTTGAACTCAAACATGACATTACTGTTGGCAGTAAACGTGATTATAGGTAACAAAGCAAACGGCAACTGAATCATCTGAATACAGTTCAGAAGATCGTTCATTCCGGTCAAACTTCTCACGCCATCAGCAAACAACGTGACTACTAATGTTGGTACGATGGCTATCAATCGAGTCACCATAACTCGTCTCCATCGTGGCCAATTCATGTGTAAGAAGCCTTCCATCACAAACTGACCAGCATAAGTGCCAGTCATAGTTGACGACTGGCCTGAGGCTAAAATACCCAATCCCCACACGATTAAGGCTAGTTTGCCGAAGGTGCATTCGAGGAAGATGCCACCTTTGTAGAGATCGGCTTCTACAGTCTTGTTGTTCATGGGAAAGAGGTCTGGGTCAAGAACATCACGACTGTTGCAGGATTCACGCTGAACAACGTTGATTAAAAATAAAATTTAAAAGTCAGTGATATTAATCTACTGTATTATAACATTTTGTACTAAATGACATCAAATCTTACCACTTCCATGTTGGTTTTGTTGAAAAGTCCATGAGCAAACACTCCAACTACAAACATGTTGATGATGAAGCTGCAGAACAAGGCGATCCCACTCTCAATCGAATAATAGTAGCTAGCTTCTTCAACCGACTTCTTCTTGGTCCTGTCGATTCTTCTACTTTTTACCAAGGCAGAATGTAGATATAAGTTATGTGGCATGATAACTGCTCCAACTACACTGATTCCTTGTAAGAATTCTTTTTGGCCACAGCCTGAACACCAAGGGATGAACATGCCTTTGGCTAACTCTACTGCATCTGGTTGGACTGTGAAGAACTGGAACAACGTTTAAAAGTTAATTTTTTGACCAAAACAGCATTGATCATCAAGTATAATATAAATTTTAACAAAAAACCTCAAAAACTTAACAAAACCATTAAAAATTCTTAAAAATCTCACCTCAAACCCAAAAGTAATAGCCATAACTGATATCAAGAAGGCAAAGAATCCCTCCAGCTTTCTGAATCCAAAGTGGTCGATAAACAGGAACGTGATCGTATCGACCATTGTTATCAAAACTCCGAACAACAGTTTTATTTTACCGTATGATAGCATGTAGATAGCCACTGCTGTGCCAATAACTTCTTGCATATCACTTCCGATGATCGCGATTTCAATCATAATCCACAGAAATAGCCTCGGGCCTTTTGGGTAGACTTCTCGACTGATCTCGGCCATGTGACGGCCTGATACGACACCCAATTGAGCTGAGAGTAATTGAAGAGCAAAGCCAAGAATATGGGCGAATAAGAGTACCCATAATAGCTGAAAATATGATGTTATTGACGTCTAAATTACTGCATTTTTATGAAAAACAAAATTCATGCTTACCTTCAATTTAATTTAACTTTAAAAGAATAATAGTGCAACAAAAAATAGATCAGTACCTATAAAACAACATTGTGGGATAAGTTACCTGATAACGAGCAGTAGCACCTGATTGTAGATCACTCTCAATGTTTCCCGGGTCCAAATAGGCAATACTCATCAAGAAGCCAGGCCCAGTGAACGCCCACAGTTTTGTGAAACTGAATCCAGACTAAAATATGATACATTTGAAAAGTAAATCATTAACCTTACAAACAATATTTTTTTTGCAAATTACACCATTTCTATGACTTTTTAAAATTTAAAAAAAATCCAATCAAGAGACCAAACTTGACACTCACTTCCTCTACATCATCTGGAATATCAACCATGTACTCGATAGTGTCATCTTCGACTTCTGGCTTCTTTTCCTCGTCATTGTCCCTTCGTATCACATCTGGACGCATCTGATCTGAAATCTCATTATTGTAAAAGTCTAAGATTTTATATCAAATAGTTTGAAAATTCATTAAAATAAAGTCCAAATGCTCTTGGAAGCAAATATTGTCAATTAGAATATCATTTGACGTTGCTTTGTAGATAATTAACATAATCACATGAATAAAGCATCTTATTTAAATTAACCAATCTACTATAACATATTAAATTATAAATCTTGTCGCAAAAAAAGCAAATTTAGATAAAAAAACAACAACTAAAAAAGCCATCATTCTCACAACAGTTAGCTTTCATATTAAGTGTCAAAACCAGTAATTTAACCTTGAAAAAGTAATCTTAGACTCTAAAGTTCATTAAAGCAAAGTGATTTTAACTCCGCTAAAACAAATAAGCCCTCATAATTCACAATTCCCGCTCAAACCAACGACCTGACTGGCCTTTATCAACTAAATTTCGTGAAATGTCACGATTTCCAACAGTCAAACTTTGTGTTTTCCGACCTTGTTGTACATAATGTTATGCTAATCAAATCGATTGAGAAATGAAAATGTTAAATTTTGAAAAAAATACAATTTTGAATGAAGGGGTGATCAAACGTATAATATTTTACAATAACAACTTGAGAAAAATATTTTCTGAAAAAACCCCTCCACATTAAAGCCCGCTATCCTGCCCAGCGCCCAATCCTGCCATAGCTAAAAGCGCTTAAAACTTTACAACAAATACAAAAGTAAATCATAACCTCGTTACCGTCCTCTTTATATACTCTACCAAAAGTTATGAGTCATTTTCAAACAAAAATATGCAATTGACTACCTGAACATTAATCCTTTAAACTCTCAAACGTTGTTTATTTAGCCCTATGTTATTCATAAGTCTCTTTAAATGTAAATATGTATCTCTTTAAAGCCCTTACTCATCCGTTATTTAACTGTACAACAACAAAAACAACATGTTCCCCTTATAAACCAATATTAACATGCCATATGACCTTTAAACCAACTTTAACACTAGCTCGACTCCTTTTAGGAAAATTAAATCCGAATAAAATACTTATATTTTGTAAATTTACGATAGTATACTGTTAAATCCAATAACTAACTGTTCAATCAAAAACACAAACAAACATAAAGTAACACAACATCATATTACGCTGAACAACGTTTGATTCTACTCATATAACGCCTCTAATCCGTGGAATTGAACCGCCGGCTGATACGACGTCACCCGCGTAAAACTGGGAGATAAAATCCTCACGTTCCACTCACCTTCGTCACCTCCACGGCTCGGACCAGCGAGCGAGTCTTCTGGGTCATTTACATTATTGTCAATCAACTGTTCTCTGTCGTGATCCATTGTTTGTACAGGTTTACAATAAAGAAATTTAGAACAATATAAACATGCAAAATACAGTTGAAGCTAGTGTGAGTATTTACAAAGCAGTTTACGACAGTAGAAAGCTGTACAAGGCTGTCTAAACTGTCTAAAACAATATAAACAAGTAGAAGATAACGTTCAAAACAATATGAAAATAGAGAAGATAACGTTAGTCATAGAACTTGGTTGTTCTTTTTTCTTTATAGCTAAAAATACATATGATTTTATCAATAAACAAAATTTTGTTGATTCGCAAAAATTAATTTTCGAAAAATAACGGAACGCCAAACAAACGTTCGCGTTCGTCGTTTTCGTGTTGGGACGCTAGTAAAACCGTGCGTATTACACTTTTTTGACCAAAATAATAAAAATTTTTAACAGTATGTTAACTGTTTTTTACTATCCTTGTTTAGTAATCACATTATTTTGTAGTCACTTTATTTTAATCAACAACAACTTCAAATTATAATCTGGATCGGATCAGATCTGGTTGTGGAGACAACAACTTTTCGACTTCAACTTGAAAATTACCAAACTCTTCAGGGTTCTGTAAGTAGTATTTAGAGTATATTATCGAGCTACATTAGCTTTTAAAATTATAAGTTTTACCTTTGTTTTGAGGTGTAGAACATTACGAATAACAGCCGATGAAAGATGTAGATAATCAGAACAGCGGCTGCAGAATGGAACCAGCTGTTTGCGGCACTCCTGGACCGTTAAATTGCCAGTCTTTCTGACACGGCACATTATGTTATTGTAAGCCGTAATGTATGGCTGAAATTTTTTTGTTTTGTTGCCCTTTTTATGTTATACGTAGTTAAAATTTTATTAGTTTTTCTTGTTGACATTGTTATATATTAATAGAAGGTGTAAATTATAACGTTTAGATTAAACTTACCTCAACTGGGCTGGTAATCATGGAGGCAACTTCATCTTTAACAATCCTGATGCTATCTCCATCCAAAGACAAGATACCAGACTGGTACAACTTATCCATGGCGTCTTTGAAAGCGACATTGTCAAGACCCACAGACATTACGAATTCTTTGTTAAATATGTATTTGGTCTTCCTGTAAGTTTATATTACATTTGGTTTGAAAGAATTCAGATGAAGTAGACCTTTAAAACAGAATTTAAGCCGTTTAACTTACTTGAATCGATAAAACAACTCTTCAGACTTTATTTTATTGTTGGAATTGCAGATCAGCAAGATCAAGGCGATGTTGAACAAGGAAAAGGCTGCCGCATTAGATGAGTTGAGCAATACTATAGCTGGGATTGCTTTTTGTAGCACATCAACGGAGAGTTCTTTAGATTTTTCAGCTGGGACTTCTTTGAGACGTATTTTACCGTTCTCGTTGTCTATAACATCAGCGTAGATCTTGAGGTAGTAGCTAAAAAACGCAAAGCTTTTAGTTTAAATTTATAATTCTGTATTAAGTCACGACATTTTATAATGTTATGTTGTTAGGTAATTTATTTTGTGCTTACTTTATCTCTTCAGTAAGGTTTAATTGTTGTTTTACAGTGATTCCAAAGGCTTTGCATAATGCAACAAGCTTTTCAACTTTTTCGAACAAATCTCCCAAATTTGCATATCCTTTCTTGTCGATTTCCAATCGAATTACTGGAGTCATGAAGCTCCAAACAGTAAGGACATTGTTCTTGTTGTGCTCGTTAACAACATAGTCAGCTAGTTGTTGTACACTGTTCTTCATGGGGTTTGTAAACTTGAATTCACTTGAGGGCTAGAGAGAAATAAAATTACGTGAGTTGGTTTTGAATGAATGAGAAGCTTTAAAATGACATTTTTATTTAATAAAAGCTCACCCCGAATGATAACTCAGCTCGGTTGATTGCCATAGTTTGTCGCAATGATATAGGCGTGCCAAACGTGACAAAGACGTTGCCAAAGTTTTGATGGAGAATATTTCTGACTTTCAACACTCCAGATACGTTTTCTTTTGGCTTTGGTGATCCTAACAGTTCTCTACTGTATAAAACTGTCTCTAGCAATCGGTCGTAGTTCATTGTCACTGGTACTAGCACAGTATCGTAGACCTGATTTCTAATGAATGGTTCTGCCACGACTTTTAGAAGACCTGTTTTTGGATTTAAAGTTTTTGAAACTCGGCTTCGTTGTCCTTCTGGGAAGAATTCGACCGGCCTTTCGTTGTTTATAATATGGGCTTGAACGTACTCGGAGAAGACGGCCCAGTATAAGTTGTCCTGAAATGTTAGATATAGGATTATACTTGTTAAAAAATGTTGGAAAAAATCTTGTCGATTGGTCAAGTAGTGAAGTAAAATTACAATCTTTATTTTACTGACTAATTCAATATCTTTCTTAACTTACATTACCAAATTCACGTCGAATAAAGAAAGCACCGGCTTTACGAAGCGATTCACCGACCAGTCGGGAGGATTGAAAGTCAGATCCAGCACAAATGGCAGGTAATGTAATGTTGGCTTCGAAACAGATCAACGATATCAACAAGAAGTCGACGTAGGTACGATGAGTGGGAACAAAGACTACAGAATCTTGATTGCAAATTGTCTTCAGTTGTTTTAGGGCTTCCATATTGACGAATATTTTGTCAAACAAAATCTGAAGGGATGGTTTATTAATTATGTTGTGTCAGTAGAAAAAGAGAAGAGTTTTTACAGAGTAAATACGTTGGTTTATGTTTTCTGTACTCATAAAGCACTCTTTTCATTTTAAGGTACGGTTTTTCTGTTACCTTTATAACTTTTAACACTGGATATCCAATAGCTCTTGTAGCAGTCAAATTGAAGTCATGCGCCATGTTATCCAGAATCTCTTTAGCTTCAGCAGAGACATTATCGTATGTTCTGCCAGTTTCTTTTACTGTTTCATTGATTGCATTCTTAAAATGTATAATATGTTAAAGTAAATAATTAGACAATATTATCTTGAGATGGCTTAAATTTATGCTGTCTTGAAGCCTTTAATTTTTAAACCATCTTGTCATACTTACCTTGACTTTATCAGAGCTTAACACATAGTTCAGCAAGTTATACCGACTTCTCTGATGACTTTTGGCATCAAAGGCTTTTGTCCGAGTAATCCATGCCAATTCGCCTCCATCGCTGGCAACTTTTCCAAGCCAGTCTACGTATTCGACCATCTTGTTCACAAATATCACCTCATTTCCTTTGCAGGCGTTGATAAGGGTTGCGAGAAGGACGTTTTTGTGTTTATGATAACATTTTTGGTTTTAAATTAGAATCAATAGATAATCTGTGGGGGAGATCAAAGTGAGTCAATCATAATATTGGTCTTGGGTTATATTTGACGTTTTTAAATGTTCAGCATTACTTCTCTTTGTTAGGAATTCTTGGTCGTATACTGAAGCTACTATGCTATAGGTGGTATAGCTTTGCTTGTACTGACACGTTCTTCTTAATCAAAGTTTTAAAATTTGGTAATAATCTCGATGTGGTAAGACTTTCAAATAATTCAGTGTCTTCTAATCCTACAACTTTGTTTTGAGGGGCACATAATTATGTGAACAACCTAAGTAACTTATTTTACACTCCATAACACTGTGACTTTGCTCGCACACTGTCTCAACATGACAATATGCCTTTATCATAGAGTAATATCCTTCCCTTTCACAATCGTACGTTTAAATTTAATGATATTTGGTTCAATTTATGGCATACAGTAATCTATACAGACACCAAAGTTTAAAATAAATATATATATTAACTAACAAGAACATCATGAGAACGGTAAAGAACTGCAGGAACAGTTGAGTAATATACAACAAGTTAAACCCAATTATTTGTGATTTTGCTTGAGAGGATATATATTTCGAACAACAACATTAACATGTCATCGAGAGGCCTAGTAGCCGAACAACGAAGCGCACAGTTTCCATCGGCAGGGCGTGGGAGTGTAGTCTGAGTAGCGGCCTACTAGAATTAGTCAACTTGTCACAAACATGTTACGTAATTGTCGTATAAAATATGGTTGGTGAGGTTTGAGGAGGAAGTATAATACAATATAGTACTAGATAAAGTTCTTATAAGAAATTGTAAAAACTCACTGTTCCTTATGTTTCTTTTTGGCTCTACTACAAAGTCCACAACTCTGGGGAACTCTACTGCTGAAGGAGCTCCATAACTGCGGCGTAGTCTCCTTAGAAGCAGACTGTTTATCACTTCGTCTTCGTCCTCAAACATGGTTAATATAAGGATTGTTAAAGGTCTATAATAACTTAAATAGGGCTAATTTAAGTTAATGACGGGCTGTAGGAGGCTTGAACACTAGGCTTTAAAAAAGCCCTAGAAGAAAGAAGGGAGGTCAAACAGTTTGAATTTCAAAACTTACGAAAATTTGTGAGCGGACTGTAACTACAAATAGAACAACAAAGAGCAGTACGCTTAGCAGAGATGTGTTACTCATGGTTTAAAGTTGGAAATATCCTGCAAATTAAAATTTTAAACTTTATATAATCTATACTATCAAATAAGGTCATATACATTCTATCAAGCACGTTTTTTAGTACGCGGGTTATTGCAGTACAGCCTTCACGTGACAGTACTACATAAAAATGTTTAAAATAAGAAAGTACCAGAGTTTTAAATCGAACACATTTCAAAATACAGTAAAGATGACAAGATGTTTCATATCCGCTTTTGTATGAGGAAAACATGTGTCATTACTGTAATCGTATTGCTTTTTAATACCACAAAGTAAATTTTACAATTCCTTGAATAAGAGAGTTTAAAAGAGCAACATGTTGTAAGTGTGGTGTATGTATTAAGGTTCTCTTTCAAAAAATAGTTTAAAAATTTTAAAAAAATTGATTTACACTTACATAGTAAGGGTAAGCAGTATCATATTAGTGAGTCAAGAAAAATATTTCTCCCCTTCCCCCTCCTCCTTGTATTCTCCTAGATTTGTCGCATCGCTTTATATATAACCATACTATATTATACCTAATATAATATAATGCCTCCGGAAGGAAATCGAAGGACTTTACAATGGTATCTATTTACAAAAAAGGCAATTACTCTCCCACTATTTCAATGTAATTTGTAAATTGATAGAAGGAAATACAAAAACAGTTACTTTTACACGAAATATAACTATTTCTTTATTTATACTGTGGTATCTTTTGGCTGTAATAGATACATTTGCACAAGAACAATTAGTGAAAAGTGTTTTGTAGGTGGAACTACAACCTCAAAGAGATATTGCAGTAAATTGGAAAGTAATTTCTTCACGAACTTTACTGTCAAAATGGCTACAATATTAACCAATGTTATCCTGTAACATTTGCATGACCTTACTGTATTTATTAAAGATATTCCACAGTAACTCTACCTACACGTCAGACAATAATCTTAGTCTTAGTCTCAAAAAAGTAACAATGTAATGTAATAGTTAGTTCCCTAGGTTCAAATACGAACATGTAATGGCATGAGACTACCACGTACACACTAAAAACACAAGTATATGTTCTCACAACACTGTAACGGAGGCTGCTGAATTAAACATGATGAATGTCTTAAGCGAATAATTACATTTTGCTTAATTATTTAGAGACAGACACCTACCATGTAATCTGGAGAACACACGGTTGGTTTCTGGAAAGATTTCAATGTTGCGACATAGATGAGCATAGTAAATGGAAAATACAATAAGTTGAGTTCTTTAGCAAATATATGAAGATACACTAAACACTGAAGATTGTATATATATAAATTTAAATGTATTTATATATATATATAGAATATCTTCAGTACAGTAAATTGTGATGACAAGTTGGTACTGTAATAAGACATACAGTAACCTAATTTATGTTAAGCAAACATGACTATTATATATATTCTTAGAACATAAATGTATTCTGTAGTAAAGACCTATTACTCATATCGTATCACCAATTACTCATAATCTACTTATAACACAATTAAAGTTAATAAAAAGTTACTATTACCATTATACTGTAGACGAAATAAACAAAGTAAACACATAAATACGACGATGTAAATCTGCAAAGAATTTCCTCAATAAAAGACTTCTTTTATTTTAATTTCCAAAAAGGGGGCGGATAAACCCCTGAGGGGAGGGTGACTTCATTTGGACCAGTCTGCCAGCCTTAATAAATGGACACAACTACTGTAAACAAGACCGGATTATACGACGAAAAGTGGCATAATTAATGTGGGTTGGTGTCACAATAAAGGTCAAAGTGGATTAGGTTACAGTAACAGGAAGTTTAAGTTGTTTTGAAGTAAAAGGATACTGTAACAAAGAAAATATGTTTTGTTATGACTACTGTAACATACAATACAGTACACCCATAATATTGTAACACCATTTATTATGTTTTTCAAATATGTACCCCGTTTTAAAGCAAGTTTTTTGAGTTAGAAAGCACAGAATTATTTGAACAACCTAATATAAGCATTAGATAAAACATCAAAAACCTAAGAATAGTGCCACTCTTAATATAATAAGCACCAGAATAATAGATAGAGTTCAAGATCCGTTGATGATGTCATAGACCGGGTTCATACATAGTTGAGTACCATACTGACCATATTCTACTACCACCATCAGACAACATATATTATACATACAGTCATCTCATTATGTAAATACTGCTTATCATTACTATGTAAGCAGTATTTACAGCATCTTTCGATCGGATTGAACTGACACAACATGATTAAATATTAGCCAGACATAGCATCAAGTTGCCACTTTTGGTACTGTGATTGGAATATAAATGCCATTTTGACTATATATACAATATAAAAATGCCATTTTAGCTATATATATTATATTTTGCCAGAGCATCGTATTCTGTTTGCGTATTAAAGACAGCCTTGAATATTTATATTGTACTGCATACAAAAGGTTATGTTAGCCGTATACAAGTCAGTACAATACTATATACTAAACAGTGCAATATAAATATTCAAAAGTAACTTTATGCGGCACACAGTATCACGGCAATTTTGAGTACGTAGAGTTCAATAAATTAGGTTCTTCAAATAATTCTGAGCTCATCTTAAAGTAAATTTTCGGGGTTGGGGGCACATAATTATTCGAACAACTTGACAAAATAATGAAATGAATAATGCAATAAGCAAACAGAAGACAAAGAAAATTTTGTAGTCAACACATAGAGAATTACTGTATATAATGGTATAACGCACGTATGTTATGTTATGTTATCAAAACAAAAACCTAGAGTAATTAAAAAACATTTCTTGTTTTCATAGGAAAAAGCTAAAGAAATGACAATTTAGAGCTAAATAAAGTGGGATTTGGAGAAAAAATAGACATAAAAGACCCTGCTTGTAGTAGATTACATACTTAAGCTTTATAGAACAAAAGTTGTAAGACATATTACGGTAAATACTGAATATTAAATTTAAAACAAAGAAAATATTTCTTTTTTTTCTACACAGCCTTCATTTTTGTGTATTTTAGCGTTACCTTATTCTATCTTTTCTCCACCCTACTCCTATCGTAATCTATCCTTACCCTATCCCTATTAATAATAATTTTTCACCCTACCTCTCTATAATCCTGTAGTACAGAATGTTAAGACAGAATCTGTAATCTTAATTTACTTAACTCTTATTATACCATCTGTTGCTACTACGGTCTGTCTTGTCAACCTTACCAAAGCTATTTCGGTTAGTAAAAACACCAACTTTTTGTTATGTCATGACGTGAACAAAACAAAATATGACACAAAACTCTAATTTGTGTCTTCTGCAAAATTACAGTACACGAAAAACACATTTTGTGCCAAAAACTAATCAAAAAAACAATTTTCCGACAACTTTTGTTACGAAATGTCATCCAAAACACAACTTGTTTACGAAACAAAGAATGGACCTAGCAGTCCACCAGCCGGCTGTCTTTATAGTTGTACTAGCCTAATTTGCGGGGGCTCTAAACGGCCATAATGGGGAACGTCATGACCTGATGAACTTCTAATTGATGCCAATCTTGGAAGTGAACTTGATGAAGATCCAGGAACAAAACCCGACTTTATACTCTACCCTTCTCTTTTGATTACATCTCCTTTGATTACCCTCCCTCCCCCTTTGATTACACCCCTCCCTCTCTTGCCTTTGTACAAGTTCATGTGTCTGGCATGTGGACAAACGGAAGTGTATCAGATTTACGTAGACTTGGCTCGTATTTTAACAAAGTGAACATGAGAAGGATGACGATGTTCCCTTCCATGCTACACAAGTTAAGTACGGCTTACTAGAAGCTTCTTTTTGGAATTACAAACAGTATCGTATTGTTATTGTAATGAGAGATCCGGGAAGAGCAGCAGGTCTTTAATGTATGACATTTTAGGTTAGAAGTAAGAATAATGAATTGAATACATTAAATAAACAATGAGCTTAACTTTGAACACAAACCAGTATCTACTGCCTATAAACAAGTTGTTACTATTCAAACGTATGTTATGATCCTGAACATATTACGCAACATAGTAAATTTGGAAATGACGTGACATATGTTATGTAGTCGATCTTTGCCACATTATGTGAGGAAGTAAACCAAACGTGTCTCCGTAATGCTTTACAATCAGACGAGTTGTAAACTGGCAAAGTGCATATTACTTCCGTATCTTCAATCTTGTAATTGATATCATTATTGTAATTTACTTGATATCACTAGACAATAGGCATAAAATGAAATCGTGCAGAAAAGGACAGGAGTTGTTTCATAACTAGTCTACAATAATGTAATCGAAAGATACAGTAACCGTAGACTTAACACATATACAACGTTTTGACGTTGTAAAAATATCATAAAACTTGTACTTTTATATGACAGTATTTTTAAGTGATTTTTTCTGACGTTGAACAAGCTGTGACTGAGAAAAAACTATATAATGTATTGAGATCTTTTAACATGAATACTCAAGTCAGTATCTAAATCAACATAACAACTAATTCTTTCTCGGTTTGTATTCAACGGAGATTATGTCGTAGTTTGCCAAAACCCAGAAGCGGCAGGTTTTTAACTACCTTAAACTCCATCTTTATACAGACTAATTTTAGGTCAAAAAGTTTCCTCTTGTACGACACCATTTTGATAAGTATAAACAGTCTAAGGACAACAGAAATGTTATATCACAGAAAACATACTACACTATGATACTATAATCTGTTTATGTACTACAATAAAACAGCAGTAAATGAATCACATTACGATATGTCTGATGCCAGAAGCGCAGTAATTTGGCTTATTACATGTAATATGTCAATGTGCATAGCTTTACATGCTCTAACAATGATTTTATAGCCATATACATTTTGTAAGTTACAAAAAATATTTTCATAAAGCTATGTTACCTACACTTTCAGAAGTCATTTTATTATAATTTACTCAAAAAACCCAAAATTTAAGGCTTTAATAGATAATTTAAAGCCCCAAGGCGAAGTAAACATTATGCTCTTACAGAACGTCATCCTCTTTGCATGGTGAGACATTTACTACGCAGTAATTTTCTTACAAATTCCAAAATTTAATTTTCTCACCAAACAAAAGCTTCCGGAATACTATAAAGTTTGTTACGTAGTAGATACCATGACTATGAAGTGGGTCTATAGCCTTACCAAAGTTTAATCGACTAAACTTATGACAATAGTGTTATAGCTTATGCCAGTTATTAAAATATATTATGAAATAAAGGAGTTTTGTCTAGGATTCTTTATATATTGTCAACAACATCATTATCTTACAATTTGTGACTTTATAGCCAAAATAGTAAAACTTGTTATAAGATAAGACTTCAGACATATTTGCATCTTATTTATTTACAGATAACCAACAATTATTGAGCTAATTTATGAAAAAAAATTATTATTAGAAAAAATTTAACTTTTTTAAACTAAGCCTATTTTGGTAATTATCGTATCTTACTGAGTACATAATTGCAAAATGTAGACTTAATCCATCTTAATTAACAACAATACCATGGTGTTATACCACGCACAATCAGCTACCGCGATGTAAGCCCAATGTTGTTGTTTTCAAAAATACAAGTTATGTTGGGTAAGCAGGCTTACATACATGGACTCGAAGATAGTTAGAAACTATAACATAACCATTCACGTTGTTTTAAAAAAAATTTTTTTTTCACTTACTTAAATTCTAAATTTATAAAAAAATTTCTGCAAGAAATCAATTTTTTTGTTTTAAACTGAATGTTGCGTGATACTATATGCATATTAACAAAACCAGTTTAAAAAACAAGACGTAAATATATATTACAATACGTTACATTACGTTTCACTAGAACAATTACAGAGTTGCACGACATTGATTTGGAAATTTTAGTTCAAAATAGAAATTGAAATACAATGTTTAATGCCTTATGTATAAAAGTAAGTCACATTTACAAGGAAAGTGCCCATAATCAGCTCAAACTTTTTCTATCAGCCTCTTTTACCACTAACTGTACCCATCAAAAAATTTAGCTCGAGCTTTTAAGATTTAAAACTAAAATATTCGAGTTTCACATCAATTTAGCAAATTTGGCATTGCGTTTCAAGAACTTTTTTTGCAACTTTCTAAACCTACTTACAAATTTAAAAATGTAGGTCTATTTAAAAGTTTTCTCCTAGTTTATCAAAGAAAAATGATTAAAAGTCAAACATTGGCAAAGTTATAAGCCAAGAACCTTAAAGTAATTTAAGTCAGTAAAATTATTAGAAAGCTACAAGCTTTAAATACTTAATATTATAGTATTGTGATGAATAGACATTCAAAAGATATACACAGTTACTTCCTCTACCGTGTATTTTACTTTTTATACCATGTAAACACTATTCATACGCCTACAGCGTAACACAGCATGACGAAACGTCGCATTTGGTCAGGTTAATGACATTCATTCAGTAATACATATGAGTAAAATTAATTTGTGATAAACATAAGTCAAAATACAGTAAGATAAAGCCAAAACTACAATAAGTTTAACAACGTAATCGTATGTTACAGTATGTTTATAAACAACATTATTTAAAAAAACATAAAAGTTACAAACTTGTATTTAGACTGTTACGATAAGATCAACTGTGCTATCAGTAACTTTAGTAAGATTTATATTTTACCATGAAAAAGCGTATTAACCCCTAGCCTAACTAAAATAAAAATACGTCCTAATGTGTTACCATGTTAAACTATAAATATACTTGTGTCTAAACGTCGCAGTAACTGAAGAATACTCCCGCCTACGTATAATGTTACACTCAATACATACTTAATCACACACTATGAAAGATCGGTAAACAACTTGTATATTTATAGATGTATATTATGTTATAGTTAATATTTAATCGACATGTTTTGTAAAGTGATGTTGACACGTTATCTGGTGTCTTACTGAGTGAGCAGATATACACTTGTATATGTGGAAGAAAGATGAATAAAAATTTTTAAAAATATGCACATGTGACTGTACAGTAAGGGCACATTTAACAAAGAAAATGCCCAACCTGCCGCGCTCGTTCTTTTGATAAATGACCCATGATTGGTCTGGAGGTCACTTTAGGCCGCTGAGCACCAGTTAGGTACACATATTTGTGCTGAAGTTGTAGGCCAGTTTCTAGAACAAATTGACATATATTCACCATAAAAATGTTATTCGCGTTCAAAATTTAAAAAAAAATTTAAAAAACGTATTTTATTCTCAAAAAGTCGCTAAAAATCAAACTATTAACCATCCAAATCCAATTCAAATTGACTGCTATCACCGTGTTCGATACTTATGGCATTTTACATAGTCTCATCTTTGTGTGAAATGTTGCTTGGATCAATTGATCTGGTCGTTTCGTTGACATACATGCAGGTTTCACTTGATCTGCTTCTGAACGTCCATTTCTCAGCTTCGGTATAAAAAGATCAGATTTACAGATTGGTAGATCTGCCGGTTTCTTGTCGTGGTTTTGAGCTGCCTCAAGCTAAAGTTAAACAATTTTAAAAAATTACACTGGTAAAAGATTTTACATTTTTTATGATTAAATTGTGGAGAAAGATACATAAATTATATATTATAGCCGTTTTTCGATTTGAAACTGTTTAAATCCGGCAATTGAAAAGATTCGTCAATAGTCACTGCGTCTGGAGTTCGTTTTTGAAACTTGGTCCGGCTTTGAAAAGGGAACACTACTTTGACGTTACGGCAAAAATTACTTGAATCGAATGGACTGACAGCTTGAGTAGGATCTATCATATGTATAGCAGCGATGATTCTCGATTGGGCTTGCTTTAAATGCTCCATGAGATCCGAGTTCTTGTTTCTCAAAGTGTTCAAATCGGACTGCACTTGTGTGAGGGCTGATCGTTCTTGTCCAACCGGTTGATCGTTCAATTCGGCTATCTCTGCGCTGAAGTATTTGTCCATCCACATCAGAACCAAAAATATTTTCTGGTAGATTGCATACATAAAAATCAATCTAGTTATAGAAGCTATCTGAAAAAATACAATACATTGATGACAAGAACTTTTTTAGGGACAATAATTTTATATAAAAACTAAAAACGTTAGCAAACACTTTCTTTACAGAGCGCAGCATGGCAAAAGTTTTACTTAAAAACCTAGAAGTTGCGAAAACTTTGTTTACAGGACACAAAATTGCAATGCTTTACAAAACGCAGAACGGCAAAAACTATTTAAAAATCTGAAATTAAAAATCATTTACCTCAGACCAGAAGCTTTACAATCTTCGGAGCGGAACACAAACCGAACCGCTTTCTGCAGAGCCCGGTCTTCGACTATTTATGCTTGAAAAATAAACCACTTTTTCGACCGGACGGTCGGAACCCTTTAAAGTACGCATTTCACCAACATTGAAAATAGAAATTCGCAAATACAGCACGATTTCGTGTCGGGACTCAAAAAGGCGAATTTTGCGGGTGGAAAATATTTTTTCCTCGCGAATCGGTCGAATATTGTTGATGAAAATTGTGTATTCGTGTTGTTTTCTTATGTATTATTGTCTAATATTATCTATTTTCTACAAACCTGCCTTATTTCTGTGTCTACAACGCTTTGCCGGCGAAAATTCCGAACTTTTTCCAGAGCTTTTATCCTTAGTGTTGTGATGGATAATATTCTGGAATATTTTTGGGCATTCCGTTTTGAAAAGGCACTAAATTGCAAGAACAGATGAAGAAGTACAACAAACGGTATGTTTTTTACTTATTTTTTTTGTGTTTTTAGGAAAGAGACGGATTGAAAGCCATATTGAGGATGTTATCCATGATAGCCGTCGTTATTTGGGCACGTCAGATGGTCGGCAAGCTGCGAATAAACAAGGAGAAGATAAATTATAACAAGAATACATATAAATGAAAAAAAGGCTTGTAGATGCCTGGACGCAGCGCTTTCGGACGCTTAGCTCCAGCTAGATACTCATACTCGTGATGAGGTTGTGTAATATATTCCAAGTTAAACCCCATTATTTGTGATTTTGCTTGAGAGGATATATATTTCGAACAACAACATTAACATGTCATCGAGAGGCCTAGTCGAAGCGCACAGTTTCCATCGGCAGGAAGTGGTAATGTAGTCTGAGTAGCGACCAACTAGAATTAGTCAACTTGTCAGAAACATATTACACATGTTACGTAATTTTTACATAGGATATGGTGTGTTTGAGGGGGAAGTACAATATAGTACTAGATAAATATTTTTTTTTGGTTTTTTATTCTCATTTGAAAAGGAAAGGAATTACGGGACAAAACCTAACATACGTAAACTGATTAATGTCTGACTTTCTGGGTTTTGAACAAATAATGGCATGTATTTTCAGGTTTTTTAAAATTTTTTAACTTTCGCCATTTTAGCATTATGTTACATAATGATCAAGCCTAAAGAACATATACAAACCAAAAAAGGTTTTATTAGATTCTACAAACTTTTTGACCATTGATTTCAAAACAGCTCCGTGAACCCCTTTGATTTCAAAAATACTCGCACTCTAGTCTAATTGAACCCAAATGAACTTTATGACAAATAATAACCTTAAATTTGAGTGAATTTAAAAATGACGTGACACCTATTATGCAATAGATCTTGACCACATTATGTGAGGAAGTCATGCGAACGTGTCACAGTAATGGTTTACAATCAGCTAAGCCCTAAATTGACAAAGTGCATATTACATATTTATAAAAGTTTTATTTATGTTATCAAAAAATATTTTTTTTATAATTTTTTGTGTACTAAAAAAATGTTTGTGACACAATGTCACAATTGATTTTTAGAAATATTTTTATTTCTGATGAAATTCTGTTACAGGACGAAAAGTACCAGAAGGAGAGTTGTGCGCGGTGTGTTCTGATCGTGCTACTGGATATCATTATGGTGTAGCTAGTTGTAATGGATGTAAAACCTTTTTCCGACGAACTATCGTATCCGAACATACCTTTGTCTGTCAATATAATGGGAAATGTGATGTTAACAAAAGTAAGTAACTTTATTCTAATATATTTCCTTATTTTTTACTCGTTTTAAATTTTTTAAAGCTAATAATGCATTTTTTAAAATTTTTAAACTGTATGTTATCCTCAAATTTCAGACGTCCGCTGTGCTTGTCGCCATTGTCGCTTCAACAAATGTGTCGCAGTAGGTATGGATGCTCGTGCTATTCAGAACGATCGGGATAGAATTGGCCCCACCAAGAAGATGAGGATGATGAAGCGGAACAGTTCAGCCGAAGATGATCGCTATTCGAATGGGTCTATGTCTCCTGTTATGAAGGCTGGCGATGATAAGATCATTGAATACCTTCATTCAGCTGAAAAGATGTGTAATCTCTTGAGGACAAAAGAATTGGTACAACCAAAGAATGTGAAAGAAGCTTTGTCTACACAGAGTCTGCTGCTACAGGCCAACAATCTTCAAGTTGATGTAGGTATTATTAAGTTGATTTTGGTTTTTAGGGGTGTTTGAGATGGTTTGGTCATTTTGTTGTTAGGTATAGGTTGCAAAGGAATGGTAGAAGTGAAGATTAATAATAAAGCACAAAAGTAATGCCTATATTTAGGTTTACACGGTGTTCCGAGAGCTATATCCAGCTTCAATGGTGGATATTCAAAAATGGAACATTCGAGAGCTTGTTTTATGTATTGAATGGGCCAAATCTTTCGAAGAATTTGTGAAAATGGCGGAGAGCGATCAGGTACGTCGAAAATCTTATTTTTTTAAAGAACTAACTTTAAAACTAAATTTTTAAACAAGAAATGAATTTGATTTTTTATCCAATTTTAATTTATATTAAATTCTATCCTTTGATCAATATTTATAAATTTTAGTACTATCTGATGCGCAACTTTGCTTTTACCTTCAACATTCTAAATCGAGTATATTACTCGCTAGACTACGGACCGGACAAGATTGTCTACCCAAATGGAGCCTACATTCTTCGTCAATCTCAAGATTCCTTGAAGATACCTGGCTGTCGCTCTATTTACCATCGCCAAATGGACGAGATTATGATGCCGTTGAGGAAGTTGGATATTGGCATTCCAGAGTTTGCAGCCTTCAAGGCTTGCCTTCTGTTCAATCCAGATGCTCTTGAGTTGAGTTTGGATGTGAAAGAAGATGTGGCTAGAGTGAGGACAAAGTATTTGAACTCTCTATTCCATATACTAACACAGCGACATGGTATCTCGCTGGGGGCTCAGAAGTATGGCCAGATGTTGATCATGAGCAGCAGTATACAGGTAAAAAAATTTGAAAATTTTCATAAACCGTGTGGAAAAAGGCTGGAAAATTTTGAATTTTACAAAATTATATGCTTATGTCGCACAAATATAAGTTTATATATTGCCACACATTGTAATTCGTATTTCAGAACATTGTCGATACGAACGATGAAAATATGCAAATTATGGACGTGTTTGGCAACTTCTGGAGAATAAACGCCTTTGTCAAGGAATTGTGTATGAAGTAGAGATAGTTATGGATAGTAAGGTTCCTGGACAACTTACAAACGTACTGTACGATGACTGTTTAAGTATGACAGCTCATCTGACAGTACACTAAAGGAATGCTAAAAATTTGTCAAAACTTTTTGTAATTTCAAAAATTTTTTTATTTTTTAGTTGCAATGTAGTAATGTATCGTATCTTGATCGCCTTGTTGACAAAATAATTAATTTTTTGCCAACTCTAAACCTATATCATCGTCTGAGATGTTAGTGCAACTTTATTATGGTAAACGTTGTTAGTTACAACTTTATCATCTTATAACTTGACTACTGTGTATGTTTTACTATAACTTGTCAGGTATAACAATATCATTATTTGTTTTAAACAAACTAACTTACCATAAAAGTTGCTAAATTTATCTTATCGTACAAGTTGTACAACATCTATATTGTAGTAGCTCTCTTTTTACATACCTATTGTTTAGTATCGAAATTACAGTATATTGTCGCAATGATCTCTTCGAATATCGTAATCCAGTGAAAGTAAAGGTTATTCTCTCACACATATATAACATATTACATTTTTAGTATTAGTAAGACCTGTAAATATTATCTATACACTTCTATATTTGTTATCTGTTGTAATATAAACACGTGAATCAAGTTGGAGAAGTTTATTTGAGTTTAAAACTAGATAAGATAAACATACAACTGGCAAAAAAGTTTTATATGTTTGCCCTAACAATATCGTATAAGCTGGAAAACATAGAAATGTTAATATACCGAGTGCCTGAATTACTAACGACCAAAATAACATAAAATGGAGATTTTTGGTTTTTTGACTGTAAGTCGATGTTGTGATTTGGTAGTACATTACAGCTAACATGGTAGCCCCAAAAACTGGTATTCCCAACAGTATAGTTACGATAAGTACTGTACCTTCACGAATTACTAGAGAATCGTCAAAACAGTAGATATTGTAAGTAATACTGTACTTGTGAGATATAAAGGATGAAATATACGATTCAAGTTGGCTTGTGACTTCTGATGGTGGCATTGTAAGGTAAAAAAGACCCTAAAGGCTAAGGTTTAATAAACGAAAGATTAAGCTTTGTTCTACCAAAAGTATTATAACTAATGTTAAGTTATAATAAAACTTCACAAAAGAGCAGATTTAGTAAAGTAATGTTTACTTAAAAAGAATAAAAAAGCTTACCACAACACTTATGGTACCTAAAATCCAAGCTGCTAGAAAAACTACGACAATAACCCAATCATTAACAGTACTGTTAACTACGTGTAACTTGGATTGCGGTGACAATGAAGTAAACATTCGAGAAACGAATTGCAAAAATAATGCTATTCGGGCAGTTACAGTGTTAATAACCACAACTAATGTCCACGTGGTTAAAGAGGTGGTTAAGTAATTAATAGGCCCTCCAAGTACAAAACATGGCGTTGGGAATAGTATCATTATACCAAGTAATGGAGTTGAACGTGTTGTGGGGGAAGAGACTGAAGTTAAACATGTCCCACTAACAACTCAGAACAGCGACAGAGGTCGCGACACTCACATTCTTCACGTTAATCACAATATCAATGGAGTGCAAGATACCAAACCTTATTCTAATGGAGTTCAAGGTTCACAACAAGAGACGAGCAGAAGAGATAGTCATCATAATGTCAACATACGATACGTGGGTCCAATTCATGTGGATACTACAGAGAAAGCAGAAGATACCAAGTATCAGCCAACCGCTGGTTTTGTGGGAAATGATCCTATTATAGTTGATCGGAATGACGCTTATCATTCGGAGATCATAGCTGATGAAGCTGAAGAAGTTACTCCAATTATCACACAAGATATACGACCAGTAGTTGTTGATGTTGAAGATCATGATCGGACTGGACGCAATGAATATATTGTTCATGTAAGTTTAATTAAAAACACCAAAAAGGTTTAAAGAAAATGTTAAAAAAATTATTCTCACTTGATAGTACCTAAAATAACATATTTTGTTCAAAAAACATTTTGTTGTGCTTATTTACAGACGACAACAACATACACACAATCAGAAAAACAAACGTCTAAGAACCCGTCAGCTCCCAGCACTCCACATTCAGTACGTCGTACTGACAACGTTCAAACAGCTTCAGTTCAAACGGAAGCTCAAGCTGTACCTATTGTACCAGTTGAAAGAGTCGCGGTTAAACCCGTCGATGTGGCTTCTCACAGTCCTCCACGACAAAGATACAGTTGCCGATCTTATGAAGAAGGTAAACATATTATTGTTGGTTCTGGTGGCTAATATTTTCTTTATCGAGTTGTTGAGCCTAAAATACAATTTTTTAAAAGTTATTGCTAAATTTGATATTAGAATACGAAGTTTAAGGAGAATATATATACTTTTGTTTCAGAAACCCGACCACAACCTCGCCACGAGTACGAGTACCTAGCTGGAGCCAAACGACCAAAAGTGCTGCCTCCAGGCATCTACAAGCCAACTCCAATCACGGGTCTTTTACCTAAAGACAACTACGACAACAAGCAGAACGACCGGTACGAAAAGTTTGAGAATCGGTACCAGAATGCCAGCTATCATCCCCAATATGTCAGACCTAATAATGTTTACGACACTGACAGACCTTTTTCAAGGCATTCGCGACAGAATTCAGAAGTACTCGGATACCACACTAGAAATCATTCTGTTGACAGTGTCAATTTCAATCGTAAGTTTGGAATTGGTCATATTTGTTTTAATATTGTAAATTATGATATTATGTATACCTCTATGATGTGATTGACAACTTTCAGAACCAATCCCACTAGCAGGAATGCACAGTTTAAGACAACCACCACCAAAGTATATCAAACCTTCAGATGCTCGTAAGTAAAGGTTATAACGAAATTTCAAATACAGTACTCTCTCTATATAAGCAACCTGTCGCGAAGTTGCGAGTTAAGAAATACAAAAACATGTTTACAAAAATATAGAACCGATCCACAACAAAGAAGGTCTTTTTTATCTTGCAAAAACTGTTTATAGTTAGGCCGATTTGGCCAAAAACTGAGAAGTCTCTAACCAACTATACCGCGGATCGGTCGTATTTTATATTTTTGGATAAATAAATATTTTATATACTGTAACTAGCTAATAATACTAATATTCATAATAATTTTATGACACAACCCGAAGGGACCGACATTTTGTGTTTACTATAAGGGGTGTTGTCTTTACAGAGAGACTTTTTAGTGCAAATTGACTTGGCGGGACCAGATTTCTTGTTTACTATAAGGAGAGTTGCTTATACAGATGGTTCACTACATAGAGAGACCACTGTATATTTCAATGTGATTGGTGATAACTTATTGCTGATTACAATGCTTTTAGCTCGGCCATTATTTTCAACGTCAAATTATGGCCGATGGCTCGAGGTGGTGACTAGTTACGAAGCTCAAGGTGAACATCAATTAAGTCTGAATTCTGGAGATCGAATCAAGCTGATCAAATCTGGTACTCGCGGTTGGGTTCTTGGGCGTACTATTGAAGGACGGTGTGTTATAAATTGGCACAGTCGGTTTAAGGCAAATCATTTTGGTCTGAGATCAGATCAGACGTTTACTTTACAAAAGTGCGGATCGTGCAATCTTTTTAGACACAAAATTTTGGTATTGAACTCATTGATTGTGCTTATATAAGAACTGATTATCTATTTTCTTTAAAGTTATAAAAAGCAATCATTATCTAACTAATTCAACGTTGTGCAAAAAATTCAATGAACGGTTCTTTTAAATTTAAAAATTTATGAAAATTTTTTGAAAGTTCTGATAAAAACTTGAGCAACTCCATCACCCGGAATAAATGGACGATCAGAAAAAGTAACTGTGTTTTCCATGCCTTCAGAAAATTCAACAGCTTCGGCGTCAAAAACAACGGCAAGGATGCAGTAAAATATAATCAAAATGCAAACGAATACAATCCGCGTTTTATATATCCAAAAGCATAAACGAGGTTATTAGGGAAACCCTGTGGCCAAAGCAGTAGAAAAAGAGGAGAGAGAGACTCGACACGCAATAGCTTTTTCGACTAATTTATTTATAAATCTAAATTCAAAAATTTTTCTACTTTATAATGCTATTTAAACTTTTATTTTTTTAAAATTATTTTAATTTTGACATTTTACATTTTTTTTGGTGTAATTTAGTATCAGGTTTAATTTGTACATTGATATTTTTTATTCAAACCCAAAATAATAAAATTTTAGTACTATTTTCCCTAAAATCAATCTTTTTTAATATATTGGTAATAATAAATTTTATAAAATTTGTATCATGATGTAATCATTTTAATAAAACAGCATTATACACAACAAAAAAGCTCTGCATTTATATAGGGATTACTGATAATTATTAACACACTTACTGCTCGTTCTCTTGGCGCTATCTTATGTTCTTTTAGTTTTTGCACCAGAGCCAAAGAGATACTTGTATTATTCGGCAAGTTTTCTTTGCGAGGCTTAGTTGGTACGTTGCATGTGACTAGCTTAAATAAAACACGCTTTATTGTCATCTTATTAAAAATCGGTCGTTACAAAAAAGAAAACAGATTTATAGTTGACTGTTTTAACGTTCATTAATTATTTATCGTCATGTTACTTAAAGCTATAATTGGAAACTAAACATATGCACACTTTATTGAAACAAATGTAAATAGATTTCAATGTTTCTTGTAACGAACCGAGTAATCGTCTTCGTTTGGCTTTACTTCTGATTGACTATTATCGCTGTCGATACTGCCAACATCATACAAAGTCTCATCTTTGTGCGACATATTGCTTGTATCTATTGGTCTGTTCGTTTCTGAATTCGATAGGGGAGCAGGCTTGATGTGAGCTTTTTCTGAACATGGGACTTCCAGCCTTGGGATAAAAAGTTCAGCTTTCGAGGTTGGTCGATCTGTAGGCTTCTTCGCTTGATTCTGTGCTGTCTCAATCTAAAGTTAAACAATTTTAAAAAATTACACTAATAAAAGGTTTTACATTTTTATGATTAAATTGCGGAGAAAGATACATAAGTTATGTCATAGCCGTTTTTTGATTTGAAACTGTTTAAATCCGGCGATTGAAAAGATACTTTACCTCATTTTCGTCGATAGTTACAGCATCCGGAGTTTGTTTATCAGATTTGGCTCGGCTCGGACACGAGAACAGAAATTTGATTTTCCGTTTAAAGTAATTTGAATCGAAAGGAATCAAAACGTGAGTAGGGTCGAACAAATGTATTGCTGCGATTATCCTCGATTGAGATTGCTTTAAATGCTCAACTAGGTCCGAGTTCTTGTTCCTTAATGTGTTCAAATCTGACTGGACGGCACTAAGGGCTGAGCGTTCTTGGCCAACCGGTTGTTCGTTTAATTCTGCAATCTCTGCGCCGAAGTATTGGTCGATCCACATCAGGACTAAAAATATCTTCTGGTAGATACCATACATAAAAATCAATTTTATGATGGAAGCCATCTGAAAAAATACAATACATTGATGACAAGAACTTTGTTTAGAGACAAGAATTTTATATAAAAACTTAAATGTTAGCAAACACTTTCTTTACAGAGCGCAGCATGGCAAAAGTTTTACTTAAAAACCTAAAAGTTGCAAAAGCTTTTTTACAGGACATAAAATTGCAATACCTTACGAAACGCACAACGGCAAAAACTGCTTAAAAATCTGAAAATAACAATCATTTACCTCAAACTAACTTCACGAGCGCCAGAGCAGAACAAAAACCGACCGCTTTTTACTGTGCCCGGTCGTCGACTATTTATGCTTGAAAAATAAACTACCTTTTCGACAGGACGGTCGGAACCTTTTAATTAAAAAAACGAAAAAAATTGTATATTCAGGATGATCGTATTTTTTGAAATACAGTAAACTGCTCTAATGACGAATTTTTAAATTTTCCATTTTAATTGTATTTCTATTGCTGTGTTATGCATTTATCATTTAAGCTTTATATTTGGTAAATGCATATGTTATCAAAGCTCAGAAGCTCTTGCTGTGCAAATGATAAAAAGGTGTCAGAGTAAAAGCGATGTCATTTCGGAGGAATATTATAATATGTTTTAATTATCAGCATTTCTATACCATGCACTTTTAGCATCACTAATAATAAGTTTATGTGACAGTGTGTTTATAAAATACAAAAAACATCACGCACTACATATAAGAAAATTTAAAAAAGTTTTTATTATACTAAATATAGACTATTAATATAAGTACATGGTCTCTCTATATAGTGTACCACCTGTATAAGCAACTCTCCTTATAGTAAACAAGAACTTTGGCCCCGCCAAGTCAATATGCAGTAAAAATCACTGTAAAAACAACACCCCTTATAGTAAACACAAAATTTAATGTCAGTCTCTTCGGGTTGCTTATATAGAGAGAGTACTGTATTAAGATTGCAAGCACAATTGATTTCAGTTCCGTCTACCTAGTGCAGTCTCAAGAACTTCGCTGGATACCATCCTTGTCTGAAATACCATTTTATTTTATATTAAGATAAAACTTGACTAGCATTAGTTTTTATAAAAAGTCATAGTAAAAAAACCTTAAACAAGTTATGCTATATATTTAGCTGCAAAATATGAGTTACTATAACATTTCTATACTTACCGTCCCTTGATAGTACGCCCAAGAACCCAACCGCGAGTACCAGATTTGATCAGTTTGATTCGATCTCCAGAATTCAGACTTAATTGATGTTCACCTTGAGCTTCGTAACTAGTCACCACCTCGAGCCATCGGCCATAATTTGACGTTGAAAATAATGGCCGAGCTAAAAGCATTGTAATCAGCAATAAGTTATCACCAATCACATTGAAATATACAGTGGTCTCTCTATGTAGTGAACCATCTGTATAAGCAACTCTCCTTATAGTAAACAAGAAATCTGGTCCCGCCAAGTCAATTTGCACTAAAAAGTCTCTCTGTAAAGACAACACCCCTTATAGTAAACACAAAATGTCGGTCCCTTCGGGTTGTGTCATAAAATTATTATGAATATTAGTATTATTAGCTAGTTACAGTATATAAAATATTTATTTATCCAAAAATATAAAATACGACCGATCCGCGGTATAGTTGGTTAGAGACTTCAGTTTTTGGCCAAATCGGCCTAACTATAAACAGTTTTTGCAAGATAAAAAAGACCTTCTTTGTTGTGGATCGGTTCTATATTTTTGTAAACATGTTTTTGTATTTCTTAACTCGCAACTTCGCGACAGGTTGCTTATATAGAGAGAGTACTGTATTTGAAATTTCGTTATAACCTTTACTTACGAGCATCTGAAGGTTTGATATACTTTGGTGGTGGTTGTCTTAAACTGTGCATTCCTGCTAGTGGGATTGGTTCTGAAAGTTGTCAATCACATCATAGAGGTATACATAATATCATAATTTACAATATTAAAACAAATATGACCAATTCCAAACTTACGATTGAAATTGACACTGTCAACAGAATGATTTCTAGTGTGGTATCCGAGTACTTCTGAATTCTGTCGCGAATGCCTTGAAAAAGGTCTGTCAGTGTCGTAAACATTATTAGGTCTGACATATTGGGGATGATAGCTGGCATTCTGGTACCGATTCTCAAACTTTTCGTACCGGTCGTTCTGCTTGTTGTCGTAGTTGTCTTTAGGTAAAAGACCCGTGATTGGAGTTGGCTTGTAGATGCCTGGAGGCAGCACTTTTGGTCGTTTGGCTCCAGCTAGGTACTCGTACTCGTGGCGAGGTTGTGGTCGGGTTTCTGAAACAAAAGTATATATATTCTCCTTAAACTTCGTATTCTAATATCAAATTTAGCAATAACTTTTAAAAAATTGTATTTTAGGCTCAACAACTCGATAAAGAAAATATTAGCCACCAGAACCAACAATAATATGTTTACCTTCTTCATAAGATCGGCAACTGTATCTTTGTCGTGGAGGACTGTGAGAAGCCACATCGACGGGTTTAACCGCGACTCTTTCAACTGGTACAATAGGTACAGCTTGAGCTTCCGTTTGAACTGAAGCTGTTTGAACGTTGTCAGTACGACGTACTGAATGTGGAGTGCTGGGAGCTGACGGGTTCTTAGACGTTTGTTTTTCTGATTGTGTGTATGTTGTTGTCGTCTGTAAATAAGCACAACAAAATGTTTTTTGAACAAAATATGTTATTTTAGGTACTATCAAGTGAGAATAATTTTTTTAACATTTTCTTTAAACCTTTTTTGGTGTTTTTAATTAAACTTACATGAACAATATATTCATTGCGTCCAGTCCGATCATGATCTTCAACATCAACAACTACTGGTCGTATATCTTGTGTGATAATTGGAGTAACTTCTTCAGCTTCATCAGCTATGATCTCCGAATGATAAGCGTCATTCCGATCAACTATAATAGGATCATTTCCCACAAAACCAGCGGTTGGCTGATACTTGGTATCTTCTGCTTTCTCTGTAGTATCCACATGAATTGGACCCACGTATCGTATGTTGACATTATGATGACTATCTCTTCTGCTCGTCTCTTGTTGTGAACCTTGAACTCCATTAGAATAAGGTTTGGTATCTTGCACTCCATTGATATTGTGATTAACGTGAAGAATGTGAGTGTCGCGACCTCTGTCGCTGTTCTGAGTTGTTAGTGGGACATGTTTAACTTCAGTCTCTTCCCCCACAACACGTTCAACTCCATTACCTACAACTTGTGTCTCCACCACCTCACTGTTTGTAACTCCGGTTATCTGAGAACGGCTGTAATTACTGCTTTGTCTAGTAACTTGGTCATGGTTGTTGTTATAGATGATAGGTTGATCCACATGAGCAGCATTCACAATGGCAGCAATTGAGAGTTTGGACTTTAAAGTGTCGTTTATGTTGACAACTTCCTCCAGATTCTTCAACGCTTCAGCAGAATCCGAGATCAGAAGTTGGTTCTCAGCATCTTCTATCTGAACCTTGAACGATTCTTTCAGTTTCCGGAGTAATTCGAGGTAATTCTTAGCGAAATAGGCGTATCTTTGGCAATATTGCTTCTGGGCCGTTTGGTATCGATCGGTGTGATATAGAGCTAGATGAGCAGGATTCTGAAAATTAATTTTTTATGTACTGAATTTTTATTAAGATGATTATTTTTATCATTTAACAACCGTATTCAAAGCTTCTTTTTAACTTCTGAATGTTGAACAAAAAATAAAGTTTGTTTTTAATATTCGAAGCATTTGCATTTGCTTGCGTTTGCTATCAATTAATTGAGAAACCAGCCCAAATGCTTGTTAGATGACTAAAATGTTTGTTCAAAGCTTAACTGCACTTACATGGTTCTTCTTACTGTTTTTGGCGACAATCTTCTCCTCTTTGAAATAACTGTGAGTCATCTTCTTGACTCTGTCCTTCTCCGTGTAGCCGAATCTGACGATGGCCTTCAGAAGATAGATAAAGTGTTGGAACTGAAATATGATGGTCATAGATTTCATCTTTACATTTAAAATCAAACTTTTTTTTATATTTTCAAGTTCAAAACACAGTGAACCTACCCATTTCTCCTGATGGGTTTGAAGTTTCTCAAAAACAGTCACAATGTCAGTCAGTTCTTTACAAAACTGATTTGCCTGTTCCAATTCACCGTGACCGGATTCTGCCAGAATCCGAAGTGATTTCAAATGAGCTTCAAATGCCTTCTGATATTCTGAAATTACAACAAACTACGATATTAAAGTACTGTATTTAAATTTGAAATTACAAAACGAAGGAACTGAAGGTGTATTAAAACTACCATTTTTAATTGTAAAAATAATATTTATAGTTATTCAAACACATAATTTAAAGGCAAATATGGTTAACTTAGAAACAATACCTCTGTGACATTCTTCAAGTGTAGTACCAGTTTGTCCGACATCTTTTACAGCTGAAAAAAAGGTACAACGATATTAATCAAGCAACAAGAGATGAAAAAATTTATGTAAATGTCAAAACCTAAGTGATTATAAATGAGAGCTGCTTCTTTAAACTAACGTAACAATGAAAATCTGAAATCATACTAAATAATTCAAATGAAAATATTTTAGTTTAAAAAGAGTGCGTATCTTCAATATTTTAGAAGTTTAAGGGCGATTCTGTTGATTTTACAACAATTTTTGAAAAAATTAATAAAAAAACAAATTAAAACTTTCAAAAAGTTTAATTTTCAAGGCCTACCGGGAGCAAACGAGGTCTCGAGCACGCGGAGCAAGTCAGGAGCGGCGAAAGCGTCGGTCATGTTTCAGCCCAACTTACAAAAGTGTAGTCGCAAGTTGAAGTCGGCGTTGCGGCCTTATCAATTTAGCACACCGCACCTCTTTCATTCCGTTATAAAAATTTGTTTGATATGTCCTGCCTTGAGCATTTTATGTATTTATCACAAACATCGGGCTGCTCTTCGATTATTTCTGTGGAATTTCCATTTTTCGTATTACAAACATTCCGCGAATTATTTGGCGTTAAGTTTGGAATTTGAAATTTAAAAGTTGGATTTTAAATTCAAATTTTAATATTACATTTTTAATGTAGGTTTATTTTTGTCAAAAAGTATATAGACGAAGCAAACCTCGCTTTCCACCCAAGTTATCTTCACTGATTTATTGTTGAAGCCTATCTCAAAGCTTTCAAAGCAGGTATAGGAGTTGAACAAGAGGCCTTAGTCTTTTTCCTTAATTTCCATTTATTTATTAACCTTTAATTTCAAAATAAGATCACCACAACCTAAAATAAATCAAAATGTACACATTTCTGGTTACTTTTTAACCGTAGACAAACAAGTCATCCGATATCGTTAAATTTTTTAAAGAAGTCAAATCAACAACAATCGAAAGGTTAAGGCACGATGAGAAAAGTGAGTTCATGTTACGAAAAGAATAATGTCAGAAGTTGAGAAGAGTGAAAGAAAACAATAGATTGGTCAGATACCAATAAGGAAATTTTACATAACGTTTCGTAAAAAAAAACTTCATTTACGTTAACCATGATGAACCCTCATTGATATCTGACCAAGTTAATAAAAAATTGAAATAACATGTAGACAAACGTGAATAATATGAATCGAAAACAAGTATAATATGATATTTAAATACTGTTAAACTGTAAAAATACTTTGTTATTACTGAGCGACAAAGATGTAGGCTTCGCCAAAGGTGAACGCAACTCCACATGCAATACCTGAAATTTTAAAATTAGTTTAATATAAAATGTTATTTACAACAGTCTTTAAAGCCAGTATTTTACCCAACTTCTCCCTAATATAACCAATATAAAAAATTGAAAAACTCGATATAGCATGCAGTACTAAAGTTAGGTCCTTACCGAGTACCAAGAAGAAGGCCGACATCATGCCAGCAGTTCTGGCCGCCGAGTTTGGCACTCCACGGGGTGCATACATCATTGACAATGAGCTGAAGTATCCGTGAGTCAGACTCATGAAAGTGATCATGCCAATAAATACCCATTCGTTCTCAATGTAAACTGGTCCCAATCGCTTCACTCCACCGTAGTTACAGTACCAGAAGAAGGGCAAGAAGGCTAGTCTAGCAATGGTGAACGAGATCAGGTGTTTATGACCAGGGACTTGGATATAGTTGGCAATAATGTTACCCACAGTAGCAAAGACGTTGAAGTTGAGGAAAACGACGATGGGACTGAACAGGTACTTAGGGATGAAGAAAGAATATTGTTGGCCTTCTGGAGTGATGTCGACGGCGTTAATGACAGCCGGGAATAGGGCCAAAGTGACGAAGAAAGTCAAGAAAACGCTCAGCATTTGAACCCATGCCTAAAATCAGCTTTTTAGTAATGTATATCGTGTAATACTTTACGAGGTGAAGTGCACAATATTTAAAATAAAATTAAAACATACGTGTTTCAATACAAATTTGATGTCATCCAACTTGAGTCCTTTCTCTGTGGATTCAGCTTGAGATCTGGAAGCTTTAGCCTTCTGGACATAGAATTCGTAGAAGCCCTAAAACCAATACAATAAGCAACAAGTCAACGCACAATAATTGTATACAATATGTTATGTACACATATTATTAAACCATGCACAACATTTTTACCATAATTACATAAAGCAACCCAAAAGTAACCAACTCTGCAATAATATACATAACATTTAACTTACCAGTTTAGGTAGATAGAAGAAAGTAGCCAAACACAGAAGAACAGTCAGTAATGCCACCAAGAAGTATGCAAATGCAACCAGTTTGACATTTCTGCTTAAAGACAAAGTGAAGATCAAGATCAAAGTGACGAAGATACCACAAGTGTTGTTACCAATTACTACGGCGTTAGTAAAATGAGCTGGGAAATCAGCCAAAATACCATAAATACTGTTCTGATATACACCATTAGCACTGTTCAAGATGATTACAGTAAACATTGTAAAGAGGAAGAAACCGAACATCCCTGAAAATGGCTTTTTTTAAACTATATTAAATAACATGTCTTTACCTAAAAATGTCATTAAATGTAAAATTTCTTGAAAATATCTATTAATATTACCTAAATTTAAAGTTTTTCCTCAAAATCGTCTTTAGAAGCTAATACAATTAACAAATCGCCCTAAAAAGCCAATAGGAATCTAAACTTACATTCATGAGTAGGTACAAACACAAAGATGATGGTAGTCAAGCAGATTGTAGCCACAACAAACAAGGAGTAGATGATACGAACACTCAGATCTGCTTTCAAAACAATAAACAAGTTCAAACAGTTCAAGATCAAGTTGGGTAGTTGCGAACAGACTCCAAGGTAACTGAAGAAGTTCTGTGAGTAATTGGGTGCTGGAGCAGTGACATTCAGTGGATGGAATTTGTAGCCCATGAAATACTGTAACAAAAAGTATAATAATTATTAAAAATAATATTTATTTTTATATAAACAAATATAAACTCTATCAAAAATAATAAATAATAAACTTTAAATGAAGATACATCACCGTAAAACACATTCATAGCTACAGTCATAAGCATAGATAACATTAACTTACATCTGGAGCAATAGTCAAGAACATATTCCACGGCATAAGAGTACCAATGCCATGAAGTACGAAGATCCAGTAGACCAGACTGGCCGTCTTCTTCTGTGTGTCATCTGGCTCACTCTTTGTGTTACTTGAAGATCCATTCGGACTTGATGGTACAAATGGTGTCCGTTCTTCTACTATAATATCCGAAAATCATTACGTATCTTAGACAAAATAAAGGTGTCATACTAACAGACTCTGAAACCTTTAAAACAACTTTTCAATCTTATTACACTTCTCAGTATGATTCAGTATACTTAAATCACAATATCATAATAAGCCTAAAGTTTTAAGTAACAATCACAAAAAGTTTTAAAAAAGGACCAACTACTGTAACACAAAACTCAAATGTGTGAAGCAACAAATTACAATTGATAAATCAAAAGTTACCTCTGAAGACTGAGCACAAAAATTTAACGAACTTCATGATTAGGTATTAGTGAGCATTTCAAACGTTATCTAATGTTAAAAGCCCGCTGTGCAATCAAACAGAACAATACACCATTAATTTCATCTGGCCTACCTTCAGACACAAATTATTGACAAAGACTTAAAGGTCAAAAAAGGTGTTTTAAGTATCATATTAAGATTCAGAAACCTTGCTATTTATATTTTGGTGTGGATGAATAATCTAACATTCAAGAGTGTTATGAGTGATTGTTCATGTTAATCACAAGACATTTGGCACACTAGAAGCCAACTAGTGTCAAAGTAGACAGCTTCATCTTCAGCTTTTTACTTTGATAAAAAATTTGTTACCTAAAAATATAAAACACTATAAACCCTTACCTGATACATTCACCGACACCTCATTGGCCACAGCTGCATTCTCGGTCATCCTTCTAAAGGCCCCGTACTTGGCAACGGTCAAGTCTGAAAGCAAGTTCAAGGATTCAGCTGAACATCGAGCGGGTAGTATAATATTCCGAAAGGACATTGAATGGACATTATATCGTCGCAAAAAAAACACGCACAATATTGTTAGTTATCAGTAGACCTTTTGGAAGTAGAGAACAGACACTTTTTGATATTACTCAAGTCTGGCGACGATAAGAAACCACTATACTATTATCTATGATGTACTATGTTAACGATGCAAAAGTTTAAAGGTACATCGACAAAATCGACCCAAACTTGTACTCTATAATACATTATAGTACACTCCTACTCTTAAAAGGATATCTTTGTAAAATACTAACAGTAACATAGGCATTCGACACTTCAAAAATATAAAACCTCAATTTAAACCCCACAAACCTAAACCTTTACTTTTTACTAAAAAGTTTAAGATAAATGCTCGCCCTTTATAACACTTCATGTCAAATAGAACCTAAACAAGCCACAAAATAAAGAAACACTCATTCACTGCCATGAATAAGATTTATTCAGGTGAAAGACACAAAACAAGAAAAAAAAATGTTTTTGGAAATTTATTTTTAAAAATGGCGCCAAAATTGCTTCGAAACAGAATTTCTTGCGAATTTTTAGACGAAATTTAGCCCGCTGAATAATAAATTTGTTTTTGAAATAATGGGAAGATGTTTTGCCATAAACAAGGTGAGTAGGATACGAATACCATGTGAGAGATAGTGAGATGTTTTTGAAAAGCGAAAGAATAATATGTTTTTGGATAAGCTTGTTATTCAAAAAGTGTTGTAAGAAGCAAAGATTAGTCTTTTAGCAAGAAAAGAGCTGTAAATTGTACACAAGTCACCAATAAATACATTAGCGAGTAATGTATTAGGACTTAATTTTTGGCCAGTTATTTTGGACAGAGGCTAAATTAAGGTTTTACTTCAAGGTAAGTGTGCCATTTTTTGTTTTGAAGAAAGTTGTAGTATGTCAAAAGTAATTCTCTAAAACCATAAAATGTTTTTTTTTGTTTTGCGAAGATAAGTGGACGTTAATAACTTTTGAAATGATAATTAGGCAATTAAAATAATAGAAAAGAGTTGAAACGGAGCCAAATGTTTAAGTTTGGTATAATCAAACACGGAATTGGAATATTTGTGGTGGCAAATATCGGATCTGTTGTCTAATACCTTTGAATATGAAACGCAAACATTTCAATGTATTATTTTTGAGATGGATAAACTTTGCAGACTTTACTAATTGAAAATTAGCGCGTTCAAGATTGGCTATAATGTTGCAAAAAAAATATTTTTTGTAAAAATTAGTGTGGCCTCACCTTGGGCTTTAGAAATATTAAAATACAATAAATGCCTAGTCTGAACTTTATTTGTATGAAGTTTCACTTTGCTGCCCGTAAAAGTTAGTAAATTATTAAGCTGTTAAGTCCCTTTCACCTCCCCTTAGTTTAAAATGCAAGCCTAACTTTTGAACTGAAAAATTAGTTAACAAACCTAAAAATCGGCCAAATAGGAAACTATACTTTTCAAACTGGACCTAAGATTGGCCATGATAGCCCTTAAAGTGATTAAATTCATTAAGACACTCTATAAATTAAACTAAAACGGCAGACGAACACTTGGCCCACCCCTTTCTGCCCTAAAGAATGCGAAACTTGGCCAACTTTCCAAAAAACAAAAAAATGACAATATAATTGAGATAAAAGAGCGATCTTATTCAGCCGTATGTCTGGGACATTCGATCGAAAAGTGCGACGCGCTTTTATAGCGGACAATGTCGGCGACAGGTCAGGTCTTTTCGAACATTATACTTGAGACAGGGCCTTTACACATAGATTATACCGTATTATGTTTCGAATTCAGTCTGGGTTTTGTTGTTAAGACGAAGTTCTGGGATTTGTTTTTGTATAAATTAAAAAAACAAAAGTTTGGGGGAGATTTTGTACTATATGTTATTAAAGATAAAGGGAGGAAAGTTGGAACATCAGTTTTTAAAGATTGGAAAGTTATGCTCATAAAGTAGTCAAAATGAGTTTGTTACAGTACCAGCGAGCTTTTTAAAGCCTTCATACTTATTTCAAAGAACCATCCCTCTCTTCAGGAAGTAATTTGAAAAGTTTGAAGCTCCCCCCCCATCCCTATAATTTTTTTTAAAAATTTTTGTCCAAGACACAATATCCAGCTACTGACACTATGTTCGTCTATTATTCCTGCTTTATACAAATTGAATTGACAGAAAAAAACATTAAAAAACGTATCTCGAATATTGTCAAAAAATGCATATCATTATAAAACAATATAATGTTATGGTTATAAAAAAGAAGAACGCGATTAGAGAAAAGTAATAAAGTAAGCAAAAAAAAGTTTTGTACAATCAGCTTTTTTTTAAATTTATAAAAAATGAAATAATCTGTTTGTAATGAGGTGCCGAATTGCAAAAAAAACTTTAAAAAAAAGAGTGATTTATTGCTAGGTTATTATAGGGACAATGATAAGGGGTTGATTTTTGGATATTTTCTAAAGGTGGCCAAAGTTATGGCTATTATTTGATTGTGACCCCTTCCCCTAATCCCCTTCAAACATAAAATCAAAATTACTCTGCCCTAACTCCAAATTAACTTTATCTCTCTGACAATCTCCCACCTGTAATTAAACTTTTAAACTTTAAACCCCGCCGGCTTAAAACCACCACTCTGTTTAGCTGGTCGATTCAGAAGCCTTTTGAACGTCGCTTATCATAATGATAAGTGGCGGGAAACTGCAAAATATAAATATTTATTGGCGTTTAGATTAGCAAAGATAACACTTGGGAAATTACATCGTTGCAAGATGGCGCCGGTTCTTGAAGTAGAGTCCGAAGCGGTCTTCAGCGTACGTCTGAAAATGATTTATGGACTTGATTATGAACAACAAAAAGTGGGACGGGTTTCACACTTTCGGGTGATTAGTCAAGTGGTTGGGAGTCATGTATGAGAGTAATATTGGAGTCAATATGAAACCTCATATTACTATAAAACAATAAAAAGGTATATCGAGAAACTTCATTTTGATTCAAAACACCTTTACAGGGTGTTTCACCATATTTTGTTTGTAGAAACGAGTTATATCTTTGCAACTACATGTGCTATAACTCTAAATTTTGGTACACTGGTAGTAGAGACTGGTACAATTTTTTGTGCAAAATTTTGGATTTTTTAAGTGCTTTTTAAGGTCGTCATTAATTTTTGAAAATGAGCATTTTTCGCCAAAATACACATATTTTCGGTTGAAAATGCTTTTTTTACTCAAAATTTTTCTAAGTTTTCAATTCTTTTGATACAAATCGCATTTTCAATGTTTTCAAAGACTTGGCGGAGACCCGGCGGACGCCTAAATTTATCGGCGGAGGCTATAACTTGCTTCAAACATAACGTAGCGGCGTGAAACAAAAAGCATTAGTTTTAAAATTATCAGGCCCATCTTCACTGACGCTAAACTTGTTTGAAAATAACTCTAAATTAAAAATTCACAAAAAAGTTAAATCAAAAGATATTAACGTTCAGCAATAGACGCAGTTTTAAAAAATTTTACTTATGTTCAAAAGTTATGATAAACTCACTTTCTTCAAAAGTTAAACCGCAAATATATCACATGTTGTATCTTGTTAGTTTTTTTCTGTTATTAAGTAAACTAAAAGATGAAATACGTTAAAATTTTTTTAATTTTTTGTGTTTTAAAAACTTTGAAGCCAAGCGTATCAGTGGAGATTGCCCTGATAATTTTAAAACTAATGCTTTTTGTTTCACGCCGCTAAGTTATGTTTGAAGCAAGTTATAGCCTCCGCCGATAAATTTAGGCGTCCGCCGAGTCTCCGCCAAGTCTTTGAAAACATTGAAAATGCGATTTGTATCAAAAGAATTGAAAACTTAGAAAAATTTTGAGTAAAAAAAGCATTTTCAACCGAAAATATGTGTATTTTGGCGAAAAATGCTCATTTTCAAAAATTAATGACGACCTTAAAAAGCACTTAATAAAATCCAAAATTTTGCACAAAAAATTGTACCAGTCTCTACTACCAGTGTACCAAAATTTAGAGTTATAGCACATGTAGTTGCAAAGATATAACTCGTTTCTACAAACAAAATATGGTGAAACACCCTGTAAAATACCTAAAAATCAAGCCCTTACCTTATACCCAAAGCTGATCGGTGATGTTTCCCCCATGTAAAGTGACCAAATTGCCCAAAGGAAGTCAGAAATAGGCAAGAACGGTAACGTCTCATCCAGAAGCTCTCGTACTTCAGAATCCTTTGGCTCTTGATTATGATATTCCTTGAGGTAGTTGCGACAGAAGTTGAGCATATGAGCTTGATCCAACTCTTTGTCATAGTAAACTTCGTAGTAGGGATAATCCGGCTGGGTATAGTTTATGACATGCTCGTTAAAATGGTTGGCTATGTCGTGGCCTCTGAAAATATTGTGGTATGAGTCACGGTGTATTTACTATAACTTCTCTCCCTGGCCTTTAAGGAGCAGGAGGAAAGAATGTAATAGTGATCATTACCAATATAATGGTTCCCCTATTAGTAAGAATAAATAACTACTCTTATAACTTACCGATAGTTGTAGCAAGCGTATTCAAAGTCAATGAACGATAACTTTTTTCCTTCATGTTGAGGTTTATCGACCAGTAATATGTTATTCTCTTGTAAATCGTTATGACAAAACCTTACTTTACTTTTCGTTTTTGTTAAGGCGTTTCTGAAAATAAGATGTTAAAATACGCCTACCTCTACTATTATCTACTTTTTACTTACCTATTATTAAAGTAAAGATATCTACAAAAGTTAGACCTACTATCATATCTAAGTTTTTGCAGATGCAACTAACAAAAACATATATAAAGTAATCAATGATGATATAGTTTTAAAGATAAATCATACCTTATGAACTCTATTTCCTTTTTAAGCTCTTCTTTTCCTATCGTAAGCTCATTCTTGTACACTTTTGGTAGTTTTACTTCTATCTTTCCTGACTTTCGGTCCATTACTTCAACGTATCGTTCGAACCATCTAAAACCGAATTTTGATAAAAATGAGTTTGTTCATATTGGCTTGAAATATTAAGATTTTAAAATTCTAAATTGCAACTTAAACTAACATACCTATCTATACAGTCCATGATAAAAGTAGGTTCTTTGTCAATTGGAGCACTAATTTTATGAATTCTGGCCAACTTTTCAGCGATTTCTTTGCTAAACTCGTTGTTCCACAACTCGAGAGTAGTCAACGGTCTGGACTAAAAGTAGCATTACATTATCTGACTTTACATGATACCATTACTTTTCTTTATCCAGTACTAGTATTCATCTAGGTATCAAAAACAATAAACCAAAGACTTACCGGTATAAACTCCTCCAGCCTTCCCTGCTCGAAAACTCCATAAAGTTTCGGACCGATCTTCTTTTCACTCAACTGACTGAAGATGACACTTTCAGTTAGCCATTGGCTAGCGCCATCTGGAGAAAAGTTGATTCGGATCAGAATCTGATTCGGAATGCGACGATGTTGTTCTGCATGGTCTACACTAACCAGAAACAGTAAATTAGAAGTGCCTCCAGTGATTTGCTTCAATTTTACATTTTCCGATGAAGCTGATGACCATTGGTTTGCCAGGAACTTTTTACACAATGTGTGGGCAGCTTCCTTGACCTTGTGGTTTGAAGAATAATCTGAATCTTGAGGTAGGGCTAGGAGCAGTTCGCGCATTTTTACAAGAAATAGTTATCTGAAATCGTTTTTAATGTGACTTCTTACCTAAAACAACTTTCTACAAAATTTTTTGTGAAATTGTCTGTAAAATTTGTTACTTAAAAAATTTTTTTTAATTTTGGCAAATCGAATTGTTTTCACAGTGATATCGCATAAATTATCGTTTATATGACGTATAAGATATCATATTTAAAAAATTGGCGCTAAAAGTCGTCGAAAAGGTACTTACAGATTTTAGGTAACAAAGACTTTTTATAAAAAATTGTTACGAAATTTCAAAAACATGCTTAAATACCATCATAAATGACATTTCTATTTAACTGCAACAAATAAAATGTTGTTATCTACTTTGGAAACAGAGTAAAATATATTTTAAGACCTGAAACTGCTAAATTTCAAATTTTTGGCTTAAAAACTGATTAAACTTAAGTGAAAAAAATAAAAATAGGAGAACTTACAAAATATCTGACAAAATAAAGAGAATTTGATACAAAGGTGTCCAGGTGTAGCCGAATAATCCGAAAACTGTTCTCTGAATTCATTTTTGTTTCGATCAGATAATCATAAATTCCGCGCTTTTTATTTATGAACAAAAAAAGATTTTTATAAGATTTTGTGTAGAATTTGTAAAATTCACACAATTTTCGATTGAATACAAAGGGATTCTTAAAAAGTATAGGAAAAGGGCATTAAGAATAAATTTGACATTTTTTTAAATTGCACCGTGCAGAAAATGCTAAAATTTACGGAGAGACGGCAAATGCCGTTAAGGTTTTTCCTAGATTATCGACCAAACTGATATGAGCCTTCATTTTAAGAACAGACTAAACTATTTCCGAACAAGTAGACAGTAACAAAGCTCCAAAACAAGTAGTCAGAAGTAAAGCTAGATAGCTGTTGGACCAATGTAATGCTTACGTTTAGTCACCACAAAACGAAAAAACTATTAAGGAAGTGTTTGTACAGCTAGGCTTACAAAACAAGGCGTAGAAAATAACAAAGTCTACAAAATTTTTAAGAGATTTCTTACAATAACTTGTGACTGTTGCTACTATAACATAGTATAATTTATAAATCGACAAAAGTTGTAAAATTGATTAAATTTTCTTTTAATGATCAAAATTTATTAAATTTTAAAACAAATTTTAAAAACTACTCATCATGAACTACTATAAATTTGTAAATTACAAGACATTCATATCTGAAATACAGATATTTCCCTTCAATATAGTAACATTATAAACCCAAAAACGAAAAAAACTAAAAGAACTTCCTTAACGGAACAAAATTACACCTGCTCAATTTGTAATGTCCTTCTTTGAAAGGCTTAAATAAACTTTACAATGTTCGTATGTCTCTTGTAAGAGGTGAAAGCGACGAAAACCGATAAGATTAAAATTTATGAACGATCTTTCCAACAATTATGCGTTTATTATTATTAATGTGTTCTATTGCGATTCGTGTATAATATGCGACAAGATTGGGCATAGTGATTTTGAGTTTATACTGAAAGCTAGAACTGCGAAGTAGAGGTGCCGGGCCTTCATTTGACCCCAGCCCACAAGTATTGACTCAGCCTCTTTCAAATTTAATTCAGCCGGCCCGGGCCTAGTAAGCGAGTAGATCTTTCAGGTCTACCTAAAGGTCGACTGGTAGTTAAAAAAACTAAAATATAAGCTGCAAGAGAACGACGCTTTCAAGGGAGGTGGACAGGGTGAAGGGAGGGGGGATATTTTTACCAAAAAATTTGAAAAAGTTAAATCTGACTCCGCTTGTTAATTAAAAAAATAAAAAAGTTAACAGGCAGGGGTAGTTACAAAGTTCTTTTTAACCCTTACTCTCCTAACCTTTTTAGCACCTAAAGGTGGCTTCACAGTATTAATGCATTGGAAACTAAACCTTCAACATAAATATGAAATAATCAAACTTTTACAGACTATGATTCAAGGTATTGAACACAACACACAGGATGAATCATTATGGTGTTACTTATGCAAATCCCCAAAGTTTCCACAAAATTTTCAAAAACCTCAAAAGCAATTTAAAAAACTTTACAACTTTCTAACAAACAACAAAAACATTGTTGATCATGACACAATTGTAAAACATTGGCAACATCCACCCCACGTTCCAATTAGCTGTGGATGATCATGGCTGTTGGAAAAAGGCAGCGCCAAATCCGTTTTTTCCTTCCGCCGCTTAAACAGCCAGCAGGTTTGGTTGGGAGGTGAGAGAGCTCTCCAGTTGACGAAATCACAATAGTTTATTATCGGTTCGAACGTGAGTTGAGACCGTCTACATGCTCGGTCTACTCGCTGTGCTGGTCTGCTTCTGTTGTTGGGTGGTGGCCGATCAGGTAAGTAATGTCTTCTTCTAAGGTGTGATGGCACAAAATGTCATCATTTTTAAAATACGGCGAAGCTCTTGAATAACGAGTTGTTTGAAGATTTTAAGTTTTTTCGTTATACAGGAGCTTGACTGTATGTCTTTAGTCATCTTATGTCACTGTAAGTTTAGTTTATACTGACTTGAATTAGTGTTTTAAAGTATCAATCTATATTGTTCATGGCATCATTTGGCATAATTTAATGAATTGACGTCTTATATTTCGAAGTTTCAAAAGTACTCATAGCACGTACTTTTAAATGATATGCTATGTATGTCGTATTTTACCTTTATGATGATTTTCTATCTACTTTTTGACCAAAAAATCATTTTCTATTAATTTATAACAAATAGTCAATTTCAGGAAACTTTTAAAAATTTTAATTAATTTAAAAATTTTAGTTTATCGACAAAACAGTGCCTGAAGGCGAGACAGTCTTATCAGAATTCGACTTTTTGCAAATCCGACAGAAGCGGCAACAAGAAGATGAGGTCATCGATGACTCCGCCATGTATAACAAAGACCGATTTGAGGGTGATATAGGTATGTTCTTACATTTCATATATCAACAAAGATCGGTTCATAGTTCATATAACCCATGTTACACTTTAGTGGATGACAGTTTGGTCCGTCTGAAAACTTGAACTATGACGCACGATTTACCGTGGTATTTCATTGTTTTTACATTTACCGTGGTATTTCCTTGTTTTTAGGTTACAGCTTGTTATGAGTAGAAAAGTTTTTAAAAAAGTATTGTCGTTTTCAACTGTGAAAGATACAAATTGACGACAAGACTTTATTTTTAAATTCAAAATGTAGATTTAATTTTGTTCATGTTGTGCTTGGACCATCACTTGAACTTTGAATGTTTTAGTGACCTTGATCTCGCCTTCCTCAAAGCCCTCGGGCACTCCCGCCGTTTATTCAAATTCGTCGTATTTGATGAGGAATGCGGTGCGACAAACATACCTAAAATGGCCAAACGGACGTATACCATACACAATATCGACTCAGTATACCACTGTTGGGTAAGTTAAAAGAAATTTGAATAACTTAACATAAAGTTAGTTGATCATTTCATATTGTCTCAGTTAGAGCAAGACTTTTAGTTTTAAAATTTTAATTTTGAAAAATTTAAAATTTAAAGTCTAAAAATTTAAATTTAAACCCTCTCTGACAACCTAAAAGTTACAAACTCCCATTAATCCGAATGTATGTCATGTTAATATTACACAATAGACATGTTGTTTGTCATAAACTAGTTTCAGCAGACCTTGACATGATCTCCTTTCTTCTTACTATCATATTATGTTATCCTTTTGCGTTTTTTGGAAGAGCGCTTTGCATAAAAATGATCGGTTGAATCAGAAAGTCTTGTAAAGGATCAGCTGTACAAAACAAAAAAAAAACAAAAACTTTACAGACTTTAAAGGATATTAGCATAAAAAGTAGAAACGAGCTAGGGAATTAATCCCGGTTGGCGCAAACTTTTTTGCCGAAAATCGCCATATTTTAAGTAAAAGTAAAACTTTTTCATTTTTAAAGGTCTTTGAAAAATAAAACATAATAAAAACAGCAAAGTCGTATTTAAATAAATATTTACATTTTTAAAATTGTCGTTTTACAAGATTCATAAATAGCGGAACACTTGACCGAAAAAATTGTGAAACATGACCCCAAATATATTTTTGGCTAAATTGATGAAAATATTTAGCGTTCTATGATAACGAATTTCTGTCTGAAATTCAATTGAGTTTTGAATCTTTTTGATGTATATGCTTCTTGTATTATTGTTTTTTTCAGTCGGCAAAGGATAGCTGCGGCGATCGACGAGTATCATCAACGGACATGCATAAAGTTTGTGCCAAAAACAGCGACAGATTTGGACTATGTTCACATTCTGCCAGAAGAAGGATGCTATTCGTTAGTTGGGAAAGTTGGTAAGCTTTTAAAATTACATTTTTTGGTAAAACATGGATAATATAAGTGTATTCTTATTTTTTAACATAATATATTAACATTAGCATAACATAATATGTATTAAGGATTACTTTTCAGGAGGAAAACAGCCTGTAAGTCTAGGTAACGGATGTATTGTCAAAGGTATTATAATCCACGAGCTAATGCACGCTGTCGGCTTCTTCCACGAGCAAAGTCGTGCTGACAGAGATAACTATGTGAGGATAGTCTGGACTAATGTGGAGCCAGGATTACAAGATCAGTTCGACAAGTACTCATTGGCCATGATAGATCATTTGAACACGGAATATGATTATGGATCAGTTATGCATTATGGGCCTACGGCTTTTTCGAAAAATGGAAAAACGACAGTCGAGCCAGTTCTACCGACCAATCAGAGGATAGGCCAGAGAGTGGGGTTCAGTCAGAACGATGCCAACAAGATCAACAAGTTGTACACATGTGAACCTAAAAGTAAGCTTTTGCTTTGTGATGTGGAGGTATAGCGACATTGGTTATCATTTTTTGATTTGTTTTTAAAATTGAACCTACTATAACATCAGGAAAAGCAAGTTTTAGAACTTTTTTAGAATAAAATCAACTTTCGTAGAAAATTTTTCACACTGTCATTTCTACTAATAACATCATTATATCCAGCCCAATCCAGTTCAGTAGCCTTTGGTGGTGTTCCAGTATCTCTCTCCGCCCTACCAGACAACACCATACAAGCAGCTTGTAACGACCATCGTCGTGACTGTATTTTCTTGGCCGAACGTGGTCATTGTACCTCATCTTATGCTCAATTCTTCATGTCAGAGAACTGTCCTCGAAGTTGTGGCCAATGTGTTGACAACAGTGTCAGGATACCTGTGTGTCAAGATACGAAGCCGTGGTGTGAACGGTGGGCTGAAGGTGGAATGTGCCAGTTGTTCTTGTTCTCCGGATATATGAAAAGTAACTGTGCCAAGAGTTGTGCGCAATGTTAAAGTATCTCTTTGAAAATACGGTGTAAATCAAGTTCTTTCTATTTTTTAAGATTTATTATTATATTATGGTAGTTTTTATGTGTTGTTTTTGGTGAATCCTAAAGCTATTGGGCTAAATTTGTAAATAATATAGCAATTTTTGCGTTTTATAATGTTAATATAAGATTTTTGCTAATTTCCTCAATCTTATTTTGGCTAAAACCATCATGGTGATTACCTTTTCCCAATTCTTTTGTCTTATTCTTCTTATTCGCTGACTCACTGTAAGTATTGTGTTGTAAACGCGTTGTAACAGTCGATAAAAGTTCGAAAACAAATCGGAAGGACATGTGAATCTCTTAACGAAATTTTAAAACAGTTTTTGATCAAGATTTCGGGGCGAGCGACTGATAACAGCCCACCGTCTTGTTTGACTTGTCAGACAGTTCGAGAACAAAGATGTGGCCTCGGACGGTCGCTCTTCTGCTTCTGCTGACCGTTGGCCTCGAAGCCAGGTCGTACCGCCACTTCGAGAGGTTATTCAACTCGGCCGAAGAGGATATTCATGGTCCTGTTAGCGATAAGTATGCCACTGTAAGTTTCTTTTTTATGTTTTGAGAAGAAAGAGGGGTAAGGTGGCTTTGCAGCGAGATAGCCTTTGTTTTTTACGTTAATGACCTTCAATAGCATGGTGAAAACAAGAAAAAGTTAATTTATGGGCTTTAAAATCTGAAGTTTTCTGGATTAAAGTGATTTTTAATGGATGTTACTACCTAAAATGTGTAAAAAAGTAATATTCTGTATAATTTTTACAAGAAAAATTCAAAATTATGTTTTCAAAACCCAAAACTTTTTAGAAAACCTTTGACTACCACGTAAAAACCCTGTGTCACAACGACGACGACAACTCCGTCTACCTGATCGAAGGTGATGACTGTGAGAAGAAGATTGCTCGTGGAAAGTACAGTAACCAAGTGAACGCTACAGGATGGGGTATCTTGGAAGTCGAGACCTTCCCCGAGTTCACAGATGAAGTTCAAGCTTATGGAGCTGGAGTTGTTGAGGGATCATTGACCAAACTTCAAATCTACTATCACTTCCGTAACACCATTGAAGGGCTATGTAATGGTGGTAACAGAGCCTACTGTAAGAGATTGTACAGGTACTTGAATGACAATCTCCAGTGGATTCAGAGCCAGGTTTTGAGCAACAATTTGGAGGATCCAGTGTTTTGGAAACAGGTAGGTTTGGAAATGGCACAAATTAGAAAATTATTGGTATTGTAAAATTAGGTAACAAAATTAGTGAAAATAGCTAAACATGGAAAAAATACAACTTAAAAGTATAATTTTTAGGTTAATTTAACATACACTCAAGTTACTGGCATCTACCACGGATACTCCAACAACAAGACCTTGGACCCAGCTGTGGACTTCACCATCAACCCTATTCTGTATGTTTTATTGATTGCTGCAGTGCTATACCTACTTATCATACACTATTTTATTGTACATATATTTTACTATCAATTTCATTCTGGTACTGTTTAGGATGCTCCAAATCTCTGGAGATCTCTTCGATTTGGCTCACTTTTTGAAAAAGCCAAAACAAGTAACTGACGACCCAGATCCAGGACATTGTACTGGATTGGTCAAGCTGACTGAAGGCAACAAGGACTTGATGATCTCTCACGTCTCCATGTCTGGCTACAACACCATGAACAGACTCGTCAAGTTGTACAAGTTCGCTTATGGTTAGTTTTAATTTTTTTTAATTGATAAGATGGCAATTTCCACTAGCGAACTTATAAGTTTACATTGGTATTTACGGTATAAGGCTATATATTGATTTTTAGCTATATAATATATGCTCATGTAACTTTGACATTAAATCAATTCTTTTTCAGACAAGAATGTTGTACCTGGCCATACCTACTCCTTCTCATCGTACGCAGGAGCTGTGGTGTCACAGGATGACTATACTCTTATCAGTTCGGGATTGGTAAGACATCAATTACATTAGACTTGATAAGGTTTTTTTAAACACGTTTAGAAAAAATTGATCAAAAATGCTTTTTATTACCTAAAAATAGCGAAATTTGAAACAAATTTAAAATAAAAACTTTAAAATATATTAAAATGGATCTTCTAGGCCACAATCGAGACCACGATCTCTATCTTCAATGAAAGTCTCTACACTCCCAACTACATGAACCCTAAGGGTCAGTTGTTGTGCTGGGTGAGGTCTACTATTGCCAATCAATTGGCCAGATCAGGCAAAGATTGGGTGAAATACTTTGCCAAATATAACTCTGGTACCTACAACAACCAGTGGACTGTTTTGGATTACAACAAATTTTCTCCAGGTAATTTAAAATTGTTTTTAAAATTTTTAGATTTAAAAAGGCAAAAAATATTGTAAAAGTGAAATTTCGATATTTTTAAAATTTAATTTGTTTTAAAATATGAGCTGTGCTATTAGAAAAGTTAACTCGAGTAATTTTGTAAAATCTTGCTTTAGACTGAACCTTGATATAACTGTTAATTGGCTCTTATCATTCTTTCGGTCTTTGAGTGCAAATATGATAAGAATGATTTCATTGAAGCATTGTCTGCTCATCTTCAAAAGTTGATACTATTTTTACATTAAAAACGTAAAATAATACCTGGAAACAACATTTCTCTGACCATTGTTACCTAAAACACAATTTTAGGCAAAGAACTCCCCAACAGCGACGTTTTGTGGATCCTCGAGCAAACCCCCGGCTACACTGAATCCCGCGACGTTACCTGGTTTCTCCGCAAGTTCAATTACTGGCCATCGTACAACATCCCATACCAAGTCAAGGTATCTCAAGTCAGTGGCTTCGACAAGAAAGGAGAACAACTCGACTGGTGGAGATGGGGATACTGCCCACGTGCCAAAATCATTGACAGAGATCACAGCAAGATCACTGACATTGACAGTTTGTTCAAGTTGATGCGATACAACGACTACAAGCACGATGAGTTTAGTCGATGTGAATGTAACCCACCGTACACTGCTGAAGCTGCCATTTCAACTCGTGGAGACTTGAATCCAGCGAATGGAACGTACCAAATTGATGGTATGGGGCACAGAAACCATGGCAGTCTGGACTACAAGGGCACGAACTACGAATTGTTTAAGAAACTTCAGATTCACACCGTCGGAGGACCTACTTATGATCCATTACCTCCATTCAAGTGAGTTCAAGGTTTTAGATGTGGAAAAAGGTACTTAAGTCAATAAGAATAACCATAAAAAGCGTAAGAATCAAGAAAAATAGTCTAAATTTTTTATTTTTAATATTTTTTAAATGTGACATTTCGTCGTATTTATTGATGTTTTACATTTCGTTAACAACAGTTTTTGTTCTTTTTCTAAAACAAATTTTTTGGCAATTGAATTTTAGTATAGTACTCTTTGTTATGTCTGTCATTTTTCACGTTAATTCTATTATTTTAGCTGGAACACCACTGATATTGTAGCCAACCACTACGGTCAGCCAACCTTGTGGAAGTTCGAGCCTTTTGTCACTGAATGGTCAACTCCAGTCAAGGCTGAACTTCAGAAGCCGAAAAGAAAGTCGCACTACAAAAAGTACATTGAAGATTCATCAGAATCCGCAGAATTCTTTTAAAATTTTATTAATAAATAGAGATTCCTGAGGTCACAGTAATACCGGTAGTGTAAGTGATCGAGATAATGATAAGTCATAAGTTTTGGTAAGAGTAAAAGTAGGATTAGAATGTTGAGATAGGGTTTAGTAAAGATTACATAAAGATTTTGAGGGGGTGAGTAGACGAAAGATGAGTTCATAGACCTGAACAAGAAAGGAGGAACTTCAAAAAGGCTTCTATAGCTAAAAACAGTTAAAAAGATAATATAATAATGGCAGTTAAGGCGAGAGTTCAGCGGGGTCGGGAAAGAATGGCGTTGGACCGGAGCACTTGGTTAATGGAGAAGCGGCCGAAGTGTTTGAAGTCTTGTTGTGAACTCTGATGGATGGAGCTCGAGTCTTTGAGAATTCTGATTGATTACATATGCCTTGAGGGTCTTGGGTGATGAAATCAATGCACGGAAGCCAGCGGAATACGTAGATGAAGCCGGCTCGGAAGCTGAAAGTTTATATTATGATCAAGTGTAATATTATTGTTTTATTTTGCGGATTAAGTATGTGATTTTGGTGTATTTCCCCTTTTTCGGCTTTTATAAACAATATGAATTACTATGTACTGATAAACGTTGCTTCAGAATTTTACCGTGCATTAAAGACGCAGTAGATGATGGGGTTGTACATGCACGCACTCATGGCTAGCCAGTAGAAGAATAGGTAACAATACGTTCCAAAATTGGTGTCATCTTTGGCCATGAAGAAATCTGGGAACATGTGGTACAGTTGGTACGGTAACCAACACACCATGAAGATGATTACCACTAGCGCCAGCATTTTTACTATCTAAAACAACATAATATTTTGAATTATTTCAAAGTAACCACAGTAAAATGTCAAACCACAGTAAGTTTATAGGTTTTCAACTTTTAATGTTGGTCAAAAAATGTGTAGAATAGTGTTAAAGTACTGTACCTTTCTCTTGTCCCGCTCCAGATTCCGTGGCTGTGAGATTCGCGACGATGAAGGGAAGTTATCTCTCCTCAAAGCGTACAATATCCTGGCGAATGTGTATGTTAACACTAGTAAGGGTATAGCATATTGTACCACGAACAACGCGTCGTCGTATATGAACTTGTAGTTGTATTCGTTCTTACACAAATGTGTCGTAGTGAGTACTTTACTAGTCAACGAGTAGTAGTATCTCGTTTCTACTCTCGAGTTAAGTATATTAGGTAGACTACATAGAGCTGCCACTATCCAAATAGCTATTATTAGTGCGACTGCTCGTGATCGACTCATGGCTCGTTTGCCTAGAGGATCTACTATGGCCATACATCTAAAACAAGATCAGTTTATATTGTTTTTCATGGTAAAATAGATCATTATATACATTTATATTAGCTTCTTTGAAAAATAATATGCTTTAAAAAACACAACACCATACTGCGTATTTTACTCCAAAACTTACCGATCATGACTCACCACCATCATAGTAAACACCGATATACATGTAGGTGCCACTCCGAAGAAGTGATTGAAATGACAAAAACTACCGTACCACCAGTCGTAGTAAAAGTTGAATGTCCATGTGGTACCAGTGTTTAATAGTGCCATCAAGAAATCGGCCAAAGCCATATTAAACAGAAAATAATTAAAAGACGAGTGCATTACTCTGGTATGTACGATTATCCACATTACAATAGCATTACCCACCAGAGCTACTGTAATCAGACTGCTGAAGGCTACCCATACAAAGTATTCTACCCATCTGAAATTAAAAAGTGTTTATTTATGAATTTATGTTTTATACAAAAAATTTAGAATAATTTAATTTAGGGTCTCACCACGAAAAGCCTGCATCTCAGAGTCTTGTTTCAAAAAGCGTAAATTTAGTCATTATCGTTAGTAATGTCATAGTAAAAGTGGTAGTGAACCATTTTTTTGGTTTTTTAAAATTTAAATTTTACGAAAAAATTAATGAATCCTCCATATTCTTTACAATAAGATATTATATGTTGCTACTTACAATGTGTGTTTGATTGGGAACTCTCCACAGTACAAATCCTTCAATCCACCGATATTACTACAAACGTACTCGGCGATCTCCGCACTCTGATTCGAGTACGTGGTGAGCAACTCGGCCATCGTGTTAGTCATAGCTGTCACTGTAAGAATAAGGTTTATTGTTATGACAGTAATCAAAATAATAAATAAACAACAATTCCGCGTATCAGCAATAACAATACTCAAATATGCAGGAACTTTGTTTCCAGAGGTTCGTATGAGAAAAATTTCTGCAACTTTTGTTAAGAGAAGGTATAACAGAGGAGGGAGGAGGGGGTATTATATTGTAAGATGGGGGCCGAGTTAGGTTAGGGCTAAGATAAGACTAAACTAAGGCTAATTTAAAAGTAAAGTCAGCGTAAAGCAAAACAATAGTAAGACAAAAACACTGTAAAGAAAGTTTTTTGCAAATTAAAAAGTGTAAACAAAGTTATTGCGTGAAACAGCATTAGAGATAACAAAGAAGTTAGAAACCAGGAAACTAGATGTACCTAGGAAATGCTAAAGTAAATCGTATTATGAGATAGTAACGTGCATTGTCACTTCTACTTTAAAATCCAATTTCTTGGGAATCGCAACAATTTAAACAAAAAAAACTTAAATTGGCCTTAGGCTGTCACATGCATCAGACAATGGCCTTGTTCGTATATTAATGCGGCTCTATTTGGCAACATGATTACACGTCGTTACAGCAAAAAATATACGGTTAAAGATAGTTCCATGTAGACCAAAAAACGTTTTTTGGCATCCATCCCCCCCCCCTCTCCCCTTTAGAAAAAAATTGTAGCGACTTCCCTAGATATAATATACAACATATACACACACATATATACCTATATCAATGCAAAAAATATTAAGTTAAGATAGAGATATACACTACAATATGGTTACTCAAATATCGCAACATCAACCACATTTTTACATAGCAACAACTTTACAATACCACGCCTTTAGTTCTACAAGCCTGGTAACGTATCACACTACAATCAAGCATAGCAACATGTTACGATACTCTTAATCTAACACTTTTACATTGTAGTAAGCAAGAATTATATTTAAAAGCGCTGTAAAAGCTTTACTTTACAATCTCAATTAGTTTTAAAATGTTAGTTGTAGCAAAATAATTTACGAAACAAAACATCATCGTATGTTGCTGAAAATGTAAAAAACATTGACATACATTCTGCAACGCATAGTATGTATATAACTTTTGATTATAAATTCTGACCTTTAGAACCAACGTATTTTACAAAAAAGTTAAAAATTTAAAAGTAAAAAACCAAATTTCAATGTATGTCACTGTAAAGTAAGTTTTGTTGACGATCCAGTATGATAATGACAATTAGAATGCGAGCAATTCAATTATATTAACCATTCAGACCACACTCCAAGTGATGACATAACAGAACATGGCTCTGTACAAAGTAAATAAATAGAATTTCAAACCCAAATTTACTTTTTATACCATACTTTCTTTTAGGCACTACTATGCTTCTATTAGTAGACTCTAGTTTACATAATATAACTCTAAACTTAATTTTTTAAATCTTTTTTAGCATAATTTATTAAAATTTAAATCTAGAATTAAATGATAAACAACATTGCAACCAAAAAAATTTAAAAAAAATTTTATACGTCACTCCCCCCTTCCTCCCTCCCCCCGCAAAAAAAGCACACTAAGACAACTTTAGTAATCGAAAGTAAATCCTTTAGTACAAATTCACAGTACTCAACATGACCATTACTAGCAATTCAGCTAGTTATGTTAAGAACATTCACGATAAACACAGATCTTAGTACTGTCACGGCATTAATGCTAAGTAGTATCTTTAAAAAACAAATTCAAATTAGTACCCAATTTTCACAAATGTCAAAAACTTTACAAATGACATTGCACGTATAACACAATTACCAAAAGTACTAAAATATGCTGAATTATCTTAAAAAACAAGTTAATATATTAAGTTACCTCAAGAGCATTAATAGTAGACCCTTAAATTTCTATACTTTTCTAGCCACTCATCCCCCGGCCCCCTTACTATATACCAACTGTTTTACAGTTTAAAAATATTTAAAAACCTAGTATAATATAAGTCAACCACAAAAATATAATTTTTACCTCACAACTCCCCAAAACATAACAACAACCCCTCAAGTCCAAAACGCCAAACCCGTAAAAACATCACTTTATAGCCGCTTGTACTTATAACGGCCAAAACTAAACAAACGTTTCAGAAATTAAGAATCCGTTAAAGAATGACAAATTGTAATGACCTGCAGCGCTTTCGGATTCGAATTAAATTATAAAAACACAAAGTGTGAGTACCAATATCAAATAAATAGATAAAGTATGGGTACTATTTGGGCCTCTTAATTGATTAGGAAAAACAAAAATGATTGATTTTCAAAGGTTTGGGGAACGACAAGTCAATAAATAATTGATCTCAATGTTCTACAAGAATAACATCGCTATAGGTGGTGTAAAATGAGGTGTATACATTATGAATTGTAGTATAGACGCTTCTTTCATACGAGATAACATAATATATATAATGTCATAACATTATTAAATTAAAATACTTTTACAATCCCAGACTTGTACAAAGTATACTAACAAATTACTGTCAGTTTGAATTTTACAATTATTATCAAAAAATAATTGTAAAAGCCAAATTGATATCAATAACGTATCAACACACCTCTTAACATTTCAAATATACAATTTTATATACATCATAATAAGTGGCAAAACCTCCGTGATCTATATAGCAACCTCAGCTTATAATCAGTACTACCGCCAATACCTACTCCTATAAGCTTGACATGCCATTTTACAAGCATTAAATATGGTATGTAACGTACTAAGTCTTAAGAACATTTTAATATTATTGCACTATGTCAATGTGATTAAACATCTAATAATTACCACCGTTCCACAAAACTCGTAAATACATTAACCTTACTCACTGCTACTGTCCACTGACTTCGACCGAAAGCCACGTTACCACGTAATCTATAATATTCAAAGTCTGGCGTAAAGTATTACATAAGAAGTAGGTTAAGTGTATTCAAAGTAACTGTAACGACAGTAAGCGGTGTAGACTACAAAGAACGGTAAACTGTAAGTGTGAGTAGACGGTAACTGGGTAAGAAATTACTTCCTGATTAGTTGGAACGTATTTACAAACTAATACTACATGTTCTTTTAACCTACTATTCATAGGCATAGAAGTTAACAAAACAATCACTGAAGCCGTCGTTCGTTTACAGTTTAAAATACACTTTGAACACACATTCTTACATTAACAGTCAAGAGTAATTGTAAAAAACAAAAATCTAAAAAGGTTTTGTTATCTGATTGTTACCTACTGCTGCATGCAATGGTTATCAGTAACGTTACAATAAGTATTGAACCGAATATAAAAATAAGTGCAACAATATGATATAAAACATGCTTTCAAAATACTTCCTCTATCTCTCAAAAACTAACTCCCATAGCTTTTATGTAGGTATCAGCAACTCTGATAAGTGAGAATTCACTTTTGAGTTTCGAGAAGTATGCATTTATGGTCCTGACCTCCCTAATACTATCTTATATATACATAATATGCTGCTCAAGATTAACCTTTTTATTGTTAAAAGTAGAAACCAGATAATCCAGTTAAAACTAAAAAACATACTCCCTGTTTAAGTTTAGCTACATCTTACAGTTTAAAAAGATCCTATATCTTTGTCACGTAGCCTCAAAACCTGATGTCTGCTACATTCCTCGTCTTCAGAAGTCACCTTCGTAAAAACAAATCGACAACGAAATCAGTGTAGGGCGTAATTTTAGAAAAGGAAGAAAAGGATAATGGGAGGTCCGGAAGTGCATACAAAATCCATCCGCGCCATTATCCCCTCAAGGCAGAATTATCAGCTCCTCACGCTTGACCAATTAAATGTTTGGAGAGATGCAATCAGTATGGGCCGGACCGCATTCAGTATGGGCCGTGCTATATTCAATATTGCGTATAGCACGTTTGAGCATCAATGACAAACTTTTTAAAAGATTTGGGTAGTAAAAATATTAAATGTAACACCAATGATATATATTATAGTAGGTTGAAATGAAAGTAGCGGGGCACTTTTCATTTTCTTTTCAATAAAGATGTGTACCGATACTTTTGGTTCAAGCTAATAGTAGAAAAGCCTTATGTTGGCTTTTATAACCCCTAAAGAAAAATATTTAAAGTGTAATAAAATCCGTATTAAAGTCATTAGAGTGTAATACAAAACAGTATGATGACAAAGCTCTTACTAAAGTCACTTTCATTCTAGCCGACCTAACTTAATGTTATCATCCTAGACTTCTAGCTAGAGACGTGCAAAAACAAGAAGCCAGAGTGTTTTATATTGCCTGAAAGTAACTATATGTTACACTAAAAATGGCTAAAAGTTTATAAAAACAAGTCAGCATATCAAGTAAATTAAAGATTGACATTGCCACCCATACTGACACATCAAACTCGGCTGGCTCTACTTTAATTCATTGGCCAAGTTGATGCTGTTTTGCAGTTTAAAAAACACAAACTTAAGCTATATAATCATATCATTCATCAACACAACCCCCCCCCCTAATACACCTCCTGCATCAACCCTATTACATATTACAACAACTTCCCCATCATGATATGGCCACGTACATACGACCATGCTCAGTTTCTCGTAGTAGATGTTTGTCCGGATATTACAGCACAGTTTCGAGTACGTCGCTGCATAATACTTTGAGATAATTACATGCTAAAGACTTAACATGATTAATAATTACAACCTATCGCAACATCTACGTGATAAACATACATATCTTGGCAAACATGGTTAATAATATTAACATACATATCTTGGCAAACATAGTTAATATAACATACATATCTTGGCAAACATAGTTAACTGATGAACACAAAAAATGTAAAAGGCAAAGTACAAGATCTCCATCATTGAATTTTAAATTGCTTTTTTTTTAAATCTAACTTTTTTAACGTGACAAATGTACTATTTCGTGGTTTAGTATTGGAACTAACTGAAGAATAAAAGTGCAAATCCAGTTTATC